GCTGTTCCATCACCTTTCCAGGGACAGAGGTGAGGCTGACTGGCCTATAATTGCCTGGATCTTCCTTCTTGCCCTTTTTGAAGACCGAAGTGACATTGGCTATCCTGCAGTCTTCAGGCACCTCCCCCGTCCTCCAAGACCTCTCAGAGATGACCGAAAATGGTCTTGAAGGTCTTTTCCAAGCTCAGTGGTTCAGCAATTCTGCATTTATCTTCCTCAGTGAAATTCAGACTGCTGCAGCATTCCTCAGGAAAAAGTGGGGGAGGGAGGAGGAAGCTGCACCTGTGTAGAAGTAAGATGCTACCTTAAGAAGGACAGCACATACCCCAGTTTTCACTTAAATGTGTACCTTCTTTTGTTTCAAATTTCTATCATTAACTGCTGTCAAAATTAGCAGAACCACACACTCTTAGTCTTCCTCTTTTTCCAGCAGCCAGGGGAGTAAGAAGTTAACAGCCAAAATGTTAGGTGGGAGTTTCAAGAGTTGTCATTTAAAGATAGACAGCCCTGCAGGCAGCAATGGAAGAAAAGTTCTCCCAAATGAACATGGAAAAAGGAAGGCGTTTTATCTTATGTTAACATTTACTAAGTCTCAGTCCTCATAAGGTATTTCAACAGTAGTGATTTGATTAAAGCCAGAAACAGCTAAAGCAATGAAAGATCCAGTGGCTGGTCTTGCCTAAAGTGTCCTGGGAGGACAGAATCCAGCTTGAGTGTTTTTCCCCTCAGAAACTTCCACTCATTCACAGGAAAGAAAAGAGAAGTATCCAGAAGTGCACTGTTTTTCTGTCATGGCACACATGCAGTGCCTGAACAAGGGGTGTATTTTGTGGACCTTCAGTTATCTGCAGTACCTCAGCAGCAAAGCTTGCCCTCAGAGAAGACCCCTTCTCTTGGTACAAAGTCCCAGCTGTGCAAACAAGACCTGCTGCCTCTTACAATGAGAGCACAACAGATGATAACATCTGCCATCTGGCAGAAGAATAATTTTAAGAAAAATAGGGTTAAAAGGAGCATTGAACTCAGGAGAGAAGGCACTATTTTGCCTTTGTTAATCTGCAGACCAAATCATTTAATGAGCTACAAACAAGCAAGCATTGTACAAAGGGAAAGGCAGTGCAGGCAAGCGATTGGGCTGCATTTTTCCTTGCCCACAGCTAAGAAGCAAGACCTGGTTATGTCTGCAGTGCCCAAAGAATCCTTCTTGCAGTAGAGCTGCCTTTCCAGAGACCTTCACATTCAAGCTCAACTTTGCTGAACAGTCACTCCCTCACTTCCCAGCAATCAAACAGTAGACAAGCTGCATTTCCTACCAGGCCCCCTCCAACAATGGCAACTTTTTTCCCCTGGACATTGCTGGACTCCATCACTGTGAAGCAGGCTGTGAGCAGCAGGCAGGCTGGTGTTCTCTCACTGTCACCAGGCTGTGCTCACCACAAAGAGGGAGCAGGATGTGGGTGGCTGAGTCAGGTTTGGGCTTTTCTTCCCTAGTTAATGTTAAAGCTCAGCTCTCACCTCAGGCTGCAAGAGCACTAGCCTGGTGGGCTGGCAGACCTGCTACTCTGGAATGAATGTGGGCCATTCAGCATAGCCTCTTTTGAAAATATAACATATTCTCTGACCTAAAGAAAGCTTAAGGCCATTGTGGAATTCAGTTCTCCACTATTCCAGTAATGTCTAACCTGTAGACATAACCCCAATCTATAGTAACTATCATTTATTGCAAAATGTGCAGTGCACAGCCCGAAACAACACATCTGTCCTGAAAGAGCAAGACCAAAATATTCACACAAGAATGGTGCAGCTTTCCATTGCACATTCTGGAGCAGTAAGGGCCAGTTGCTTGCAATGGACCAGGGAGCAAGTGCAATATCGGCAAAGTGGGGGCCTTGTAGGGCAGAGTCCCAGCCCATACTGCCAGGCAAGGTAAGCAGGTCAGGCCCATGGTGGCAGCAAAGGGCCCAGGCTGGAAGACAACTCAGTGTAGATGAGACAAAGTTGAGGTCAGGACCAAGTTCACTGGTGTCAGTCAGACACAGACTCATAATCACCAGGCACACATGTGGTGACAAATCCACCCTAACTCATTGCGCTCTACAACTTCCTGAAGGAGGTTGTGAGAGGGATTTGGCCTCTTCTCCCAGGCAACGAGCAGGACAAGGGGCAATGGCCGCAAGTTGTATCAGAGGAGGTTTAGGAACACAAGGAAGAACTATTTCTCTCAGAGAGTGGTCAGGCACTGGAATGGCTGCCCAGGGAGGTGGTAGAGTCACCGAGCCTGGCAATGTTCAAGAGGTGTCTGGACGATGTGCTGCATGATATGGTTTAGTGCTTGTGGTGGCAAAGGTGATGAGGAGATGGTTGGACTAGATGATCTTAGAGATCATTTCCAACCTCGCGATTCTGTGATTCTATGATTCTAACTTGTATATGAGCCAGCAGCGTGCTCTGCAGCCTGGAAGGCCAGTATTTCCTGGCTGCATCAATAGAAGGATATAGCAGGGTAAGGGAAGTGATTGTCCATCTCTACTCTGCCCTCGTAAGGTACCTTCTGCAGTACTGCGTACAGTTTTCTAGTTCCAATGCCTGCCCATGGCAATGGCATTGGAAATAGATGATCTCTGAAGTCTCTTTCAACCCAAGCCATGCTATAATTCCGTATTATAGAGTCAATATCATGAAAGAATCACAGGCCCTTTAAAGGGATTGCTGCCCACCCTCAAACTCCAGCACTGGGAGGGGCCCAGGTGGGGCTGATCAGGGATATTAAGGTCCACTGGCACTGCATGTAAACTTGCTGCCACAGAAGATGCTCTGTAGGATTTTTGCTACAGTTATTTGACCCATGCAAGCTAATTGACTAACACATACCCACCTGATAAGAGGGACCTAAAAAGCCTGCCCAAGGCAAGATCAGCTCTCCCTCAGCCCTGTGTCTGCTTGACCTCCAGCTCCCATGCAGTGTACCTCGTACAACCCTGTAGATGACCTGTTTCAACACACTATCACTCCTGCATGCTTCAGAGCTCTCCCAGTGCCAAACTTAAATCACCGTTCTGTTTTTGAGTCCTTTCTTCATCTCACAGGGCCTTCATGCAGCAAATGGTCACAACAGGGGGGAGAGGGTAGAATGTGAAGTAAGTTTTGCATAGTAAACAGCAGTGAAATTATTTGTTAATTGTTTTCAGAGCACAGACATCGTTAACTTCCAGCAGTGACAGTTATGTGGAAATATTGCTCTTAGAGCTCTAGTCCCGTAAGCTTTCCAGATTGCTCCACTACTGTGGCTTGCCATTTTAATAACAACCCTTAAAGATATACCAGTTAACTCTTGGACTCCTGAGGATAACACAATGTACAGTCATGTTGCTAAAGCTGGTCTTGTAAAACTGCCCTTTTAGGCAGCTAGACCAGGGCTGCACAAGCAGCCTTAGCAATGGTTTGCAACTTCGATTCTTCCTGTGGGGAGAGGCCAGTAGTGAGTGGAGTACGCTAGGGGGTGAATACTGGATCTGGTCCTCTGTAACATCTTCGCTAATGATGATGGGGTAATTTACCCCCAGTAAATGCATGGAGGACAGAAAATGAGGGATTTGGGAAATGTTGCCAAACATATATTTTTCAGGAATGTCCACAGCTGGACTGACCTCTCACCAAGAGCCCCAAGTGCAGTGGAGACTCTGAGCACTGATACAGGTTGAAAGTTTTTCTTCCAAGATGGTACTGATCAGCTCCTTTCTGTCACACTTGTCTGCTTACTTACTGAAAACAATTCTTGGCAAATGGGACTAAACCTCACCTGTCAGGAATTATATATGCCCAGTGCAATATGCTTTGTCCTGGGTAGACAAATAATTCCAAATATCTTTCTCAGACTTGCTTAAGACTGCATTGAGGAAAAAATTTATATATAAAAATATGTTCTTTTTAGTTTGGAAGAATATTTCATCAACCATGGCAGCATTTGGGGTTATCAACCTCCTCATTCCTACAGTAGAAAACCCCAGTTTAAAAACAGGTGAACATGGGAAGACATTGAGAAGGTGCTACTAATTCATGGTTTTTCTTTCTCTATTAAACATAATGAGGCTGCTGATGGAAAGATGTTGCTCATCACTTAGTTACAACTTGGGTCTCCTGAGTTCTAAAACAAAATCAAAAGAATAGGATGGCATGGGTTTTAATGCTTAGCAACTGCAAATTAATAGGAAAAATAAAAAAGGAAAAAGCGTGATTTATGTTCCTTAGGAAAACAAACAAACAAACAAAAACATGCCAATATTCAAGGAAGGACCTTGGGAATCTTTTTTTAAATTATTTTTCATTTTTTCCCCCAAGGTGAAACCCTGATAATGCAAGAGAAAGATTGAGAAATACAGAAATATACACAAGTTCAGGCTGCTGAAGCCACCCTCCAACAGCTCTTTGAAAAGAAAAACTTGGGTAGCATCATGAATATGAGGCTCAGAAGAGACTGAGAGAGACTTCCTGGGGCAGAACATTGCAGATATTAGGGTAGTGATGTTCCACTGAGATGATCAGATGCAATGACTGCAGGAGCTACTTTATTTCTTCTTTTCCCTACTGAAAATTATTTATTCAAATACTACAATCCCTGTCAGCCCATGTAAAGCAATTAGGGCAGAGTGCTGCCCTTTACCAAAAAATGACATGCTCTTGGGCTCTTCTCAAAGATCACTCTACAGCCCTCCTGCTACCAAAACCTTGCCATGCAAGCCCAATACAGGAGGAACACTTTGGTCCTGAAGGTGAGCCATACTCATTTGCAATAGTTTAGACAATACTAGTGTTATATTTATTTCACGTCCCAGGGCCACTGTGAGGCTCTTTGGGACAAGATGTCTTGGTTCTTTCGAAAGAGGCAAAAGAGAGGTCTGCTGTTGCTCTGGGTTTGGCATATGAGAGGAAGCAGCTGCACTGGCAGAAAGGGGTGAGAAGACTACAGGCATGTGGTACATTTGTTCTGTCGATCTCCAGTCTTTCTATGCTCATTTACTGTATGGATGATTTGCAGATGCACAGACCGTCAGATTATTTAGGAACAGCTCAAAAGCAGGTTGAACTCAGCAATGCAATTGTCCACCTTCAGAGGAACACATCCTGTCAGTAGGTGGGCCACCTGCAATAAGAAAAATGACCTTGTGTTTGGTAATAGCCAACACACACGCTTGTCACAGCTGCATAAAAACAATAAAGATGTGTAGGATCTTATAATTCATGAAGAAGAGGGAAAAGGCAGCTTAAAAGCTGTGATGAGATGATTTTACTGATTTCTGCAAACAGCTAAGCAACAGCTCATTGCACTGATACTGGAAGGAGCCAAGAGCTCATTATCAGCAGAGGTTACAAAAGCATGTAAAAGAGGAAGGGGTAGAAATGTATAGCCCCTGCAATTCCATTCAGTAAAGAATCTTTTCAGGAGTCCAAATCCCATGCTAAAGAGGGCCATACAGATACTCATGGCAGTAGGTTCCCCATGCCAGAAGATGTGTTTCTATCCTTTCCTTTTGCTCACTAAGCCTTTGGTAAAGATGGAGCATAGACATAAAAGCAGTGATTCCTTGTCCCAAAGTCCCCAGCCACCCAGTCATGCTCTACACAGTGCCTTTGAAGAAAGTCCCAGCTTCAGCATGTGAGAACTTCCTAATACTGCTGCTTCCATGCCTTTTTTGCTGTCTCCTCATGACATAGATTGCAAGAACACTGTGCTCTTTGCTCAGATCCAGTTAAGCCACAACACCTTGGCATTAGTAGGCTGTGGGTCACTGAGCAGTGGGTCTGCTCATGTGCTCATTCAAGCACCAGGCCGTGGTGTCATTTACTTGCACTAGAAAATAGCTCAGGACAAGATTCCAGGTGCAGGGAAGGCTCAGGCAAGTGAGTCTTAGGAGGAGCAATCTACTCACCTCAACTTGAAGATCTCAGCAGTGTTGTAAGAATACAAATCCCATGGGGAATGTCAGCCTGAATACAAAGAGTAGGCAGCCCCTACTCAGTAGGCTGAACAGTTCATGCCACAGCAATCCAACAACTTACATCTGCATAGCTGGGAGCACGCTGCTGGTCCAACACTGGGCTGAGGATGCAGGCGGCAGTCCCTCACCTGGCACCGGGAGCCCAGCAGGCATGGCACGGAGGGCCAGCCCCGGAGGAGAGTAGTGGTGGTGGTGATGCACTGCAGACAGCCAGGGACGATCTGCTTTCACAGCCACAGGAGCGGTGAGCTGCAGGTCCTTGATGGAGATAAGCAAAGGGGTTTTGGTGGCCCTAGGAAGGATGCTGGAGACTGTAGGGACATGCTCTGTCTCTCTGCTGCCTCCCTTTCATCTGAGGTGATGCTCAGCACAGTTCTGACGCTTCTGAGGAAATCCCAAAGCTGTCTTCCATTTCCATAGCAAATCTATCACTTGCATGCTGGCTGTGATGGTGCTGGCCCCCAGGATGTCAGTACCCTGAAGCAGGAGAGCAAGCAGCTGCTGCCAAAGGCTTTCCATCTCAGGCAGACATTTGGTCTCAACAGGTGCAAAAGCTGTCAGCTCCCAGTTGCACAGGTCACAGGGATGGATTATGGAAGATTGTATTTCACCCCACAGTTTAATGTGGGCCACAGGGGCTTTTAAGCTATTTATTGCCCTTGCATATAGCAGGTAAGAAAGGTGTGAACGAACTGGGCAACTACTGCAGAAGTATGGGAGTTGCTTTCTTACTGTCTCACTACCTTGGTTTTCCAAGAAAAAGAACAGAAATCTCTCTTACAACATCGGGAAAAGTCACGGTCAGCTTGAAAACGGAGAGGCTGAAAAAGTATAAGGGAAGATTTTTCAAGACAAGAAATATCCCCAGTCCCTAAAGACGAACAATCCTTGCTGCTTTGATAGTAAATGCTTCAGAGTAGAGAGTAGAAATACATTTTTCCAAAGCATTTAGGATGACTAAGGAGCTAGTCAGCATCCTGCTAAAAATAGCGTAGGAACTGTGCAGCTAAGGATATGTTCAAAATTACCTATCGTTTGATAAGTACTTGGTTTGTTTTGGAAAAAACCCTAGGAGGATTTCAATACAAATATCTGTAAAACCTGTCCTTCTTGACTTTGCTAGTCATCGATTGACAGCATGGGCATCCAACCTTTTGGCTTGTCTGGTCGGCATGGAGCAAACAGGAATTGTCTTGGGCCACATATACATTGCTCTAAAAGTAATGCCTCCTATTTATTTCCACAGAAATTACAACAGACACAAAGAGCACAATAACACTCTTTGACAGGACAAATTCTCAGCTATAAAACATTTCTTCAACATGGTCACCATCATTAGCTATTCATTTTCTCCAGCGATGAACAAGAACCTGCGTGCTGCGCTCATAGAAATCTGTACCAGCAGAGGTGACCCACTATTGCCACTGCTGAAGCATACTACCCACCACCCTCACTGTGCTCACATCCGGTGTTTGGTTTCCATAAACCTTCAGCAAGTGTTGATGAACGTCAGTGGGTGCCATTTTTTGCACATGGAGGAATTCAATGTCAGGTGTACTTCCATGACAGACACCATTCTGTCAGAGTGCCACCTTGCTGCTATCTGTCACATGGTAACAACAGTGACAGGATACTGGCGGAAGGCTGAGTCTCTTCTCCCACACTGCCAACATTCACCTCTGACATCATAGGCCAACATCATAAAACAGGAGGCACTGCTTTCAGAGTAGCTTTTGTAATACATCCAATATCGTTAATATATAAGCAACAAAATATTTTAAGAAAAATATTAAAAATTAAACTATCTTCTTTTTTTTTTTTTTTAAAGAGAGCAACAAAAGCAGAACTAGTGGGATATTTGGCCTTGTTTTTGTGAAACTAATGCATCACTCTGGTTTGATGGAAATTACTGCAATTCTTAGTGAGGCCTCAAGGTGCTCATCTGAGATTTTTTATGAACTATTACTCTTCCTGTACTCCATCCTTGACAATAATAGTGCACATCGTGTCATGTCATGACATGAACAAGTTGTGATTGTGAAGCAAAGGATATTTCTCTCTGGTAAGATAGGGATTATGAAAGTTTGGTAAGAAGACACAATCAGATTTTTCAGTCGAACATTTGATTGCAGCTCTACACTTCCCTTCCAAAAATTTCTAGGTAATAGAATCATAGAATCATAGAATCATAGAATCACTAAGGTTGGAAAAGACCTAAAAGATCATCCAGTCCAACCGTTCACCTATTCCCAACAGCTCCTACTAAACCATGTCCCTCAACACAACATCCAGTCTTTCCTTGAACACCCCCAGGGTCGGTGACTCCACCACCTCCCTGGGCAGTCCGTTCCAGTGCCTGACCACCCTTTCCGAAAAGTAATACTTCCTCATGTCCAGCCTGAATCTCCCCTGCCGCAGCTTGAAGCCATTCCCCCTGGTCCTATCACTAATGACACGAGAGAAGAGGCCGACCCCCAGCTCACTACAGCCTCCCTTCAGGAAGTTATAGAGAGCAATGAGGTCTCCCCTGAGCCTCCTCTTCTCCAGGCTGAACATTCCCAGCTCCTTCAGCCTCTCCTCATATGGCCTGTGTTCCAGACCCCTCACCAGCTTTGTTGCCCTCCTTTGAACACGTTCCAGGGCCTCAATATCTTTCTTGCAGTGAGGGGCCCAAAAATGTACTCATATTGACTGAAAACGGAGTTGCAAACGTAAATAGATGAATCCTTTTCTGCAATTCTTTTAAAGCCTGTTCTCTAATTCCTTTATCAAAATGGAAAGCATAGCTGCACACTCTTCGCTGTTCCAAGCCCTGGGTTTAGCCAATGTATCAAAATGCATAAAATCATTCGCCATCACTTGAGTCAACGCTGCATAGCACTGCTCTCCCTGGTTTCTATCACTGCTGTGTCAGCAGCTTAACGGTGGTTCACTTGTTGCTGAGCAATGAATGCATGCCCAGACTGCAGGTTGGGCATGCCCAATTTACAGTGAGACAATGGCTAGAGCCAATCAAGTATGACCACAAAAATTTGAGCTTCAGCTCCAGCTGGTTTTGAACCACCAGGTCCAATTTCACTAGTTACAGGGTTTGTAGCAAGTATTCCCCTGTTGCCCGCAGTGAGCAGGCAGAAATTGAGCCATACAGCTACGTGCTGACTAGAGGTGAATTACTGGGGTTTTGAAGACACCTGGGGACACCATTACAGACGCTGTACCAGATGTTTCAGCAATAGTCAGCAGGAGTTAGGCTCCCAAGTGCAGCAGCAGATGCTCAGTGTAGGCCTCTTCTATGTCTGTTAGTACATGCATTCCAGAGCCAGACTGAATCCAGTTTGCACTGGTGTGGGAAACATTTTCCGTTGCAGTTCTGCTTAGCAACATGTAAGGACTTATGTGAAATCTCCAGGAAACCATGGGCAGCAGAATTTTTTTTTTTTTTTCCAGTCCTCACATAGTCCAGGATAACTATTGCCCCACATGAGCAAAGATGCCCTTTGGACACAGTAACACTACCTGCTGTGTGTGCTGAAGCAGTGGGTAGCTGGGTCTGGCAGGCTGTGCAAACGTCATCGGTGGGAGAGACTTCAGCATCATGTTCTGCATGATGATCTGATGCATCTGTGCATTCTGCATCAGCATCATCTCCACCATATCTGGGAAGAAGTCATCCAAAGGAAGAAAGTAAGAGCTTTATTAGCAACAGGGGTATCTCAGTGGGAACTGCTCTCTAAGGTGCAAACTCATGAATGCAGCTGAGACGCAGTAGCTGAAAACAGCACATGGCAACATTATCGTTACGTGCCCAGATGGCGCAAAATTAATGTCTATGAATAAGACCATCCACACCAGATCTCCCATTCCCCCACCCTTCACAAGCAAGCTGCTGTTGAGGAGTATCTTCTTTAGTTCCATTGTCAGCCCATCCCTGTAGATGCAGTCACTGGCAGGCTGGAAAACAGCTGTGCACTGAAACTCTCACTTGTTCCAGCATGGACTGGAGCCATGTGGCACTCTCCACAGCTTTGGTTCAAGATCATTGTTGCCCACATTGGAGGCTTCCTCAGCTTTACACAATATTGCAGTGCCACCTTAAGTGGATGTGATGCACATGCAGTGGACTCTCAACATAACGCTGGATCGTAATTACTTGCACAATACACATCCTTTGTATTTTAAGTGGGGGGGAGGAGAGGAAGAAAAGCAAAGGAACTCTTTTTAATCATACCGAAGATATTTTAAATGTATCGACTTCAGAAAAGTCATGCATGTGTTTGGACTAGTTCATTTACAAAAATAAACTACTATTTGAATAAATCCAGCCATTTAAGCTAAGAAATAGTTGAGAAACATAGCACTTCAGTAACTGGATTTTTCTTTGTGATAGAAGAAAGCCTTTGACCGAGGGATGATCCAGGGAAGTCAACCCAAGTTTTTGTTCAGGTATCATTTCACAGTAGCATCTACGTTTAGAAAAAAAACCTCTCATTCTTGGCACTGCACTACACTTGAAACACTGTCAGTTGTTCTGCTTTTTTTCCCCCCAAACTCAGCACTTTTAAGTCTACACTGCTCTAAGGAAATTGAACAGCAGGTTAAGTTGGGACAAAAAGAATAAAAAATGGATTTTAAAAGCCTATTTGTGAATTTTAGAATCATCCATTTACATGAGTTTCACCTTGGTACACTCAATGTCTTGGATTGAGCAGCTTTTAATTCCCTCAGGTTTTCTGACAGCTCAACTTTGCTTTGCCAAGTTTATCGTACCATTTCTTTTGTTTTAGCAAGAAGAGTTTGTCCAAAAACTTCTGAGAACTGATCTCTATTTTTGCAGAGTGCAATTCCCACAGTCCTGGTAGTGACAGAGCATGTCACTGACTTGAATGCTTGGAAAAGGTCTCCCCCTGACCTCTTTCCTTTGCAGCGGCACCTTTTCTGAGTATCAGCTGGTACCTTTTCTGGGTATTCCTGGTAGTGGGACCTGACAGCTAGTCCTAGTGAATGGTACCTTCTTTAATGCTTCCTGAGCGAGGATGTGCAAAGGGCTGGGCAGTGGGGATCTGTGCTATCAGTGGGGGTGGCTGTGGGAGCTGCTGGATGATCGTAGCAGGCTGAGGAGGCATCTGGATAAGAAAAGAAAATGGAGAAGTCAGTGCAGGATTTGTCCAGTGTTTCCTAGGAGCGACAATCCTTACCGTCTGTTGGATAATCCTAGGTGTTTCAGCTCGAGATGCTGGAAAAGGTATCTGGTAGATGCGTGGGAGACCAGCACTGTAGTTCCTATACTGTCCCCCAGCTGGTGCAGAAGGCCGTAACAGCTCCTCCAGAAGGTGCTGCTCCTGCAAAATCAGGTAATTTCTTTGAAGAAAATCTGGTCACAGAAAGGCTGGCAGTGTTGTTGCATTCATCAGATTAAATAGGCCAAACCTTTGGGAGTCTGCAGCAGAGTACAGCTTTTCTACCTACAACACTCCTGCAGAAACTGCTGCGTAACAGGCAAACCACAAGTGAATGCTGCATGAAGGAATGTCAGAGCTGGAACAAGTGAAAACAAAGTGTTTCTTCCTGCATATCTTGAGGGTATACAATTTTCAGTACAATTGAGAGTAGAAAAAAGTGAAGAACAAATTGCTGGAAGTCTAGTAAAATATTTCATTAATACTTGATCCTCTCTACATATGATTTTAAGTAATAGTTGTTCCTATTTTGGCAACATTAAAGAGTCCTTTGATTGCATTTTGGAATCCAGAGAGTTTATGATATAGCAGCTTACAACAAATAGAATCAATGCACTAGGTGACTGATGTGGGTACAGGCTTCATGTGCTGATGTAGAGGAAGTCCTGTTCAGCTTCCCACCAGCCTCTCCTCATCTCTCTAGTGAAAACCACACTTCTCACAGAAAATTCTCAGTGCTTGCTTAAAATAGCATGAGATTCCACCCTTCAAATTCTACTCTTATGCTCATTATATTAAACCAGACACTTTACACAGTCATGCTTGACAAGTACTGTTTTTACCTTAAGCTCCTGCAGGAGATTTTTCCTTTTCTTCAAGGCACTTTGAAGCATATCCTCACGTCTGTTGCCTAAAGGAGGAAAAAAACATTATATTCTTAAAGGATTGCAAGGATAAGATTACTATAACATTTACATTATGAGATTAATTCTCGAAGATATTTTAGGAGATTCCTCTAAAATGTACCATCTTGGTTAGGACTGACATTCATATACAGATCATCACTGTTGTTCATACTTCACTGAAACTTACATTTGTAACTTCTGATCCCCAGGGCTACATACAGATTTAGATGCCTGGGCCAAGCAAAGACAGCATTGATTTCACTATGGCTCATTCTTCTCATCCACCAAAAATTGTCCCTATCACAGAAGCTGAGACAGAGTAAATTCCAACTACTGAGACTCCTGGCCTCAAAGCACTCAGAGCCAGAGGCCTGTAGTAGCTTTTAGAGAGAATATAGAATCACCCAGTGTGATCTATCAAGGAACTCATGACTGAAAGCATCCCTAAGCCCTTTCCATTTCAAGGTCGTAACCAGAACAAACGCTTCTCTCTTACTTGCTGTAGGAAGAGGTGACTCCATCTTCTCTAGGTTCTTCTGTTCGTTTTCTAATCTCTAATAGAAAAAAAAACACACAGAAAACCAACTGTGAGTTAGGCAGAAAAGCTCACAACAATTCAAGTGGGATTGGGATAGAGAAAATAAATCACAAGTAGAAATAAGGGACACTTCTACTAAGTCACAGCTAGCAAGGCCTGTAAGAAGTAAAAAACCCCGCAGAACTACAAACAGACTCATGAAACACAATTGTAAATGCAACAACAATAGCAGAGCAACAAAATTCCAGGCTGCAGAAAGTGAAGATTTACTCAAACGTAACAGCAGTAGACAGAGAAATAAGGTAGAAAAAAGCTGCTTACCTCCAGAAGACCTCAGGTATATGGAGATATCTAGAGATACCCTCACCTCCACTGCCAACCCTTTAATGGGAATGGGCAGCTCCTGGCTCTTCCCCTTTCGGCCACTCAGGCATATTACATGCACCTGAGCTACCATGGGCTGGCCCTGCCTTGCAGCCAGGTGCTTGATTACTGTTTCAAGCCATGATGTAGAATTTCTGCTACAGTCTCACTATAAATTTACTCTCAGCAAAAGAGTAATCATGCTTCCTGCTGGTCTGGCCATCTCAGATATAGGAACTGACAGCACAGTGAATCAGGAGACTTATGCATCACTTACTTTGTAGGGTAGAGAGCTAAAACATACAGAGAGCTTGATTCCAGAGTTCTGGGTATTCAGTGCACTAGGAGTCTTAAACCAGCCTCACCTGGAACTTCCATTCACATCTTCTGCCCACATGCTGGGGTGTCCTTATAATCTCAGCTCTAGGTCTTCAGATCCTGTCTAAGCTATACTGAATAAATACTGGTCTCCAGTTCATGCAGTGCCAAGCTTATGACTAGCCATGGGTTTCAGGAACTCTGATTCCAACTTGCAGATGCCTTCCATCTTGGCTTTGGACCTTCCTTAGTTTTATAAGCTTGCATGATGGACCTGGACATTTGGTTGAACCCACCCACCCTCTCTGGCTCTGCCCTGCTTGGGCAGGTCTCTTTCCCAAACAGTCATGCTGTTATGTTCAACTTTCTGATCTTTAGGGACCAGATGGACTTTGTGCCCACCTGATCTATGAATTGAAGAGCTTTTCCTTAGCACAAGCACACTTTTGGCTCCTGAGTTCTACCTACTTCCCTACTAGAGAAAGCTTTGTCCTCAAATTACTGCCACATCTAAGACAAACTACTCCACTTTGGAAAACCTATTTTAAATTTTAATTGTATATTAAACAATCATTTCTACAAATGCAACTTGCTCTGCCTCAGCTTGCATGCTGAACAAGGTTCTCAGCTGGCTGCAGGTCCTTTTTGTTTCACAGTAAAAATATGATTAAGACACAGTGTTTATACTTAAATGCCTGTAGTAAAAAAAGCAAAGCAAAGGTGACCACTGTAGAATTATTAACTTACCTTTTCTAGGAGTTTGAATTTTAGCTGGGCCACACGATCCAACACTGAAGGATCTGTCATTGTAGTAGTCTTTTGAAAGAGCAGGCAGGCATGAGCATATTAAATAGCTAAGCAAATGTAGGTAAGTTCTCAGTGCTCCTTTCTTCCACTCCACTCTAAATCTTCATAGAAGAATTTTATTAGCAAAATAAAAACCAAACAAATAATAAATGAAACAAAACAAACCACCAACAATAAAACTCAAAATCCAAGACTGTGAGAAATGAGAGAAGAAAATAAATGCTTCAATTTCACTGTCAGGTAAAAATTCATATAGATGTGTGCCACCATAACAAAGACACAGATCTTGTTGCTATTTCTCTCAATGTGTTTTTGTGCTGCAGGTTGTGATGGCCACATAACTGTCAGTCAGCTTGAGTATTTGCTAATGGTTTGCTATAGTAATGGTTGCTAGCCTCTCACTGGCAGTGTCTCTAAGCCTCTGTGTTGTTAGTGTGGTCTTCTACATACCTTTCAGATTAGTTCCTGCACTTTGGTTGCTAAGTTTGTAATGCCAATCCACAGCATAAACAATTTAATCTCCAGGTGCAGGTACTTGTTTACCCTCTGTGAAGCAAATGCCCAGCACAGGGCACAGGAGATGGGGGGGGGGAAAAAAAGACAAAACCTTTGGATACATACATATTTAATGTAACCCAATGCCAAAGGTCAGATTATGATCTGACTGATTGATACATCTTAACAATACCTATTGGACTATTAAGGGTCCATTCACTTTGACATGGTCCTTCATCTAGATTTTCACGATCAGATAGTAATCTAAAAATTTTAAAAACGAGTTAATGAGAATAGCTGGAACTGATCATAGGGTGAGTAAAACAGCGAAGTGGTTGTGTTGTGACATCCTTTGGATTACCATCTCCTGAGCAGTCTCTGGGGTGCCTTCTCCTTCCAGCATGAAAAGCAAAGCAACATTTATCACCAACAGCAATAAAACCAATGCTAAGGCATGGGAAAGAAACCAAATTACAGATTCTCTTCTCTGCTTCTAGGAAAGCAAAGTTACAACCCCATCCTTATTCAAAGGCCACGGCAAAGCCACAGCTGAGCCCCTGCAGGCAGCTGGAGGGGCAGACAGACAATTCTACTTGGCTATGTGGGAGCAGCAGAGATCATCTCCTCCAGCTGTGACCCCACAGCATGTGTGTACAATCTGTCCTTAAAAGTACACAGGCAGATAGACACTGGTGAGATTATAACAACTGTGACGTGGAGGTTTCAAATATAGCTGCAGCTTGCTAGATGTGGGGATCAGCTTGCTTTGGTTCACTTGTGCAGCTAAGAGCAGTGAGGCAGAACAGAAAACTCTCACCTGCCATCAGTCTGTGGCTTATAGAAAAAAAAAATCTGAGCATGTTTTTTGTACTTTAATTCATGTTTTTTATCCCTTTATCCTCTTGGCATCTGCAACAATCTTTGATAAGGAGTTGCCTAGGTAACTTAACTTTAGAATGGGCCTTGTTATGCAAATAAAGGTTTTAAGCATGGAAGTTTACCTAGGCAAAGAAAGAAACAAAGAAAAGGTTTACATTTAGATTGTTTTAAATCTAAATTTCCAAATTTTTTTGTTATACAACATAGTTTATTACCGTTCTCCATGCACTTTATGCTTACAGCTTGAGGCTTATATTCCTGAATCATCACGTGCCTGCTCAGATGTCACTTCTCTAAGCTAGAGAATCTATTCCCTTCTTCCTCAAATGGCAAATTTTCCTTCTTTGATTTCACAGGTCAAGAGAATGAGGCTGGGAGGGCATAGCAGTAGTGTCCACAAGGAGGATTCTTATATCTATCTCTTGAACTCCACTATCAGCCACTCACAGAAGGTTATTCAACAGCTACACTTTCCATCAGATTTAGTTTATCTGTCTGTTTGTATGCCTCATGTTTTTCCTAGTGAGTTCTCTTTGTACTTTCCTATTTCATGATTTCTTCTGTAACTCAGTGACCAGAGTTGGCAGCAGTATTCAGGCGGTGATGTTGCAAAGTAAGAGCTGAGTTGGTGTCTGCAGACAAGCACAATAGCAACAAGCCTGCTATTAGTCATTACTGATGCTGTAGTAACTGTTGCTTCCTGCCCAGATGGGGCTTTACAGTAACTTTTCTAATCACTGAGGAATTTTGAGCAGATGTTTACCACCAATTGTTTCTTTAAGTATCCCCTAGAAGTTAAGTTTCTAAACCCTTCATTGCAATAGCAATAGAGGGTAACAAGAAAGGCTGACAAAAACAGCCCTGTTGAAGTATTTAATTAAAAATTTAGTGAGAGTGTTAAGTAACAGAGATGACTGTTAGAGGACAGAAAGAGAAACCTTTGCTCAACGTGACAGTGTCCCAGAGAAAATCTAATGTCTGCTAAAAAATGCTTTCCAGAACTTATGGATGCTCTGGTCACAGTGGGATCTCTACTACAGGGACACCTTCAATCTGCTGAAGGTTGAAGCCTGTAGCCTGCCAGCCACACACAAAAGGATCTTGTACAAAAGGTGTTTCTGTAGTTACTGTGCATTGTGAACTAGGGATCTGAAAAGAAGATCCAAAAAAAGCAAAACTAGACAAATTTAATTCTGAAAAATATTAACAGGAGTATTATGTGCATCTCACAGGAGGTAATTATTCTGCTCTGTTTAGCAGTGCTGAAGTCATAGTTTGAGGTCACTGTGTCTAATTTTAGGCACAGCAGCATCAGAGGGAAAAGAACTCCAAGGGAAAAAATGGTAGCAATGGTAGATTTACAGAATACAAGATCTGAGAAAGACTTTGAAGAAAGGGCATTGTTTAATTTACTAATTAAATGATGAGATGGAGGCAGTGAGCGATGTAAATGAAAGAATATTAAGGACAGAGTCAATTTTTTTTACTGCCTGAAAAGACTAAGCAAGAAACATTTGGCTTAATGAGGAAAATGAAAACCTGTTGAAAACAAGCAAAAAAATTCTTAATTATACAATATGACAAGTGATGGAGCTGCTAAGAAAGGGCTTTCACAGAATGGGCTTTCACAGAATATGTTTATAAACAATATACAAAAGCAGTTGTGATGAATACTGCAGGTGGATCAGATCCCTCTCCAGATACAGGAATGGATTAGATGGTGAGCTCCAAACCAGGATTACACTTCTATGATGTCTTTTATTGATTTTGATACTTTATGCCTTGATTTTAATTACTATTTTCTAAAACACACTAGAGAAGGAACCAAACAGACACACCTAGAAATATCGGAGACAATAAACTCCTGTGCTCTGGTTCCACAGGTTATACTTTTTATAATTTCAGTCTTAGAAGTTATTTGTTTTTTTAAGAGGGTTAAAAGAAGGAGAAAAAACAAAAAAAAAAAAACAAAAAACAAACACATGAAGAGAAATTCACTAGTGGACAAGTACATGTAATTTCCTTCCAATCAGTTGTCTCCTTCTGCCAATTGTAATGCTGCAATTCAACAGCCAAGAGCTCTCATGCTGCACTTTGGAGCGTGCAGCGGAAGATAAGAAATCTTGAAGACATTTAACTTAATTCCTGACTCCCTTGTGGTGGGGACCAGCATACTTGCTGACATCAAAAGCAGAACCGAAGGCTGACTGTATCTCTCAGTGAATTTATAGGACATTTACGTGGTTACAGAGTGCTACAATGACTTATCCTGCATGGATGAGCTAATGCTGTCATTGTTCCTCTGTTAGAGACCATTTTCAACAGACTAGGAGGATGCTTTTTGTTTGTAAATATTGTTAAAAAAAAAAAAAAAAACAAAACAAAACAAAAAAACCCAACAACTTTCTTCACTGTATGCTAAATATATGGGTAAAAATGTTTTACAGTTAGAGTTATTCAACGCCATTGTCATATAACAACGTGCAATGTTTATTTTTACTATTATTTTCAAAAACAGTGAATTCAGTTTGAAACAAATTATTCTTATGATTAACTCTTTTTATAAGACAACGACAAACCACTAGTCTCTGTAAATACTGCCCATTCATTTGCAGATAGGTTGCTCCTGGTGTTCTGAGTAAGATATCGTGACTGACAGACCTTCACACAGCATTGTTAGTCCTACTGCTAACTGAGGTAAGTTATAAACAACCTCTACAATTTTTACAGTTGTCAGGTAGGAGAGGCCCCAGCAGAAAATGCATGTGGCAAAGCTGCTCCAGCAGCACAAAACATGAATTCTGTGCTCTGAATCTGGTGATGACAGACTACTGAACAGCTGACATCCTAACCAAGAGGGGCTTTCTCAAACATTGCTGTTCTGGGGGCAATTTAGTTAGACTAGCACTAGAAATCCTGAAATTATAACATACAGGAATATAAGGAAATACAGCACAAGTTAGTTATTCAAATAAATAAATACAAATAAACCAAAAAGCTTTCAACTAAACAAACGTGAGTTATGTGGTTATTATTAGTTATTTTAATCAGGTTTTATCAGTGATAAGTAAAAGCAGTAATTTATTTTAAAGCAAATCTATTCAAGCGACACATCTAATTTGACACAACTACCAGGATAAACGCCATGACGTATTCTCTTTTAAGAAGATTATTTGTTCCAAGCTTTCCAATTTCCTTTTTCTTCTCGAAATGTGTCAACAACTCAAGCTCTTAAACTGAGAAATTTCATAGTTCAGGCTCTCACTTTTTCTAGCAGTGACTGGGAAGGAACTTAGCTTCTTGGCTATGTAGTCACAGCATCTCAAAATGCTCCTGGGGGAAAATAGCCAAGGGTTAATAGGGCAGGAGGTGGCTAGGCGCTGTCTCAGGAGCTTCTCTCACTTTCTTGTCCAATATCCCTGTATAGTTCACTGGTCTACTTTTTCTTTCTTTTTTTTCATTCTTTTTTTTTCTTTTTTCTTTTTTTTTCTTCTCCTATTTCTTTCTATTTCTTTTTGTTTTATGGTGACATATTTACGTAGAAATAACATGTCCGAACAGACTGAAGAGATTGCTACAGAATGCTTTATTCCTTATCTGCAGTACTGCATCCAGGCTCGGGACCCAAGCATAAGAAGGATGCAGAGCTGTTGGAGTGGGTCCAGAGGACGGCCACAGAGATTGTAAGAGGGTTGGAGCACTTCTCCTATGAAGAAAGGTTGAGGGAGCTGTGTTTGTTCAGCCTGGAGAAGGTCCTGGGGAGACCTATTGAGATCTTGCAGTAATTGAGGGGAGCTTGTAAACAAGCTAGAGGATGATGGAGACAAGCAGTCATGGCAGAAGGTTGGGACTAGGATTCTTTCTGACACAGAGCATTCTTTGATTCTGGGAATGCTATCTTCTGTGATTCTTTCCACACGCATTTTCATTTCCAGGCTTCTTGGAAAGGAAAAGCCAGTTTTTTAACAACAGATTACCTCTGAACTGAGTTAGGGTGGGAAATGTGTTTAAAGCACGTGTTTTCTCGCGTTGCCCTTTAGTTCTGATTCAGCGAGTTGAACAGATGGAGAGACTACCGGTTTGGCTGATGACTGCGAAGTTAGTTAGCTTCAGCGTTAAAAGAATAGAACACCGTATTCCTCCCTCGTTAGCAAGTTTCCTCCAGCTACCGCAACCAAGCTGAGCAGTGTGGAGCAGCGGCACCGCGCCACAGCACGGCCGGGATGCACGGCCCATGCACCCGAAGCACGGCGGCCGCTGAGTGGCGGGCTGCTTTCCCAGGCGCCACCACCCCCTGTCTCCATTGGCTCGAGCGCAGCGCTCGTTCCCGCCTGCCACGGCGGGGCCTTCCGTTTGAAACTGACCGCGCGCCGCGGCAGGCGGCGCCTCTTATTGGTGGCCGCTGAAGTGGGGCGGGCATTGGCGGGGGAGGGAGCGGGGACGAGTCGGAATGGAGGGTGCGCCGCAGCTCGGCGCCGTCAATCCCAGGAGTCAGTTAGAGGGAGCGGGCGGGGCGAGAATAACGGTTTCTCTCGGCATTGGCCGGCGGGCTCCCTGGGCACGTAGATTTTCGCCAATTCCCTCACAGCTTCCTTCCTTCCCCGGCGGGCCGGCCCACCTCTTCTATCTGGTTGGTCAGTGCCCGCAGCTGCCGCTTCGCGATTGGCCGGTTGAGTGGGAGCGGGCGGGGCGAAAGCCGCGGGGCGGCCATGACCGAAACTTGTGCGCCTGCCGCTGTGTGACGTGCGGAGCGGTGGGGTTCTGCGGCTCGTAGGAGATGGAGGAGGCGCGGGCGCGCAAGTTGGAGGCTGGCAGAGCTAAGGTGAGGCGCGGCGCCTCGCTGTTCTGTGGGCTGTGGGCCTTGGGGCTGCGGGGCGGGCGGAGGCCGCGGGGAGCAGCCTTGCGGAGAGCGGGCGTTCTCCTCCCTGCCCTGCGGGTCCGTGTTTGTTTGCGTTGTGTTTGTTGTTTGCTTTTTCCCTCTCGCGTTTCTGCCGTTTGTCGAAATACGTTTACAGGGGAGAACCCCGGGAACGGGAACTGTGTGTTGTGTGCTGTGCCGCTCCGGCGCCGTGCTTGCGTCCCTCCGGCGGGGCTGCAGCCAGAGCGGACCTGGGGAGGCCGGCTGTCCGGTGAGACCCGCGGGGCTGCTGGGGGCGAGGGAGGGTTGTGGGTGAGGGCTGTGTGCGCCGTCGCCGATTCCTTACATTGCTGCGGAGTGCGCCTGTGTGGCCAGCGCTTGGTGTGCACCAACCCTGGGAGTGACCAATGCCATGTCCCTGGAGGTGTTCAAGGCCAGGTTGGATGGGGCCCTGGCCAAACTGGTCTGGTATTAAATGTGGAGGTTGGTGGCCTGTGTGTGGCAGGGGGTTGGAGATTCGTGATCCTTGAGGTCCCTTCCAATCCTGGCCATTCTGTGATTTGCACTTTGTTTTGGTGACTGCTGTTCAGGAAGCTGGTTTGTGGTGCTGTGCTGCTTCTTGTTCGGTATTTCAGCTGTTCTTTGAGTTGGTACTGCTGTACGCTTTCAGAAGTTACTGCTGAATGAGGCAGTGGCATGCTAGCCCTTGGCAACAAGCTCACTCAAAGAGATTTGGATCGATGGCAAGTTGACTGTGAGTCAGTAGTGTGCCCAGGCTGCCTGCAAGGCCAACTGTAGTCTGGGGTGCATCAACCACGATGCTGCTGCTAGCCAATCAAGGGAAGTGATTGTCCTGCATTGGTGTGGCTTTACCTTGAGTAGCATATGTAGTTTTGGGCACCACAGTTCGAAGAAGGACATAAAACTATTAGAGAGCCTCTGAAGAAGAGCTACAAAGATGGTGAGTGTTCTAGAGAGGAAAATATATGAGAAGTCTCATGGTTTGTTCTTCCTGGAGAAGGGAAAACTGAGAGAAGAGCCCATTGCGGCTGATGGCTTCCTCACAAGGGGCAGGCACTGATCTCTGCTGCCTGCGATAGGATCTGAGGGAATGGCACTGAGCTGCAAGAGTATAGAGTCAGGCTGGACACTGTGGAAAAGGTTCTTCACTAATAGGGTAGTTGGGCACTGAAACAGTCTCCTCAAGGCGGTGGTCATGGCACCAACGTTGCTGTTGTTATTCAAGAAGTGTCTGGACAGTGCTCTCAGACATATGGTCTGGTTTTTAGGTGATCCTGTTTGAAGCCAGGAGTTGGACTTGATGATTTTTATGGGTCCCTTCCAGTGTGGGTATTCTGATACTGTATTTCTCTCCCTCTGCCAGGATGGCAATGGGACTGTAGCTGGAAGGAGCTGGCAGGCGCTGTGCAATGGTGTGGAGCTGCGTGCAGCTCACATCCCCTCAGGGGCTGCAGCCTCTTTGCCAGTGCTATCCTTGTGGCCTCCTCCAGACCTGGGGCATAGCTCTTCCTGCAAGGCACCTACCAGGAAATCTGCTTTCTGCACCCTGTGGTGGAGCAGAGCTTGGCTGTGTACCTGTTTTACCTGCACTGGCTTTTTGCCTGCACCATCCTTCCAGGGCTGTGCAGGTGGCAGTAGGAGCACTGCTGGCGCTGTGCAGGCAGCAAGGCTTTTCCTGGTCTCACAGGTCTCAGCTAGGTGCTGTGCTCCTGCTCAGTGACTCTGTGTCCATGTAAGTGCTTTAGGGCACAGCCCTCTGTCAGAGAAAGATAAAATGATAGCTTCTTGCATTAATGTTGAAAATGAGAGATTTGTGGGATGCCTGTTCTTCCTCGGATTAGGAAGTTAGATTAACTGCAGCAAGGCTTCTGTTCAGGTTTATTTTGTAGCGCTTCTGTAAATTCAGTATCTGTTAACAGGAAAGTGTTGTGTACTTGCCTTGAACAAGTTAGTTCCCACTGTTGTATGGCTGTTGTTTGTCACTGGGAGAACAAAAAAAAATAAAATAGTAGAGACTTGCTTTAAGTTTCAAGCTCTCCATGCGGAGGCAATGCGATGTCTTCTACTTGTTTTGTTCTTCTTTTTTCATAAATTTTTAAATAACTAAGGTGTTTAATATCTTGTATCTTACCATTAAAAAGAAATAAAGAAATCCTTGGCAGCTCATTCAGTGCCACTGCATGGAGATGTGCCATATGAGAGGAGACTGTACGAAGTGGCGGAAATGGGTGTAGTGCTTCCTCTGCTTGCAAAAATATCATGGCCTTCCATTATTTATCTAGCAGAATGGGGGCAATAGAAGGCTTTTTCTTTTTTTAAAGCACCAGGGCTTTAAATGGAAGTAAGGCTTTTTAATGGAAGTAGTACTTAGTGGGGGTTATTAAACACAAAGATATTATGTTTGGGACAGGAAAGCAAATATGAGCTGTAAATTTCTTGGTATGTTCAGCTAGTCTTTTGCATTTCTTTGTGCTTGCCCTGTGGTTTTTGTCTTAATTACATGCTTGAACTTGGGAGTTCTAGCTTCTAACTAATGGGCCCAGCTGGAGGAGATGGACCTTTTGTCGTACTCAGTGATCCTCCTCAGATCCTTAAGCCCACAGTTGGATGTGGATGTAGGTGGACTATGTGGCTGTGACTTGGCTCAGAACTTCCTTTGGGTAGCCTGTGTTTTTGGAAGCTCTTGTGTAAGAGAGCAGAAGGAAGCATTTTTCCTTGTTCTTTTTCTGGCAGGTATTGTAAGCGATTGGTTGCTACGAGAGTGGTCATGCTAACTAAGTGTCTGGTTCTACTTGAACCTAGACATGCAAATTGTTTGTTTTGTTGCCTCTCTCATCCATGGATTTTAGCTAAGTAATGACCTAGGAAGAGTTTGTGTATGTGTTTTTCTCTTTAAAGCAGTGCTTGAATCTTTATTTTCACATAAGAATAAAAACTCTATCACTGAAATGCCTTTGGAGCTACCATTAAACTATAACAAATATCCCAACTTCTATTTTAGTTGGAAGCTGACATCATTTGGCAGATGCTACACAATGATTGTGTCAGGTTCTTCAAATTTCCATTCTAATAAACGGAGTACTGTTAGCAGTAATTGGGAAATGTAACAAGACCTGAATACTCTGTTCTGGGCTTTTTGTTTTGGTGCCAGCTCACTTAGGGTGCTGTGGTGCAAATCTGCCCTGTGGTGAGCCACTGTGGGGACAGACAGCTTTTGGGGCCTGCCCTAGTGCCACCGGCTTGCTGTTGTTACTTGTCTGCTACTGGTGAGGTGCAGATACACCAGTAGGTGTGGAAAGGCAGAGTGTTCTTCTGCACTAAGAGCTGCTTGGTGTGCCGTATGTGCTGCTGCTGCCAGGACAGTGGTGTAGAGAGTTCTAGCTAAAAGTAAACCCTTCTCTGCTGTGGTTCTGCTAGAAAGCAAACCGAGAATCAGGCCCATCAAAAGGGGCATGAAGAGGTCTTGTTTTGGTGAGGGATAGATCACTTGTCATCTACTTTCTTCGTGTGCATATGCACTACTTTGTGTTACTTGTTGTCTGCGTATGTGATGGTGCTATTGGAATGAGTCTTAAATTCATATAGCCAATTAAAGGCTTTGGAAACCTGGTAATGCCGTAAGAACACTTTTTCCCACCCAATGGTTTCCAGAAATCTGCAGTGTTGGACCCCAGATGCTTTCTAGTATTTCTCTGGAATTTTGGAGCAGTTAGTTTCTACTTATAAGCAATACTTACTTTGTTTTCCTAATTTTTAATGCACGTGAATATGACAAAGTAAGTAGATCTTGCTGTTGTTGTTTCTTGCTTTTTTATCTTTGAGATGTGTATTTTAAAATTTTCTACTTGTGTAGATTTTCAGTCATGGAAAATCTTGATATTTTGATCCCAAATATCTTTCTTGCTCTTACTTTGTGAAGTCATTGATGGATGCTTAGGATGAGAACCCTCTCTGCCTGTTGTTTCTTTTCTGATTGCTTTGCTCCTGTTTATCTTCTTCATCAGCTTCCTCCACTCTCCCATTATTTTGCAGGTTCTCTTCTGTCCTTGTTGCCCATGTTATCAGCTTAATTGGTGCAATAGCTATTTTGACATGTAACGCTATCAGTAAATGTTGGAGTTAACAACTGGTTTCAGGGGTTGCTGTTCGTCTCATGACAGCTTTTTTAACCATCTTTGCTGTCTTTCCATTTTGCTTATTTGGAAAATCAATACAGCATCTGGCAATCTTTGCTTTAACTGCATTCAGTATTAAGAACTATGAGAACTACAGATTATAATCAATTTAAAAAGGGCTCTTTCTTTCCAAACAGCTTAAAATGCTGGTAAGAAACTGGTGTCTTTTCAGCAAATACGCATTTTAAGCAGACTGAGAGTAGGTACTGCATATCTGTTGAGCTAAGCTGTCAGACAGAAATATCTGTAGTGAAATTGACGTGTGTAAGGAGAGAACCTAACTGAGCCACAGGAAGTGACAGGATTTTTCTGTGGTGTTGCTGTATTGCAAGAAAGCCAAGCTAGGAAACGGTGCATTCTCATTTATATTGCAAGTAGAGCCTTACAATTGGGACTTGACAATTCGCATCCCATCGTCATTTTTACTGTCTGTTCTGTCTCATCACGGATATGCTAACAATGTAGTTGTAGCCGATCACCTTGGAGAAGGCTTTTTCCCCTGTTAGGGGGATGCCTGTACTTATGCTGTGAGGGAGATGCTGCCTGGAAGTGCTGCCTAAATGTAATACTAGAGTTGAAAATAAGGTAATCCTTTTTAAGCAGTTTAAGGTGCTAAGAAAAGTTTGGTAATAAATTCTGCCAGTGACATTCTTTACAAATCCCTCGTGCTTCACTGTGCTGTGACAGTCTGATAAAGTAGAGCATCTGAATCTTCAACAGAAGAAATTAAAATGACCTGGCTTAATTAATTTTCTATTTATGTACTGTAGTCTGCTTTCTGGCTACAAGTTTTGCTGTATTCTCTTAAGGGGGTGGCAGGGAAGGAGCGTGAGGATTCACTTCCATTAGTTTTAGTCTTAATGCTTAGACTGGCAAAGATCTGTTTAGATGCATTTCTAAGGGTTGTTGTTTTTGCCTGTCTTGCAGAAAGGCTGCTTTCTTACCCCCCCACTCCCCCACCCCCAAATGATTCTAATATATTAACAATTTGTTCCTTTTCTAATCTGTCTTCGTAATTCTGGGTTGTCATTGAAACTTTGCATGTCACCTGTATTGAAATGTGTCTTTAGTACTAGTGTGAGATTTCTTGTGTAGTTGCACAGATATCTGGTGTGTTCTGAATGTGTAGGAAGTAAGAAGATCAAGCAGTTTTTCTGCAGATGTATATATTTTATCAAGCTGGGATATTCTTTGTCACCTATGAGTGTGTTAATCTTGTGGTCCTGCTACCTTTTTCTCGTTTACCTCTCCCTGTATCTATTCCAATCTTTTATGCACAGTTTGCTCACTTCAGAGAACGCAAAGCAAAAAGCAATGTCGCGCAGTCGCAGAAAAAGACGCCGAAGAGGAAGGGCTCGTCTGTCCACACGCATGACGTTCCACAGGAAGAGCGCACAGTAATGGCCCCAGGCTGTGATGTCGGTAAGGGTGTAGAGAGTAAGGCTGAAGACACCAACCTCCTAGAGACAACAACAGAGACAGAGGTAAATCTTAGTATTTCTCGTGTTTCCACTTCAGTCCAACTGCAGATAGAAAGTATCTCAGGTGGTTGTTTTGCTTAATTGGGTTTTAGCTCTTTGGTGCTGTCAGCTGGCTGCCACTGAGACACAAGTGAAATGACTTTTTGCATTTGTAGTAATTAACTTTAAAAAAAAAAATTATATAAATAACGGAAAAATTTTTTTTAAAAAAGCTTTTTTTTCCCCCACTAACTGAATCTTATCTAAACATCTCTACTGTATGGAATGGATGGCTTGCTTTGTCCAGGTGCTGTCTGTAGTTGAAATATTTCAATTTATTGTGCCACCTTTTGCTGCACTGAACTTCTTTTGGCATGCTTCTGAATCTCTGGCTGTGATCCATGAAATGGCAGATTCAGTCTGAAGCGCATAGTAGATTAGCAACAGTATCAGGACTTTTTAATACTTGGTTTCATGTCACGTTTGCTGGCTCAAATACTTAACCTTTTCTGGAGGAAAAAAACAAATCTTTGAGCATGTTCTTATCAAATGCTGCCATGCCAAGCCAGCATAGACATTACTATAGTTGACAAACTTGTTTTAAAATGTATCTGTGGGTTTGCCTGATGTATTTGGGTTTGTTTGTGCTAATGACCTGCTAAAGGTGGCCCTTTAGTGAGTGCTGAGGGTAGTCATGTTAGCAAGTATAGAAACGTATAGCCTGTGGTATAGCTTGAGATTAGCATACATCTACTGATAGCTGCCTGAATTGATTGGTTGCTTTCTTCACCTCCTAAGTAAATTTTTGTCAGCTGTGGATGCTTTTTTCTTTCTCTCTTGTAATAAAAATAACGTAGTTTTGAACAATATTTTAATGGGAATTTCTTGCTTCAGAAGTGGTTGGCTAGTGCTTTCACAAGCCCTAAAAGCTACAAGGTAACTATGGCTGCCACAAACTTTATCTCAGTCTGGGGCTTTATGTGGAAACTATTTTTTGAGTGTGCTTTGGTATGTTTTCTCTGTGAAGATTTGTGAGCTTTAGGGAGGCAGTGCCTTCTGCATAAAAAGCAGCTCTCCAGCGGTTGGTATAAGAATATACAACAGTATCAAATCAGTGTATTAGCAAACCTGATGGAGGATATCATTTGTGCATGCTATCCTCTGTTCTGCAGTGGAGGTATCCCTAGTACTTTCAGGAGATCTTGAATGTAACGTGAGGATTGCAAAGGCTTTTAGGAAGCTACATACTAAGCTGTCAGCATTAGGAAAAAGACATGCTGTAACTTCATCAACAGTACTTTTAAAAAATTTGTATTAGCTTAAGTTTAAAACAAAACTCTTATAGCATCTGTCGAAATAGCCTACTTTTTAAAACAAATGGAATTGCTTTCTACGTTACATAGAAAGCAGTCAGTAGAAATTACTTAGTGCTGATTTGAAATAAAGATAGGCTATGGGGTGCTTCTTTTAAATAGTGCTAATGTCTTTTTTGCTTTATGTTCTGTTTGGTGAGAGTTTAATATATTTGAAGCAGTTGTACTTAATTAAGTATATGTGCCAGTGATCATCCATCTGTATTCGCTGTGTTCGCTTTCAAGCCCCTCATTATGAGAAAGATGTTGAGGCCCTGGAGCATGTCCAGAGAAGGGCAATGAAGCTGTGCAGATCTGGAGCACAAGTCTTACTGGGTGCAGCTGAGGGAATGAGATTATTTAGTCTGGAGAAGAGGAGGCTCAGGGGAAACCTTACTGTTCTCTACAACCTCCTCTACAAGGCGGTTGTGGCAAAGTGGAGATTGGCCTCCTCCCAGGTAACTAGTGATAGAAGTGGAGGGAATGGCCTCTAGTTGCACCAGGAGAGGTTCAGGTTGGTCGTTAGGGAAAAACTTTGAAAGAGTTGTCAGGCATTGGAACAGTCTGCCCAAGTGGTGGTGGAGTTGCTGTCTCTGGAGGTGTTCAAGAAATGTTTGTGTGTTGTACTGAGGGGTGTGATTTAGTGGAAAACATAGGTGATTGGTGGATGGTTGGTCTGGATGATCTTGGAGGTATTTTCCAACCTCGGTGATTCTATGATTTATGAGACCATGTATGATCAACGGAGTTTAGCATTAAAGTCAGTCTTCTGTCACGTGTTGTTTTGTCGTGGATCTTGCTGGATCACGCTTAGCATATTTCCAAAATAATCATGCTTTTCCTTATGTACCTGGAAAAAATGGCCATGATGTGGTTTGTTTTGTTTATTTATCAGGGGAGTGCTGATTTGCCCATCCAGGATACAGCAATCCATCCAGCAGCTGAATTAAGTGTAAAAGAATATATATTTTGTAAAAGGTGCTAATATCTATGTGAATGAAGAATGTAACTTAATAAAATGCTGTATATAGATAGATTAGTTATTGTGCGTTGCTATAAAATGTTAAGTGATGTGATATCTCTATTTTGCAGTCTAAAACTGGTGCTTATATATGTGTGTGTGTGTGTGTGTGTGTGTAAATATATATATATGGCTGCAAAATTGATTGGTAAGAGAAGCATTTGGACTAAAATCATAGAGCTTGTCTGGAGAACTTTGAAAGATTTACTTAATTGAAAAGTAAGCTTGTTTCTTGTATTGGTTCGTATATTAAGAACAAAACATAATTAAAATATAATGTACTGTCTTTACCAATAGAATTGTAATGATAGTGCTCCTAAGAAGCTGCACTGTTAATTTGAGCAATTTATTCTTTGCATTTAGTTCTGGTTTTGCTGTTAAACACCACAGAAACTCAATGTATATTGAATATTAATTTGCAATTGCTGGTTGCACTTGAGTTTAATTTTAAATCAAGAACTCTGTTCCTGTTTGTTTTCCTGTTCCCTTTCTAGTCCACCCTATGAGTGAACTAGAGAACAGTCATCACAGAGAGAAATAAAAACCTTGTTTAATTTTGGTAGTGTGCCCTCAACTTGTAAATTTGAATGTATTTCATATCCCCAAATGTGTCAGCATGGCTTTTCACAACCATTTGGTGCTGTAGAGTCACAAATCTCCCTACTTTACATCTGCTTGAAGTATCATGTGAAAATTACCCATGAGGAAAAGTATCTGAATTTTAGAAAGAATTAAGAACTTTCATTTAACAGGAACTTTATTTATAGAGTTTAAATGTTGACTCTTTTTTTTAAAATAAATCTGCTCGAATTTTAAGCTTTCATCTCAAATTATATTCAGAATTGCCATAAAATGGAAATGATGCTTTGTATTGGTGGCTAAAATCATTTTTCTTTCTTTTTATGAAGGAAGTTGCAGTATGTTCTGTGGCAGAATGTGATGAGCTTGATGATAAGATGTGTCAAACTAGAATAGCTGAGTTAGAGAAAAGATTTCTGGAGAAACAGCAAGCGGTTGAAAGACTGACTGTGCAGATGGATGAACTACAGGAACAACTTAGCCAGCATAGAGTCTCTATGCAGCTTCAGGTATGTTTCATAATAACGGGAATAATATCACTTTAAATCTAAAAATGTAGGAGGCAAAACCCAAAGTAATTATTGCTTGTATTGAAAAGCATTTCACCTTGTTAACATATGCTACCAAAAGCAATACTTATATCTTCCTTTTACCTGTTTGTGCAGCCATTGTTCAGGCCTTCATATTGCTTGAAGTGATCATAAGTGCTTGAAATGTTCGTAAAGTAGTTTTATTTTGAGAGATTTTTATTCAAGTGCTTAGGTAAATTCTTCAACGTTCACACGGTATCGCAGGCTTCCTTCCTCACCACTCCAAAATGATAAAATCATTTACGCTTGGGGTTTTTTTGTGCCTTTTAGGGGTATTTTTTTGGTATGGACAAATGACTAAGTAGGATAAGGTGAACTTTATTAAATTTACATATGCCTTTCCCTCTACAAAAAAATATTTGTAAAGATATTTTAAAATTCCTTTCTCTAGCATTTCTGTGTAAAGGTGAATGATAGAGTGCATCCAAAGAATATTTGCTTCCTACTTTACGTGTTCTTTGTTTCAAAATCCTAATAGAAGAAAAAGATGTTTCCTGATGGTGAGAAATACATTGAAAAGGATGTGATTACTGTAAAATATGATGTGCGCATCTCATTAGCTTTCTTTCACAGGACTGGAGAGATGACATAGGGAACACTTCAGAGCGTACTAAATAAGTAACTTTGTTGCCTATGGAAAAAATCAATTGCTTTTACACGAATAAGAGCTTTAACATTTAAAATAGTTTTTTTTATTAGTAGTATCTTATCCTTTGCTTAAAAAAAATGCAGAACAGATCTAATTGCCTTCATCTCTTTGCAGTTAGCTGAAGATTTCTTTCATCATTCCTCCTATTGTGTTTTAACAGAAATATTTCTGGTCTATTCATGTGAGCTTATTAAGTCTTCCATGTAACCATATTGGTTAGCACAAAGACATGATTGTCTTTGTGTTAAGCAAACTTAAGGGTTCCTAGTACAAGAATGTCTTCATTTCAGAAGTATTTCTTGTGCATTATGTAGGAAGCAACTGTTCAAGAGCAGAATGAAGTCATAAGGAAACTAACAAGCTGCCTTCAACAAACAAGAAAGGATTGGGATGACTTGCAGGAAGAGGCTTCACACGCAGCTGATCAGATCCATGGCTTACAACTTCAGTTACATCAGGTGTGCTCCTTCCCTAATTTTAACTATGTTACAAAGAGGGAATAAAAAGAAATGTGTTTGCAATATTAACATTAAAAAACAAAAACAAAAACAAAACCACCACATCTCAGGCTTATCACATACCTCTTAGTACAGTTTGCAGTGCAGAGGTGAAAATGATTTCAGGGCAAAGCCTGAAATGCAATGCTTTGATAGAGCAAATTCTCAGCTACAAGACACTGTTTTTCAGTCACCATTAGTTATTCATTTTTGTCAGCCATGAACAAGAGTCTTTGTGCCATGTTGTAAAAAATCAGTAGGATACTACTGCCATTTCAACATCTGCCTGTGATAGTGTGGGCCAACATAATTAAATAGGAGGCATTACTTTTGGAGTAGTCAGCATAAAATTTATAAGATAGTTAATGTATATAACTAACAAAACTTTTTAAAAAATTATTATTATAACATAAAGGAGAGCAACAAAAACATTAAACTAGTGGGATATTTGACCTTGTTTTTGTGAAACTAATGCATCAGCCTGGTTTGATGGAAGTGATTGTAATTCTTAGTGAGGTCTCAACGTACTCATCAGAGATTTTTGATGAAATTTTATTCTTCCTGTACTTCATCCCTGAAAATGTTTGTTCACAAATGTAAGTACTACTGAAAAGCAATACGTACTTGAATAAGGTGTGACTGTGAAGCAGGGCATCTCTTTCTCTGGGAAGACATATGTTATAGAAGTCTGGTAAGGAGGCATGATCAGACAAATGTATTTGTGTTGACTGAAAGTGGAGTGGAAAATATACTGGAAATTGATCATTTTTAGAAATCTTGAAGCTCGTTCTCAAATTTCTTTATCAAAATGGGAAGCATGGGTGCATATTTTTTCTCTGCTCATAGGGCTGTATGTATCTGATGTATGAAAATGCATAGTTATTTGCCATAACTTGAGTTAGTACCAATGCCAATCGCACACTGGTGTTTGGTTATTGCTGAGTAATGAGTGTGTGCCTGGGACCTGCCCAGGCTGCTCTGTGGGGAAGACTCGCTGCTGTGAAGCTGTGGGGTTAGCTGCAGAATGGGCTGACCACACTTGGTCTGTAGGCTGAGTTGGACATACCTGTTCTAGTAGTTTTCTGTACTTTTTGCCTTGTGGTACCCAAAACTGCACATAGTGCTCAAGGTGAGGCTGCACCAGTGCATTGTAGAGCGCAACAATCACTTTGCTTGACTGGCTACCGATGTGGTTGATGCACCTGGAATATGGTTGGCCTTCTGGGCTGACTTGGCACACTGTTGACTCACGTTTGACTGTGACTCTGAGGTTTTTTTCAGTGGAGTGTGCTCCAGCATCTAATCGTCCCAATATGTATGGAAAGCCAGACTTGCTCCTTCTTTTCCTGCAGAATCCAGTGACACTTGCTCTTGTTAAACTTCGCATTGTTGGTTATTGCCCAGCTCTTGAATTTGTCTAGATTTCTCTGTGAGGCCTCTCCAGCGATGGAGTCACCAGCTCCTTCCAATTTAATATCATCAACAAACTTGCTCAGAACCTACATCCAAGTCATCTATGAAAGCGTTAAAGACAACTGGTCCTGCAGTGGAGCCTTAGGGTACACTGCTAGTTGCTGTCCACCAGCCTGATGTAACTCTATTTTAGTATAACTCTTTGGGCCCAATCCATTACCCAACTGCTCACTCATCACATGATATTTTTGTCTAGCTGTATGCTGGGAATTTTGTCCGGAAGGATACTGGGATAAAACTTATTAAAAGCTATACTGAAATAAAAAAAAATAATGTCAACTGGCTTCCCTTGGTCACACTAGATGGGTGTACTTGTCATAAAAGGAAATAAATTTAGTGCAACAGGATCTTCTTTTCATGGGCTGATGTTGGCTGTTATCAATGACCTCATTGCCTGTCAGGTGTTTTCTCCAGTATCCCTCAGCATAATTTTTTCAAGCACTGAAGTGAGACTGTCAGGTCTAAGTTTACTAGGGTCGTCTTTCTTGCCCTTGAAAATTGAAATAAGTTAGTTTTCAGTCAACTGGGACCTCTCTAGATTCCTAAGACTGTTGAAAAATAGTTAACCAAGGACTTACGATGACATTGTCCAGCTCTCTGAGAAGCTGGGAGGAATCACTTTGGGCCCCATGGACTTGTATGCATCTATGTGGAAGAGAAAATCCCACGTAAGTTCAGGGTTGGCTGGGAGTTGATCACTACTGCAGCCACAGTCCTCCACCTCTGCACCTGGGCTGATGATTGATCTTGAAGAAAGAGGCAAAGAAGACATTAAACATTTCTGCTTTGTCTATGTTTGTAAGGTTACCATTCTCATCAAGTAACCACCAATCTCTGGTCCTCGTCTTGTTAATGTATTTGAAAAAACCTTTTTTATTGTCCTTCCTAGTACTGGACAGCTTCAACTCTAACTGAGCTTTGACCAGTTAGGTGAAAGGTGAAGGTACTAACGCTGGCTTGAGCGTATTGATGTTTTCTTGGCTTCAGCAAAGTTTTTAGAAAAATGCATTTATTTATTTATTTATTTATTTACCATTTGGTGGGAGCAAAAAAAGCCTTTACTATTCACTGTGAAATCCTTTGTAGAAAAGATTGTGTTCGTTGATTTCTTACTAAAATGTCCAGTCCACTGGAAGTCCTGTCTCATTTTGAGGGGCTTTGTAGAAGTGAATTAATTAATGTTATACTTTGCTGTGAGTAATAGTATTTCAAACACGTTATCTGTTGTGTGACTTTTTAGGATTTTACTTATCCACTGAGAATGGAAGATGGTACATAGAATAAATCTGTATTCAACAAATACAATACATCTTATGCGTACAGTGGGATTAGTTTAGGAGCTATTCTTATATAAACTTTCTTCTGACTGGGAGTAAACTTATGTGTTCAGGTTAATGTGATGCTGAAGAATAAAGGCTCTGGGAAGAAAGAGGTATTAGAAGCCCAGCAGCAAATGTCCTTGTTTCAGAACAGTCTCCAAGAACAAAATGCACGTTTGGAGATGCTGCATCAAAGAGCACAAGACCTGGAGGTACAGCTTGAATCTTCTCAAAAGGTAAAATTGTATAAAGTACCTTTACTGTTATGAGTTGTAGTTAGTAGTAGTTATGGTTCTTTTTGGAGGAAGAGCCTGCACTGAACATATAATTTGTGTGTAAGGTCAATGTTACTCTGTACTTAAGGGGAAATGTTAATTGTGAAGACATGAAAAACATGAGACTTAAGGAACTTAAAGCATGTCAATATTTCAGTGGTAAATTTCATATGTAATATTTTATTTTTAAGAATACCAAAGATAAGGAATATCCGCTTGCCCTAATGGAAGAGGGTACGAAAGATACAATGCAACAGCTATATGAAAGCATAGGAGAAAAAGATGACTGTATTAAAAGTCTCCAGGATCTACTGGCATCAGAAAGATTCAATTTGTCTATGCTACAACATACTCTTTCTCTCCGGGACTCAGAAATAACAGAATTAAAAAACGAAATAACCTTAATCAAAATGAAAGAACAGCAACATATTGAAGAACTGAAAATGAATCATGAAAAGGATGTTTGCAGACAATTGGAGCACTTGAAGGCTAACCTGGAGAAATGTCATAGAAAAGAGATTGCAGAAGCCAAGCAGATATATGAAGAAGAAATGATTTTAAAACATAAAAGTGAACTTGAACAGTTAAGGAAAGAACTTTCTGCTCTGAATTCTGAAGAACACATTCAGAATTTAAATAGAATAATAACTGACTTAAATAATAGTCTTTATGAATCTGAAATTAGTAAAGAAAATTTGAGAAAGGAACTTGAAAATCAGCAGGAAAACTTCCAGAGAGAAAAAACTGAGGTTGAGATTCAATACAAAGTTTTAATTAGCGATCTTAAGTCTCAACTTTCAAAGGCAGAAGTGCAGGTCAAGGAAGCCCAACAATATGAGCAGGAAAAACAGCACTTGAATGAAGGGATTCAGAAACTGAATTATTTCATCCGTGAATTAAATAAAAAGCAACTTTTTGAGGCTGAAGAAAGTAAAGATGCAAAGCAAAAGCATGATGAAGAGACTGTCTCCAATAAAAACCTAAGGGAAACACAAACTGGACCAGATATACTGGAGTTGCAGACAGTGAAGCTTGAGGAGATGTTGAATGAACCACGCCGATTTAGAGAACAGCTAGATCCTGACAAACTAGATTTCCAGTGTCAACCAACAGTAGGTTCATTAAGGGATGAATCGGAAGAAATTGTGTGCTCAAAGATCAGAGAGCATAATAAAAGTAGTGGAGATCACTTGTCTGAAGAACCGTTGCCAGAACTAGGATTTTTCACTACTGATGAAGAGATACTATCAAAATATCTTGTCTTCACAGAGAGACCAGAGCAGTCATATGTGTCAGGCTGTTCTGAAGGTTATACCACTGAAGAAGGTAAATGCAGTAGGATTGGGTTAAACAGTAGCGTGCTTTCAGATCCCAGCACAGATTTTAAACCTCCTCAACTAAACTTTGACCTTGATGAAAAATCATGCGTTGGCAGTTTGACTAGAGAGACATTTGAAGAGACCAAGGTGGAAGCAGAGGCCTTCATTTCACTTTTGTCAGATGGCTCCCAACTGCAATGCAAAATAAGTGACTATGGTGATGTAAAGGATGATGAGAGAGCTTGTGTAGTAGAGAGATGTGTGAAGCTAACTGAGCAGCTCTGCAAAAAAGAGTCAGCCTTGAAGAAATCTCATCAGGAGACCCAAGAAGCTGTTGAAAAATGGAAGAAAACGATAGCTGAGCTCTGTGAAATTAATGTGGAACTGAATAAGGAACGTGAAGCACGGCTATGTTGTGAAGAACAACTTCTTCAGAAAACAGAGAGGGAGAAAGAACTTGAAAACAAAATAAACCTCCTAGTAAAGCAACAGAATGAGGATGGAAGCCAATCTTACTGTGCTACAGAACATTTAGCAGAAGTGTCTAAATCCTCTACCTGGCAACAAATGGTAAAAGACCTCCAGGAGGAAAAAGAAACGTTGATGGTGCAGCTGCGAACTCAGGAGCAGTTAGTGAAGGAAGTTCAAGAGCAGAAAATAGCTTCTGATTCTGTAACGAGTGAAGTACAGACTCTTTTTGGACGTCAGTTGGCTGCTTTGCAAAGTCAAAGGGATCGAATGCAGAACCAGCTTGATGCTCAGAAGGCTAAAAACCAGAGAGTAACGGAGTTACTTGGTCAGAAAACCATACTGGAAGAGACAATGCTAAAAGAACAGGAGTTGCTCAAAGCAGAAATCAATAACAAAGAGCAAGACTTGGCACTCTTGGTGAAGGAGAAAACAGCATTAGGAGAGAGATTATCCATTGTGGAGAAGGATCTAATAAAAGCAGAGAAAGCATTAGCAGCAAATGCTAGCATCATAGCAGATCTTGAGAAAAACATACATGAAGTTAATACTGAAGTGCAAAACATCAAAGAAGCACAGGAGTGTGAAAGACTAAGATATGAGGATAGGTTGAACTTCAACAACATGGAAATTAGTAAACTTCATGCTGAAATAAAGGCAAAAAGTACTGAATACAGTGAGAAAGAAAGCCAACTGATTGAAGAAATAGCTCATTTGAAGAAGGTTCATTTGGAGCTTGAAAATTACTTGCGGGAATCCTTTCAGTCTGTACAAGATGCAAAGAAGGCACAGTCTGAGATGATGAATTATTATAAGGAGGAAATTGTTAAAATGGAGACTCAGCACCTTGCAGAATTAACTAAGCTGAGTTTGACACACAAGAAGGAGGTAGGCAACACCAGTAGTGGCAGGTTTTGGATTTTTTGAATACTTAAAAGTAGTGATTGCAAATGTTTGTATCCCTGTTTTTAGATAGAAGAATTAAATGCTGAAGTAAAAGATAAAGTTGAAAAGCAAAAGAAGTTGGAGGAAGAAAGAGTAGAACAGCTTGCTTTAGTAAAAAAGGTAAATAGTGCAATCAAGTTTACTTGAGAAAAATAAACTTACTTTGCATTGTTTGTCACCTAAGCAAGATAAATGTTCTGGAGATGGAAAAAGCTATCAACTGTTTTCTTCTTTTTTGTCTTTGATTTGGGACTGGGGGAAAGGAGAATTTTCAATCAGTAACTTTATAGTGGGGGCTAACCAGCACTGTTATGAAGAAAGCCCTTTATCTGAGCATTCTGTGCAGGTACATGAACGAGAGCATGACCGTGAAATTTCTGAACTTATTACTAAACATAAAGAGGAAATGGAGGAGCTCCGTGCTGAACTTAATAAAGAAAAGCTACAGCTGTTGGATGAACTTCAGCAGCAAATGGCAGCCACGCACAAAGCAGAGATTGAGCGTGCCCAGCTCCAGTCACAGGTAAAATAAATGAATACAGCAATTACTGTATTGATTGTGAAGAGAAGGGTCTGCAATTTTTGTCCATACTAGGCATGTTATTTCAAATAATGTTTAATTGAGTGACAGATATTTCCTTGGTGAGTGATAATACGTTTTTTCTGCAGGAGCTCTTCAGAGTCATTCTCTGTGGTTGTATTTTAACATTAATTTCAAAAGAAACTGAATTTGATTTTTATTTTCTTTATAAGTTTAATAAATAAATGTATACATTTTAAAAACCCCAACATTTTAGTTATCCTGCTAATTACATTTGTTGAATAATTGCTTTTGTGCAAAATTGAAGCTTGCAAACCTGACTTCCTTCTAAGTATTTACTGTTTAGTTTTTTTTTTTTAACACTTCTAAATGTAAAGTGGAAAGACTAGGTCTAGTTGTCTAAATTTGACTAGGTCTAGTTGTCTAAATTTGACTAGGTCTAAATGTAAGATGCTGGTGTACTGTTTAGGTTATTTAGGAATTACAAATTTTCAGGCAGTATGTTTTGGCTGCCAGTTTTAATTGATGGATATTCACTATTTTAGTTGAATTTAGTTTCCACATTTCCAATACCACGTTAGAACCTTGCTATGTACCGTGTTATAAACAGTAACCAGAGAATTTCTGTAATACTCAATGAAGGAATGGGATGTACATGTGCTCTGTTCCAAAGACTGTACGAGAATGGACATATGGAAGGTATTTTGTTAGAGTTGCAGTTAAGAGGCAGATAAGGAAAACTTACTTTGCACTGAAAATTGTTGGTAAATCTCACTGTTGCAGAAGTCAGTTCTGTCTTGGCCATGACGAAACACTTTTCAGGTACAGAAAAGCAAAACTTAGAGGTGCTAACAGTTGAAAGCAATTCAAACTGAAACTGATGATGGGGGGAGGAAAAAGTGAACACCTGCTGTTGGAGGAGACGCTAAAATGTTTTTTCTTCTCCATTACAGACGCTTCACAGCCTTGAATTGGAAGCATTGCGCCTAAGTTTAAATAACTTGCACACCTCCCAGCTTGAGCTTACTCAGTCTAACTTGAGAAAAGAAAAGGAAATTGCACTTGTGGAACTACGGGAGATGCTCAATGATAAGCGTGCTCAGGAGATAGCAATTCTACAAAGCCGCCATCAGCTGGAGGGGGAGAAAATTAAGGAACGTTGTTTGAAGGAAAAAGAAGACCTAACGTCAAAGTATCAGCAAGAATTAGGTATTAAATTTGGGAATAACAGGCGAGATATTGAAATTCAGTCAGTATTATTCTGCCTTCAGGGGTTTCCATCGTGATGTAGATTCGGCGTTATGATTGAAGGCTGATATTGCCTAGAATAGGTATAGTGAGTAGACTTGCACGTGCAGGATTAAACTTTGAAGTGCAAAAATAAAGTTATCCAGACCTAATCTTAACTCTTCTTCAACTATGTGCATGTTCTGCAGTTGTGTCTGTAAAACAGCAGTATATTAAGCTAGTTGCTTTCAGGAAGCGTTAGACAGGGCTGTCCCAAATAATTTACTTGGTGCAAAGAGTAGAGCTCTTATCTGTGTTTCTTAAGGGTTTTTATTGCCCTAAGTCAGCACTGACTACTGGTGTGTTTCTGTCAAGATGTGTAAAAACTTACTGCCTTGCCCACTTGTTGGTTTCAAAAGTAAGAGAAAGGACTTGGAAAGGATCTGAAAGACTCAGTGTGAACTTGTACCAGATGTTCTGTGTGAGAACCAGGAGGAAAGCCACAGCTGTCAATACTGAAGCCCTGCTGATGGCTCTGTGCCCATTTTGGAGGTATTTACCCCTTTTCAGATCAGAGAACATTTTTTCTGAACAATATGGCAGGGCTTAAGGAACTTCTGGAGAAAGGTGAGGTCTGCAGCAATTCACTGAAGAACTTGTAGGAAACTTTTAGTTCTCCTTTCCTGAGAGGAAGAAATATTTTTGGTGGCTTTTTGACTCAACAACAGAAGAGCATAAGTAATATAAAGAACTGCTGGGTTAATGGGGTTTTGGAGTACAAGGGGATCTGAGCAAAGTTCTCTGAATCAGTGCTGTTTATCTGCATTTTGGCACTGTAAGTTGAACATAACCACTTAGAAATGCTTGAATACAAGGACCTGAAGAGGATCTAAAATTAGATGATGCAGGAGAAATGTGAGCATTGTAGATGCTGTTATCTGGAAGGATAGAGGAAATTTTCAGGGAAGTGGTGATTGAACATGACCCTAACTCCTGTGAGAACTCATACATTCTTATCTTGTAGATGAAATTTCATCTTACATCTGACCGTTGGCTGGGTAGCTGATAGTACCTCAGTCTCTGGAGTCTCATTTCCCACTGAGAAACTTGAAGTGATGTTTAAAGCTAAGGCAACAGCACTTGGAAGAAAAGAAAGTTTTCTGGTGTTCTCATGGCCCTGCAGAGGTGCTGAGTCAGAACTTATAAGGAAACAAGGAATGAACTGGGAAGCTGTCAGTGAAAACGAAGCACATAATAGTATCTGTCTTCTGCTCTGTTTTCCATGCATTTTTAGAAGACATTTGAAAAAAGTTTCCCACTTGCTGTTGTCTGCTGCTCTTTTGCTATGTCTCTGGCAACAGAGATGATTGTATCTCTTATGTGTTATGCAGTGAAATACTGCTGCCTAAAATGACAGTGATGGGCATTTGAATTTCCAAGTGTGGAAAAAGGAGGGTAGTTTATGTACTTCTTTAAAGTGTCATACTGTCTCTGTGGGCTTAGTTGGACATTCCTTTACTAATTAAGCTGTCCTTAGGCTTTTCTTAGCAGTTACAACTGCTAGATAATTATTACTTTCTAAAATGAAAGGGAATTACTGGGGTATAACGTAACAATAGGATTAGATAGGCATGCAGCAGCATAATGTGCAAGGGTCTGCCTATTCAAGCTCTAAGTGTGATGTTGAAAATGTTCATCTATATTTCTACTTGTCATTTAAACATAATATTGTATATACATTTATTAATAGTAAGGATTTTTATTTCACAGTTGATCAAAGAAAGAAAATAGAACTGGAAATGGAAGAGAAACATATTCAGATGCTAGAGGTACAAATTTTGTTCTTCATAGAGGGAGGAAAAAAAAAGAACAATTTCCTTTAATGAACCAGAGCTGGAAGAAGTCCCATGTCTACTACATGTTTGTTGTAGTGGACAAATAAATGGAATATAAAGGGGAAAAAAAACCCCAGACACTTGATATTTGCTAAATGTTTGCTTTAATAACGCACATATCTTTTTGTCTTAGACTCTTAAAAGAGACTGGGAGTTGGAGTCTGAGATGCATTTAAAATACACGTGTGAGGAGCTGTCTAAAAAACATCATGCTGAAATAGCAGAGCTGCAGAAAACTCTGGAAATGGAATTAGAAAAAGTCAAAGCAGAGCTGGGACTTCTTTCTCTTGAGAAGGAACAATCTGAAAGTAGGTGCTATGATCTGAAAAGCAGGTTTCTTTATCCAGCAGTAGCAAAGCTATCCATATAAAAAAGCAAATACAAAACATATCCTTGTACAAGAATGAGGTTGATGGCATGAGACTGTTGAAAACAGGAACTAAGTGAGAAATGTTTTTAAAACTCACATAACTGCATTGAATTTTAACTTGCACTAGACAGGTGTTTTTCTTTGAAAGTATTAAAGGTGTTTTGCTGACAGATTAAAGCCAGCTTTAGGCTAATCAAGATTTCTGTTCATATTCATGGAAACTTCTTCAAACTAAAACATGCACCTTCAGATTCTTGTTACAAGAATCTTATACAAGTTACAACTTGGTGGAATGACATCTTGTTTAAGTACTGTTCTGTAAGTGACTTTTAAGACTAGCGTAATTGGAGTTTTTATTATCTTTAAAAGTAATTTAATGATGAACACCTAACCAGATACATCCTCTGCTGACATGCAGATAGAAGATAGAACTGTGAAGAGCTTGGATAGGGATTGAAAATTTGATGCATTTACTGGAATTGTGATTTACTTGCCCTTATTGCCAGTAACTGCATGAGAAGGATCCACGAGATAAGTATGCTGTGAAGAGAGAGATCTCGTCAGGTAGTTGAGCCTCCAAGACTCTATGTCAGCGAGAGATGTGGGAAACATTTTCCTCAAACGAATGAGAATACTGTGCTGCCGCTGCTGAATTCTGATACCATCTGGCAAGCAGCAGGACCAAGTTTGAGAAGTGAAGGGTGGCCTTCTTATGTGCCGTAGGCCTGGTGCTTTCACTGTGTTTGAATGGCCTTTGGCTGCTATGAGGACATATTTCTACAAATGGCTTGTTCTCCCCTGCCTGCACTGGCTTTACCAGGTTTCCATGAACCCTGTAAAGTTTGCCTGTAAAGTTTATTCTGTGAGGGTAGTGTGAATCTCTTGCAGAACACCATGGCTGAAAAACAGTCAGTTTACTGCAGGTGTTTTCTGACAGACCAAGATTTGTTGACTGAATGAAGTAATTGCAAGTTTAGGGTTTAGAGGCAAGTTTACAGGGTTCAGAGAGTGCTCAGCACTGAGGCATGGCATAAGCCTCTCCAGTCCTTCTAAGTCATCTCTTTCATTTCTCGCTACTGGCTGTAGTTGTAGGAGAAATTCTGTGTTTGTAGGCCACGCAGAAATGTTTGATTCCCTTAAGGAAATGTGCTTCTAGTTCAGAATACTTCTTGTATATGCAGAGAGCAGGTATTCATCTCTCTGGCATTACTGTTTGGTTACTTCTTGGCTAAGAGTGTATTATATAGATGTATGGGAACTGCTGAGTCACGGCCTGAATCTCTGATTGATCACCTGAGGTGAGCACTGGTGAAGGCAATTCACCTTGCTGCTGGGGGGGGGTGGAGCCTGGCTCCTCTGGGAGCTCTCTCCTAGACCCATTGAAGAGCTGACTGCCAGTGGGGAAGGATCTCTTCTGGAGATCTCTCCTCTGGAGATTTGCAGCCTGAGATGTGGGTAAGCGTTCTATCTATTCTCTTTTTGTATACTCTGCTTTGCCAAGCTCTCTTGTTTATTTCATTATAACATCTTTATATTCATTGACTATACATTAGAGAACTGTGGTAGCACTGTAGTGATCTGAAAGTAGTGAGACCTCTATGAAAAGGCTTTTATTGCTGTGAATCCTACAGGAAATGTAAGCCAGCATAGTGGTCTGAATACATGCTATTCCTATTTTAGTCACACAGGTACAGGTTGTTACTTGTTAGCCAGGATGATGGTGTAACAAAACTCATTTTCAATTTTAGAGAAATGTGTAGATTTGGAGAAGCAGCACCAGTTAGCAATCACAGCATTAACTAAACAACTGGAGGCTGAACATAACCAACTCCTGGAAAATATGAAGACAGAAAGCCAAGAAAAAGAACAGAATCTACAGAAGGAGGTAAAGATGATTTTTTTGCATTGACTAATTGATTACTATGTGTGCAGATCATATACTCGTGTTATTATTTGGGTAACTGTGCTTAGGGGTTTAAATAAAAAAAAAAACTGAAGCACACACATAAAGTAGGTGCATACTCTGGGACCTTCTATAGCAATTAATGATTTGAATGCAACTGCTGTTCTGCAGTTTGGTGCCATTCCTTCCTCTGTATTAAGGATTGGCACTTTAATATAGGTGATGTTCTTGATTTTTGAGATTTGTGTTTCTTGCTACTTGATTCTTGCTAGCAGTGTTAACTGTGGCATCAGAATGGAGCAAATCCGTTTTTAAAATACATCTAATAGGTAAGCACTCCTCAGTATCTCAGGTATCCTGGGTCAGGATATGAATGTTTTGATATCACTGATGTTTCCACCTTGTTCTGATATAACTGTATGTGTTGCATGTAAAGTAAGGAATCAGAAAAAAAAAAAAAAAGTTTCTAATGAAATATTGTTATTAAATCCCATAGCTGGAAAAACTTCAGATCATGCATGAAGAATTCAAGACTCGATCACAAGAAGAAGTCAGGCAGCTTTGGTCTCAACTTGGCAGTACCCGAGCAAATCGGCAGGAGTTAAGTGGTATGCTCAAAACTTAGGCATTTTATTTTGTTTCATCTTGGTCGTGTGGTTGGTGTGAAAGGAGTTTAATTGTGTACCAGAAATGCTCTGCTAGGTCACTGATACGTGAAGTACATCACACCCTAGTGATTGGTGTGTGATGAGTTTGTGAAGTGAAAGGTGAGTCAGTGTTTGATGTCTAGTTGGTTCTAGTTGGATGTCAAAAAATGTGGTGTGGCTCTCTTGTTTTCCATTCCTTTCTCTGCTCCAGCCTGCATAGTATAAATATCTGTAGTGAAAGCCAAATGACTTCATTGCCACTTCAAATAAATGTCGTGTAGTTAAAGATGGAGAAAATCCTGGTCAGTGAACTAACACGCTACTTTTTGAATTCAGTACATGATTATAACTTCAACTGAGAAAACTGTTGATTTTTAAGATCACCATGTCGAATCATAGAATTGTAGAATTGTTCAGGTTGGGAAAGACCATAAGGATAATTGGATTCAACTGCAACCTAACCATACTACCCTAACAGCACCCTGCTAAATCATAGAATTGTGGAAGTTGGAAGGGTCCTCCAGAGAGAGTCCAACCCCCCTGCCAAAGCAGGTTCCTTACACCGGGTCGCACAAGTAGGTGTCCAGGCTGGACTTGAATGTCTCCAGAGAAGGAGACTCCACAGCCTCCCTGGGCAGCCTGTTCCAGCGCTCCGTCACCTCACCTAAAGGAGTTCTTGCGCACATTTGTGCGGAACTTCCTATGCTGCAGTTTCCAGCCATTTCCCCTTGTCCTGTCTCCACTCACCACTGAAAACAGGCCTCGCCATTCTGCCCCCCACACCTTAGATATTTATAGACCTGGATCAGGTCCCCTCTCAGTCTTCTTTTCTCAAGGCTGAACAGACCCAGTTCACTCAGCCTTTCCTCATAGGAGAGATGCTCCAGGCCCCTCACCATCTTCGTGGCCCTCCGCTGGACTCTTTCCAAGAGATCCCTGTCTGTTTTGTACTGGGGAGCCCAGCAGTGCTCCAGATGAAGCCTTACCAGAGCAGAGTAGAGGGGGAGGATCACCTCCCTCTCGACCTGCTGGCCACGCTCTTTTTTAATGCACCCCATTGGCCCTCTTGGCCACAAGGGCACACTGCTGGCTCATGGCCAACCTGTCATCCACCAGGACACGCAGGTCCCTCTCCGCAGAGCTCCTCTCCAGCAGCTCATCCCCCAGCCTGTACTGGTGCATGCAATTATTCCTCTCTAGATGCAAGACTCTACACGTGCTTTTGTTAAACTTCATCCGGTTTCTTGCTGCCCAGCTCTCCAGCCTGTCCAGCTCTCGCTGAGCCTGAGGCCTTCAGGCACCCCTGGGGGACACCATTGGTTACAGGCTTCCAACCAGACTCTGCACCGCCAACGATGACCCTCATGTCCCTGAGCACCACATCCAGATGTTTGTTAAACACATCCAGGAATGGTTCAAATACCTTCATGGGGAGCCTATTCCAGTGCTTAACCACCCCTTCTGTAAAGAAGTTCTGCCTGATATCCAACCTAAACGTCCCCTGGTGCAACTTGAGGCCATTTCCCCTTGTCCTGTCACCAGTAAGAAGAGACCAACTCCACTCTCACTGCAGGCACCCTTCAGGTATTTGAAGAGAACGATAAGGTCTCCCCTCAGCCTCCTGTTCCCCAGACTAAACAGCCCCAGTTCCTACAGTCTTTCCTCATAGGCCATATTCTCCAAGTCCTTCCCCAGCCTTGTTGCCTTTCTTTGCACCTGCTCCAGCACCTCCATGTCTTTTCTGTACTGAGGTGCCCAAAACTGAACACAGTACTTGAGGTGAGGCCTCACCAGTGCTGAGTACATGGGCAGGATGACTTCCCCAGTCCTGCTCACCATACCATTACTGATCCAAGCCAGGATGCCATTGGCCTTCTTGGCCACCTGGGTACTCTGCTGGCTCACATTCAGCAGACTGTCCATAAGCACAACAAGGTCCCTTTCCATCAGGCAGCTTTCCAGCCACTCCTGCCCAAGCCTGTAGGCTTACCCAGGGTCGCTGTGACCAAAATTCAGGACCTGACACTTGGCCCTATTGAAACTCATACAGTTAACCTTGGCCCATCAATCCAGTCTATCCAGGTCCCTCTGTTAGTGCCTTTCTCCTCTCAGGCGGATCATCACTCCCTCCCAACTTGGTGTCGTCTGCAAACTTACTGATGATGCACTCGATCCCCTTGTCAAGATCATTAATAAATATGCTAAATAGAAGTGGCTCCAGTACTGAGGCCTGGGGGACACCGCTTGTGAGTGGGCACTAACTGGATTTAACTCCACTGACACAGCTCTTTGGGGCTGGCCATCCAGTGTTTCACCCAGTGGAGTGTGTGCCCTTCCAAATGACTTCAAGAGATTTGTTGTAGCTGTGAGGATTTTTTCTGTTATTTGTTGATAGGCTACTTTATTTTAAAAGAGAAAGGCAGAAATATTTCAAAACCGTGTGATCCTGTTTAATCTCCTTTTTTTTTCTTTTTGAAATGTGGTGTGAATTTTATGTATCTTAAGATTTCTGATGTAAATTATTACAGTTACAAAGACAACTTCACAGCGCAGAAGTTGGAATTGACATTTTTTGCTTGAAAAAATAGAAGAATAAATAGTAGATATATAGTGGAATAGTAGAATATAACTCGTATGTGTACAACAAATATATTATATATAATAAATATATAATAAGTGAAGGTGTAATTTTTAAGAATTAAAATAGGCAGCGTGATTTTAACCTTGACTCTGTATGTTGCCTTTGGTAGATTGTAACATTAGATGGCATTCTTATACTGGGTTGGTCTAAACATATTATATTGCCATTTGTTTTAAGCATAATTTTCTGGGCTAACTGGAGTTGTAAGTACCTCATCACCGGAGGTGTTCAAGAACAGATCGGGTGGGGCCCTGGGCAGCATGATCTGGTTGCAGCACTGCTGGTTGGCAGCCATGCCCATAGCAGGGGTTGGAGCTAGATGATCTTTGAGGTCCCTTCCAATCAAGTTGTTCTATGATTCTATGAAAATTTCAGAATTTTTTAGCTAATGTAACTGTAAGCTTTTGAAGTGTAATTGGATTTTATGAAGGTGTTTTTTTTTTTTTTTTCTGTCATTTGTTCATACCACTCCATAGAATTTTCTTGAATTCTTGAATATCCCATCTCTGTAGTCCTAATCTTTATTAACTCTTCAAATGACATTCCATGTGACTAATCACTGACATTAGTGTTGCTTGTACCCTTTCTGTTTCTCCTTCGTGTTACTTGAGATGGTGAGTCAGTCTGGTCGAGGATGGAAACTCGTGTTCCAGGTGAGGATCTCTCCTTGTATGAGGGGTTCTTAATGGTGTTTGGTTTTTCACTGCTTCTCTCCACTGAAGTCATATGGTGTGACAATGCATTTGAACTGGTTTGAGGACTTACTGTGGTGGATCCAAAGCATAGCAGCTGGACAATTGGATCACTGCTCAGATTTAAAAATGACCTTTCACCAAAGGTGAAAGTTATTAGATGTCTTCCTCTGTTAATTTCATACTGGTAGATGTTGCTGATTAGGCAAAACCTACCTATGCAGTATTGGTTTTCCCTTGTCTGTGCTGTTAGTGTTCTCATTAATCCTGGCTTGTCACTTGATTCCTCTGATCCTTGTACATAACAACTACTGCCTTAAGCAGATGTAAGCAGTGCACTTAATGCTCTTACTCCTTGTTTGTGTGTTTGCTGTGAAAAATTTCACTCCAAGTATGTGTTGCATTTTTTTTCCTTGTTTTCCTTCATGAAATGCAGTTCTATCTTCAGTTGATCTGTGTAGATTCATAAAACCTTAAGTCACCATCACCTACAAAGTTAAGCCATCTGGAGAACTGTTTTTTCTTACACTTTTTGTCCTTTTCCTACCTTGGCTTCTGCCTATTGCTTGTGGAATAACATTTTACAACTATCTCAACAAGTAAGATATGGCTGATTTTCATTTGTAGTTGTACTCTCTTGAGTGCTCATGCTGTTTTTATTTCCATTCCAGAGCTGAAAGAGCAGCTCATGGCTCGTGCATCACAGGTGGAAGAAATGGAGCATTTAAAGCAAAAATTTGAAGAGCAGCGTCAGCGAACAAAAAGTGAGCATGAGGCTGAATTAGAACAACTGAGAATCTACTTTGAAAGAAAGTTAAGAGTCGCTGAGGAAAACTACAGAGAAGAATTGACTGTGCTGCATCAGAGACTGCAAGAACTGAAAGAATATTCAGTATCTGAGGTTGATGTGAGCCATAATCAAGTAGGGAATATCAGGTATCTCTTTTTTCTTTTTGTCTTGTGTTCTAATGTGGAGTGTTTCCATTTGTTTGTCTAAAAGGTGATGTTAGCTTGTAAATATGTTGGGGTGGGGCACTGGGGGATTTAGATTAGTCAGATACCTAGCAATGGAAGTAATGAATGTGGAGGATACTTTCCTATGTAGCTATTACAGTGGCTCTATGCCTGCTTTTCATACCATATGGTAAGTCAGTACATTTAACCTATTTCGTGATGCATGGTATGGTCTTGAACTTTAAAACACTTTTTCTCTTCCTCAGTTCTTCTGTCACAGTTTTTGGAGAGGTTGAGAAAGAGAGAAAAGACTTTTTCCTTGATCAACTGAATCAACAGCTGGAGCAACATAAGGTAGGATTTTGGAGATGGTGAGATACACACAACTTATATGAAAATTGATGTCTGATTCCCAGCTCTTAGCAAAGGGTTAGTTGTATTTGTGATGTTTATTTTGACCTGATTATTTTTGTTAGGTATTTGTAGGTTATTACTTTCAAATAATCCATAGGATATTGTGTCCCATATCTAAAATGGAGCAAGCTCTTACTAATTTCTTCCACGCAAGTGGGGATTTTGCAACATTTCTTTTCTCTATATATTCTGTAGCAATTGTGCCTCTTACTGCTGTCTGTTCTAAGTGGCTACACTAATTTGGTCTCTCCTCTGTATTTTCATATACCTTTTTATGATTTTAACATACTGACTTTTTAGATAGATTTATTTGAAGTTGACTTATAGTCAAGAGGAATTTTCCTATTTTGGTTTTAGGTTTTTATTTTTTTTAAATTAGCTATAAAAATAATTTTCTTTAATGACAGGATGACAAGCAGACAAGACATAGACAAGACAGCATGAACTCAATTTCATTAGTAAACAACACCAAAAAAAAGACGGGTATAAAATAAATGAGAAAAGAATGTATCGTGGTTTGTTTGTTTATTTGTTTGTTTCTTGCTCCAGATTGTTTCCGACTAAATATGAAACTGCATTCATAGGTCATGATCTCTAATTTATCTACAGCTGGGAAGACATCTGTGGCTTCCCAGGGAAAAAGAAAAAGGGAACTTAAAAACAGGGGGCTGACTGACTTTTTGTAGAGTCTGATAGTGACATGAAAAGGAGAAAGGTTTTAAAGTCAAAGGGGAAATGTGGTTTAGATGTCAGGGGGAACTTTTTACTTGGAGAGTGGTGAGGCTGCCCGGAGAAGCTGTGGGTGTTCTCTTGAGGTGTTCAAGGCCAGGCTGGATGAGGTCCTGGGCAATCTGATCTGGTGTGTGGAAACCCTGCCCATGGCAGGGAGATGGAAACTAGATGATCTTTTAAAGCCCATTCCATCCCCTTTCATATAGAGGAGGAGTCTTTATAGTCTTGAGAATTGATGGTTTCTCCACCTAGATGCTTGTGGGACTTTCCTCTGTATTATATCTTCAGACAATTCCTGAAATTCTGCTCTGTCCTGTGACATGATTCCAGATTGTGTATGCCTTGAGTGGCTCTGCCACTGTACTTAATAGAGTGGCAGGAAAAGAGAAGAATTAGGGCTTTTGTAAGCCAGGTATATAAATGTCAAGCACACACTTCTCAGTGGAATTAATTTTGTATTCTCTCTTAGAAGAATCTCATCATGATTTCCTTAAAGGTGAAGATGTCTTTTTAATTCATTTCTTATGCAGGAAGAAATTGCCTGTTTGCAAGGGCAACTTAAGGAAGATCACAGACACGAACTAGATTCCTTAAAATCTTCCCTTGCACTTCAATATAAAGGGGACCTACTGAAAATGAAGATGGACCTCTCAGACAAGTATATAGTAGAAATAGAGGAAATGAAAAGAAAGCATTGTTTAGAACTTGAGCAGCTCCGTGCCAGACTTTCAGAAGAACATATCAAAGGTAAGATAAACTTACAGATTGGAAGTAAAACGGCAAGCTGATTGTGTGGATAGCACCTTTTAAAAAAAAAAAATATTTAAAGGTTACCTGATGAAATCGTTAATTTTTTGTTGCTTTGCTTTACAGAAAACACTTAAAAACACCAGTGTTAATCACTGGTATTGAGCACTTTGCTTTTTGACTCTTATGGGGATATTGAATTGCTTTTCTAAAGATTTGATGACCTGACGGTGGTTATTCTGTAGTAAAACCTACTGCAACTGAGGAACAGGAGTTAATCACATTCCATTCTTGATGCATGGGACACCAGTGTCAATTCCTGAATTAACATTAAAAATTGCAGAGAAAGATTTTATCAGGCATGTTTAATCACTGTCATATCTGGATGAAGTAGATCATTTCTCAGTCCTTTCCACGGAGTATAAACGTCGTTTTGTGGTCTTCATAGCATTCTGTTCGTATGACTTCAATATCTTTTTCCTTCTGTGTTTTCCGCTGGTTGTTGTGTATATACTGGTATGAATTTTTTGAACAAAGAAGGAAGTATTTGCAGGGAACAGGTTTTGTGATAGGTAGCTATTGCTATAGAACTCAGGATAAAATTCCTTTTGCGGCTAAACTTAATGAGACTTTATACTGGTCAATTTTGTGTAATTTCTTAACAGTTACACTTTTCCTTGATAAATGCTTTCTTGTAATTTGTATGAATATGCTGACTTATATGCATTTTATATTGAACCAGTACATTGTTTCTTCCCACAGAAATCACTAAATTGCGCCTGCAGAGTGCTCAAGATGCAGCACGTCAAGTTGAAATGGAGGTGGCCAAGCGAGTATCTGTGCTGGAGGAAGAACACAAAGTTAAGCTCTCTCTCCTCCGCTCTGAGGAACAGCATATTGCAGAGCTTTCAGAAGAAATAAAGTGTTTAAAGGAAGAGATAACTAAACAAAAAGACTTCTTTGTGCAGAATGAGAAGCATCTGAAAGAGCAAATGGAGCAGGTAACCCATGTTACTGTTCTGTTCGTGTGGAGCCAAGCAAGCACAGATCTGCTAGGAAGGCCAGGGAGATACGCATGGCACTCATCTTTTACACATACCTGATTAATGATGTTAGCTTCAAGTTTAAATGGAATTGCATGGATACACTTGAATAATGGAATGTATATTTGTAATTCAGAGCGTGTTAGTGTTAAACACTTGAAAGTTCAGATAGCGTGGAAGGGGAAGAGTGTTTCAAGGGTTGATCCTGTCCACCTTTTCATTAAAGCGAGTCAAACATACACAACCACTTCTGATACATGTACAAGTAAAGTGATGCAGTTATGTACTGTGATGCGTCATGCAGTAATGGAGACTTTAAGAAAAAGTGATGTAGCAGATGGAAAAAACCTTTCTTTTGATTGGGTCCCCTTGAGGCAGTTTCTGGTTCTAATAGGACAGTTTTCTGAAACAAATAGGTTTTCAGACCAGATTTTTGGGGAGGAAAAAAGAATAGGACAACAGATTTCTGTTTTCATTTTGCTCTGGCTCTTTGACTGTTAAAGCTTAAGAGATTGAGAATCACTTAGGTTGCAAAAGGCCTTCTAGATCAAGCTCAATCATGTCCTGACCTACAGAGTCCTGTAACAAAACCAGCTCCCTTAGTGCCACTTTCACACATCTCGTAACTGCCTCCAGGGAGGGGGCTCCACCATTTCCTTGAGGGTTCCATCCGATGCCTAACCACTGTCTCTGTGAAGAATCTCTTCCTGGTGTACAATCCAAACCACCCCTAGAATAATTTAAGACTATTTCCTCATTTCCTATCATTTTTCACTTGAGAAAAGAGAATGACACGTTTAGTACTGCAACCTCCTTTTAGGTAGTTGTAGAGAGTGTTGAGTCTCCCCTCAAACTCCTGCAGACTAAACATCCTGAATTTCCTCGGTTGCTCCTCATAAGTCTTAGTTTCTGCTTCCCTCATCAACTTGGTTGCTCTTCTTTGTATGTGCTTGATCAACTCAATATCCTTCCTTTAGAGAGGGTCCCAAAACTGAATGCAACGTTTGAGGTGTATTCTCACCAGTGCTGCATGCAAGAAGACGATCAGTTTCCTGATCCGACTGACCACACTGTTCCTTAAAAAAGCATTTGGCCTCCTTGGCCACACTATTGCTCTCCTGGCTGTTGACCAGTACCTCTAGGTTCTTGTGTACTGGGCAACTTTCCAGCCACTTGCCTCCACGCCTGTACTGCAGTATGGGGTGGATGTAACTCAAGTGGTACCCAGTGTTTACCTTGGTTGAATGTCTTGCAGTTGAACTCAGCCCGCTGATTTAGCCTAACTCCATCTCTCTGCAAAGCCTTCCTACTCTCAAGCAGATCAACTCTTTTGAGTTGCAAACTTTCTGAGGGTGGATTTGATCCGCTCATCAAGATAACTGATACACATTTCATTTGGCTTCTGGTCTTTGCCTCTTAGAAGCAAAGTAAATTGTTGCCTCTCAATTTCTGTTGCTTCATAAGATGTTTTCATGGATTGTGTGTTAATCTGATTGTTTGTTTTTTGCTTTTCTGCCTCTTTATTTGGCTTGTAGCATAAAGGGATATTTAAATACATCTTCAAAAGAAATCCTCCAAGTGAAAGCTGAAGAAAAAATGTTACTCGATACATCACTTTTATTTGATCTTTTATTAGCTTTGTTTTCCTTTTAAGGAATAAGCATGTTGTTTCTGTAGTTTACATGCTTACCCTTGTTTTTTAGGGTCTTTATTGCCTTTTGTCATTTAGCAGTCATTTGGTGCTTGGCTTCTGTTTTTATGCTAGATGCTTTTTATGTGCTTTTTGCTACATGTAAGAACTATCCTTGTAATGGACTTCAGTGCTGTGTATAAAATATCACGAGGATGTTAAAGGTGAGGAGAGGTATAAAAGAAAATTTTAGTGATGCTCAATATTAGTAACTTTTTAAGTTGAACTTCTGAAATGAAGAAAAGTGACCACAAGAGAACGTAACAAAGGGTACTAATTATTTTTGCTTTAATTCTCTTTCTCTTTTCTCTACTCCAATAAATTCTTAAAAGTGAGCTGAATTCAGGTTATATAAATTTATACTTTTGCCTTACTTTTGTTCAGAAGGATGACTTGCATGCAAGAATTGAATCTCTCCTAAGACCTTAAATGCTTGAGAAGATTCACTTCAGGCACTTCAATTTGGTTACTGTTTAATGCGTTTTTAATGACTGTTTTCACAGGTAAAATTTAAAATTGCTGAGGATCATGAGAATGAATTAAAGGAAGCCAGGGAAGAAGTTCAGAAAATAGAGACTATGTACAAAGAAAAAGAGAAGAAATGGAAATGTGAAAGTGAGGACCAGAGAATCCAAGCAGAAGAGAAATTATCACTGTTGCACACAGAACTGCAAAATAGGTTGGAATGTGAGAAGCAGAATTTACAGAAGGAGTTTGAACTTCGTGAAACTCAAATGAATCAGCTCCAAGATCACCAAGCTGCCAAAATTGTAGAATTAGAGAAGTTGGTAAAAGAACAGCAAAACAACTTGCAACAGCTAGAAGACAGCCTTGCAGTTGCACAGGCCACACAGAAGTCTCAGGAACAATATGACAGTGACCTACAGGCAGCCAAAGTGCTTATGGCAAAAGAAATGGAGAAGGCCAAGCTTTGTCTGCAGGAAGAGTGTGCGCTGAAACTTTTGGAAGCACAAAGCAAGTAAGCCTTGAGTATTTGAGCATTTTCATTTGCTGGGGATGAGTAGCCCTTGAGTCGGTAATCATTGCTACTTTTTTCTTATTTTGCAATTAGCAAGTGACAGTGGTGTGGATTGTCACTTGATGGCACCAGTTTACTTATTTATGTAGTGTTTACTGTACCAAGGTATAGTAAGGATGTCCATTATTATATCTAGTCTGTAGCCTAGTATTCCTTCTAACAGTTAAGGTTACAGTGCAACTTGTATTCTAGTCTTGGAGGAGAGAAAGCATGCATGACATACAGATGGAAAAACTCATGCATTATTTTTTAAGATTGCTTGAATTATTCTAATGAATTTGAGCGTATCTTTCCTGGCAAGTAAAACTTGTTATCCACTGAATGATGAGGCTGATGGGCTATATATGGTGTTCTTTAGTGAACTAAGTTCTGATTGGAAATGAAGGTTTTACATGCTCAGGTCTGCTCCTCTACTATCCTATTCTCCATGCCTTATTTTATTATATTCAAGGAAATCTTCAAATATGTGTATATTTGCATACATTACTTAAACTTTACCCCTGTGACTCTGTCCTCCTCAGATACATGCTCATTTGAAAAGGATTGGAGAAATAATTACAGTAAGAAAATGCTGAAACCAGGAACTTAGCCTTTAAATAACCAATCACTTCTTAATTACTGGTGTCTGTATTGAAAAAATGCTGTAGGTAATGATTGCTGCAAACTGCAGCGTTTCCAATACTATGTCTTCTGCACTGAGCTTTGAAGTAGATCTCAGCTACTGTCAGTTTGGAGAAGCCCTTCAGTATTCCTCATGTGCTTCCATGGTGGATTTAAGTCCTGGTCTAAACTAGATGCATTTAGAGATATTGCTTATGACTGTTTACTTGCAGACAACACATTTGAAATGTACACATTGTACATATTGTGTTCTAGATGCTCTCACAGAATATTTGCTCAATCTTGTTTTGATACTCATTTTGTTTTTGTGGGCTTTTTGTGCGCTACACCATCAGTGGAATTTAAATGAGACGGAGAGAGCAAGGTTTGCATGTTACTCTGTGTTGGTAGAAATGTAATAGGAGTTCAAACTTAGCTGGTAATAACCAGATACAGCCAAAAGACATTGACTAGATCATGATGTGGCTCTAAAATCATCTTTTGGTTTGCTTTGAATTAGTTCTTTATTAGAAACACAAAGTGAAGTTATGGAGTATAAATAAAGCCTTGTTCCTGTTCTTTGTTACTTATCAATTTATTTATTATTTCAACAAAAAGTGCCTGACAATATTCTCTTAACTTTATGGGAAATCATTTAGGTTTATGGAGGAACACAAAGCTTTGACTCGGAAGTTCACGGCTGAGCAAGAGTTTCTTCTCCAAGAGCTGAAGAAGAAACATGTTGATGAGCTAGAGCTTCAAAGTCAGCAGCTACAAGAGAAGCATAAGCAGAAAATTTTATCTCTGACAACTGAATTTCAGAGAAAGCACCAAGCTGAAATTAAGACACTTAAATCTACACTAGAAAGTAAACAGCAAACTCAACTTGAAGCTTTTGTTGCTGAGCTTCAGACAAAACATCAAGCACAAATTGATGCGCTGGAGGCTAAACACTTATCAAACCTGGATTCCTTGGAGTCATCCTACCTATCTGAAATTCAGAATATAAGAGATGAACATAGGCAGGTTCTTGAGAAGCTACAGCTGCATCACACAGAGCAGCTCCGTGAAAAGGATAAAATGAATCTAACGTGCCTCGCTCAGGAGATAGAGATATTGAAGTTAAAGCATGCTGAGGAACTTCAGCTAGCACAAAATAATTTGAAAATTGAGCTAGCTACTGTGCATATGGAAAAGCTTAAAATTATGGCTGTAGAAGCAGAAGAAGCTCATAAGGTAAGTCAAAAAGAAAACTTACTTTAGAAAGTGAAATTTCATGTTATATTTTTAAGCCTACGTAAATGTGAGAAGCTGTTGAAGTTTGTAGGATCACTCTTGTTCTTTGGGTATATTTTCTGCAACATCTTTTGAGCCAACACTAAATCTTGTGTGGCTATACTGTGACTTGAAATAAGAAACTGAAGATGAAAATGAATCTTTTTAAGAGACTGAGCAAGTGAAAAAATGTACCAAAAATATTGCAAGTCAAAAAGTTAGGAAGACTTCTCTAATTGCTGTAATAGAGGATGTTCCAGAGGGCTGTAATGTGTTTTCTTGTGGTGTGTGGCTTTGTTTTGCTTTGTTTTGTTTGTTTCTCCTCACCATGCCTACTCAGCTAGCCTAGTGATTTGATGGGGTTTCTATGTCCACATAGACTCAGAGGAAGGTCTTCTGGTGAATAAGATTTTTTTTTTTTTCCTGTGCTGTCTGCTAACTAATCTTAAGTCTGCACTTGAATTGTTCTTCAGCGTAAAGACTTTACAAATAAAAGGTTTAATGTTGTGTCAATGGGGAGTTCTATCACATACAAGGGAAAAAGCACAGAATTTACAGAACTATTACTAGATGGAAATGGTATTTCATTTCAGTGATACAGAGTGTGTATGTACTTTTTGTGAGACAACATTGCTAATGCTTACTTCAACTTTGATACAGAGGACGTGCACTTTACCAGTGGGTTACAAAAATATTTGTACTTTATTTTTACCCTTTTTTAATTGTTTGTTTTGTTGTAAATTAATGCTTAAACAGGATGACTTAAAAACAGCTCTACAAAATCAGAGAAGTTTGCTGGAAGAAGAAAAACGTCTAGCCTTGGATATATTACGTGAGGAAGTAATGCATATGGAGGAAAAGCATAGAAAAGCTCTGCAAGAACTTCAGAATCTTCATGAGGCAGAAATTAAGAAGCATAAGGAAGAGCACTCCAGGGAGCTGGAAAAGGAACTGGAGAAACTAAAAGCACAGCATGAGCACGAACAGGAGGTCAGAATGTTGGTAAAACCTCAACCCCAAATAAGCCATAGTTTCACACAGAATAAATTCCATCTTATTAACTTTAGAAGTAAGTTTATATATCCAGATGCTTTTCTGGATTTCTTGCAATAGTGCCAATTGATAAGAAGAGACATAGTTAACATTTTCTAGCCTTGCTTTATCTAAGAGGACCTAAGAATTCATATATGTGCGTTAGCCTTATTTTTAAAATTTGAATCCCTGTGTAAAATTTTCTGTCTCTACCTTTTGGGGAACCTGTTCTTTTTTTAATTAAACATTCTAAAGCTCTCATTTAATAGGTAATAATTTCAATAGGTAATAATACTAACTTTGTGGAAAGTAGCTGCTCACTTTAAGCTTTTACTGGTGATCAACTTTACTATCATACATTTCTTAGAGAAATTATAGCAGGTAATACTTTTTCAAATGTGTTTTATCAATAAGATTTGAAAATTGTCCTTGTTGCCATTAAGGCTTTACTATTTCTTCTTCTTCCTGGAGTTGTTTACATGTAAGTTTAACAAAAGCGGTAAGGGATATGAGCTCATAATGAAAGCTAAAATTCAATGATGAACAGAATTATTTTTAAGTATTGAATGGAGGAACTCATTTTTGAATGTTGATATGAGGAGTTGCAAATAATCAAGATACTCTGTAGTATATATTATGCTTGTATTATTAGGAGTAGTCACAAACAACACTAACTTTATCCAACTGCAACTGAACAATGCAAGATATGTTTTAATTTGCTTTTTCAGTTACTAATTTGAAAATGATACTGTAAATAACTCCCTAATTTGATCATTACTTTTGTATTACTTTTTGTATTACTTTGTGCACTTCACAAAAAGTGTTGCTTTGAGGAGACCAGTTTTCATTGTGTTCCTAGGGATTGTCAGGCCCTAGAGCTGGTATCTGTTCCCATTACAGACTCTCTTTACTTTTGGAAGAAAAGTCTGCCTAGGAAGTAAGTTTTGTTATTAAGTGGGAAGTACTTTTCATTATAAATGTTTTAGTTTTTACTCCTAGAAACAGGATTTCTCTCTATTCATGGGGTAACTCTTCTTAAAGAGTGTGGTTGAGGAGATATATGAGGGATCTCTTCTGATATTTTTGGTGTCTTTCCAGTCACTCATGAGATAACACAAGACAGCCACCTAATGATTAATTCTATGACAACAGGAGAAATCTTGTCTTACAAGAGATGCTCTTTATGTGTTTCTTTTTTTTTTTTTTTTTTTTTTTTTTTTTCTTCCTTTGTAGAATTACAGAATAGCTTGGGTTGAAGGGACCTTAAAACCCATCCAGTCCCAACACCTGCTGTGGACAGGGACACCTCCCACCACATCAGGATGCCAAGCTTTCTTTGAACTCTGCCAGGGATGGGGTACCCACAGCTGCTCTGGACAGCCCATACCAGGACTTCACCATCCTCTGAATTAAGGATTTCTTCCTAACATCTAATCTAGATCTGTTTGTTTTTAGTTTAAGTTGTTACCCCTTGTTCTATCACTACGCTTAGTCATATGTCTGTTGGAAATCAAACAAGTAGGGAGTAGTGTTAATCTTACTTGTCAGTCTTGTGAATATAGGAACTGTTTGGTACCTAATGGCTTCTCATTACTTAATACTTATTTTTATAAATTTGCTTTTCCATAGCGAGCATGAATACGAATAGCAGTTCTGTATGGCCCTGAGACAACTTATGGTGAAAATTCTCCTAGGCTTTGGCAGGCCTTGATTGTTTGTTTTTAGTTCAGTTTTTTTTTCCCTTGATTATAACACTGTGGTTAAAATACTCTATACTACTTCTTTGTCTGCAGATGTATGCTTCTGCATCAGCCTCTGAAGTTGAAGCTGTGAGGACAGCTCTTCTGTCTCAATTTGAGGCAGTCAAAAAGAAGCAGCAGCTTCAGTTCCAGGAAGAGATTGAGCTGTTGAAGTGTCAGTCAGAAGTACTCCTTGAACAACAAATTGCACAGCTGAAAGTAGGTAGAGTTTAATGAACATGAACTTAAAAGTGTGTACTAAAAGCTTATTTTTCTGAAAATGAAGAATTGTGCCAGTCAGTTTTCTTGCTTTTGTCAGCCTAAGCAGAAAACTGATTTAAGATCTGATGGAAAACTGGTACTTTTAGTTATTCAGAGTTCCTTTGTATAATCTGACATGTCCTTAGTGGATGTACTGCTTCTGAGAAGTACAGAAGAAGACTGCTTCAGTGATTTTGACAAACAACTGTTCTAGTTGAGGAAATCCTCACACTGCTTTAAGCCTGTTCATTTCTGTCTTGCTAATAGCTAGGCACTCTGCTGGTTGAGTCTGGAATCATAGATGGACGTGGCTCTTCTGCCTTGCTGATTCTAGATGGGGTTTGTATTGTTATTTCCAAATGCCAGAGTTGCTCTTTGTTCTTTCCTGTGATGACAGCCCTTGCCGTGCCATTAAGCAGTATACACTCATCAGCTGAAGAAGTGGTGATGGTAGACTTATTCTCCTCAGCAACTTCCACAAATGATTCGAGGCAGTATAGATGACTACTTGTGTTTTGCTTCATGCTTTGAAGTCCTATTTTATCCCTTGAGGGGAAAAAGGTTTTTTTTCACTTCTCCAAACAACAAGGAAAGCATTTTTCACCTGGAATATATCGGTGTTCATAGATCAACTTGCATATGGTTGAGTGCACCCTCAGCAAGTTTGGTGATGACACCAAGCTGAGCAGTGCAGTTAATACAGCAGAAGAGAGGGATGCCATCCAGGGCGACCTTGATAAACTCATAAGTGGGCATGTAAGTGTAACAAGGATTGGCAAAGCAAAGTGCAAGGCTTTGCACTTTGGATTACTCCCAGATTTGTGTAAAAGCTGGGAGAACTCCTTGACAGTAGCCCTGCTGAGAAGGACATAGAGGTTCTGGATCTAGATCAGTTTGATCAGTTTGATTTGTCATTTGAAAAACTGAATATGAGTAGGCAGTGTGTGCTTGCTGCCTGAAAAGCCAATGGTATCCTGAGTTCCGTCCTGAGAGGTGGCCATAGGGCAAGGGAAGTGGTTGTCCCTCTCTGTTCTGCCCTTGTGAGGCCCCAGGAGTACTGCATCCAAATCTGGAGCCCCACAGGAAACATGTGGAGCTTTTGGAGAGGGTCCAGAGGAGGGCCACAAAGATGATCAGAGAGCTGGAACACTTCTCCTATGAAGACAGGCTGAAGGAGCTGGGCTTGTTCAGCATGGAGAAGAGAGGGCTGTGGGCAAACCTCATTGGGGCATTCTGGTATATCAAGGGAGTTTAGAAACACGAGGGAAATCAACTTAATGCACAGGTAGATAGTGATGGGACCAGGGGGAATGGCTTTAAATTAAAGGAGGAGGATTTAGATTAGAAGTCTATTTCTGAGGGAATGTTGAGGTGCAGGATGATGTCACAGTTTTATCCCTAAATCTGTGTTCATGATGGGGACAACAGGCCCACAAACCCACCAGCCCAATCTAATATCTTCTAGACGAATTAGCTATTTTCAGTTTGTTCTTATAAATCACTTCCTGTGAGGAAGTCTGTGCTATGTGTGTTGTTTACTTGCAGTTGCCTCTGTCCATCTCCCTTTTCTGTTCCTTGTTATGGTATCAATAGTTTGAAATGACAAGGATCTTAGCAAGCACATTAAGAAAGTTCATTTAAATAGTTAACTATTTTTAAATCATTGTTCTGGCATAATTTTGTTCATCGAGGTGTAAACTGTGTAGGTTATTGCTAGTTAAACTGAGAAATGAGACAGCATAGTTTAAAAAAAAAAAAAGAAGTGAGTGTGTGTGAAAGGAGGTGGTTTTTATTCTCTCACTGTAATTCAAACTGTATGTAACTTACGAGGAGATAGTTTTTGTTTTTCTCTCTTCCCTTTCTTTGTGTAATTCAAATTATATGTCACTTACGTAGGATGAGTTTGAAGATGAAAAAGCAGCTTTAATACATGACCAGGAGCAAGTGTTAATTCAGGAAAGGGAGAAAGTACAGGCTGCTTGCCAAGAGGAGAAGGAGACATTGTCAGCACAGCTACAGGAAAAAGCAGCAAGAATTATCCAGGTGTGTGGAAAATATTTTAAACTTAGATTTCAGCTGTTCTTCTGCAACTGTAATTTAATACAGTGCTTTCATCTGTCTCAAGGTATGTATACAAGGAATGTGTGTGTAGTTCTAGTAGCTGCTAGTTTCCAAGGTGCAGTGTATTATGGACTTACAGTAAGATGGTCTCTTAGCTGAAATGCTACAACTGTAACATGGAAATTAAAACTGAACTGTAGTTTGAAAACTGCCCTTTTGTAAGAGAAGGTCGAATGTTAACCATTTTGTTTTATATGTACTGATGCTATCTGTACTTATTGCATTGTTTTCCCTAGAAAATAGTGCTCTAGCTTTTGACAGGCCAACAGACCTATAATTTGGGAGTATGGACAGGTAAATGGGAAATATGGCTCCAGAAGTGGCAAAGACAGTATTTGTTTGCTAAGCAAAATTCTATACCTCCTGTAAAGCAAATCTCTTGGCTGTAATTTAGATTACCCAGAGACCTTAAGATATGGAGGAAAAGCATGTAAAATTGTTTGTCTTAATTACGGAACTTATAATGGTTGTTTTTTTGAATAATCAAAATAATGGCTTTGAGTTCTCAAAGTAGAAGACATTAATATTTTTTGTCTTCACTTGCATTTCAGAAGGCTCTTATCAAAATGTAAATTTGGTATATTGGAATATTTTGCTGTTGATATATGCATTCATATAGATATACATATTCTTTTAATGGAATAGAGGTGCCACATGAAGAGAAGCGTAAGGAGAAAGGGCATTTTCTAGAAAAGTCTTTTTCATACACGGCTTGTAAAGGAAAGAAGAAAAGTACCTGAGAACGATCATACTCTGTCAGGTTGCTATTCATGTTTGTGTACAAGTGTCAAAATTTCTGCCTTGGTCATTGCTTTGCATTTTTAAGGTGTGAACAACAAAAATAAACTGAAGTATAACAAACTTTTTCTAAGCTTTTGCATTGCTTCTGTGTGCTAAGTCTGAATGCAAATGAGACAGCTTCCTAAAATGAAATGTACATCAGAAAAGGAGAATGAAGAGAAAAAATCCCATTTTAGTCTTTCTGCTGCCCTTTATTTCTAGTACTTTTGGAAGCAAGTTTGCATTGCAGAGGGTGATGATTAGGTAAATATACAGAAACTAATGGAGTGTAGGAGTGAAGTTCACAGTCTGTGCAAAGTGATCATCTTTGTCTGTTGCATTGTTATTGAATTTTCCACAGCTGGAAAAGAGAGTCGAATCTTTAAACTGTGAAATAAAGGAGACCAACTGTGAACTGGAGACACTCATAGAGCGACGGGACAGAGAAAACCAAGAAGGAGGCAATTTGGTAGCCATGTTGAGATCTGATATTGAGCAGTCCAAAGACGAAAGGTTTGTCCATCTTGGGTTGGATAGTGCTTTGTGATTATTTATTTTTCTCATTTCTTATGAATAATTAAATTCAGCTAGCTCAAAATAACAAAGATGATTATATTGGCTTTACTAACCTATCTGATATGGAGAGCATGTTGTGTTGTTGTTTCTTTTTCCTCCCTCACGCCACAGTCCCTTCTGGTCTGATAGAGAATTCAGTGTTCTGGTTTCACCGCTGTCTATAATCCTGGCAAAAGCTAGGGAAGCTTTCTGTATCCTAGGAAGTGCAATCTAGATCAGTTTGATTTGTTATTTGAACACGTGGATCGGAGAGAGGCTGACATGTTGAATAGTTTTCCAGAAGAATTCCTTTTCCATGCTTTTAAACAAGCAAACAAAAAACTGACTTACTGTTTAGTTGTGCCGTGCCAGGGCTTCCATCCCATTGTTTGGCTTCCTGTAGGATATTAAAGTATGACAGACGACTTGTTCTTGGATGTTCTATGCCTGACTTGAATATTTCTGCTATTTGTTCAAACTTCCATGAACAAATGTAGCAGAAATTTTTCAGTATTACATGCCTCAGAAGTACTGTCAATGTTTTCTTCAAATTAAAATTCTCCATATGTGCAATTTTTTTAGTCTACTCTGCCAGGACACCCTTATTTATTTTGGTGTTACAGGTACTATGTTAATAAATGTGTTCTCCCTGCTGATGCTTCCATAAATATGGAGAAAACAGATTTTAGTTTGCAGAGCCTGCATCTGTATTGTTTCTTTTGTTGTTTTCTTTGTTTGTTTGTTTGTTTGTTTGTTTGTTTTGTGTGTGTGTGTGTGTGTGTGTGTGTGTGTGTGTGTGTGTGTGAAATATTTGAATCTTCTTCACTGATAATTGTTAAACAATGGCAAGGTGTCTGTTTTAGACTGTCAGGTTTTCAGTACGTTTGAAGCCTCTAAGCACGCATCTTGGCAATGTTTCATGTGCTTCTGTTCTAGGAAGAAAATGCAGGACTCGTATCAGTGTCTTTTGAAATGGCTTATGGAGCTGGTGAAGGCCACAATTGCTGTTGAGGATCTTATCTGTAGCAAGATTGGTCTTTGCCTTGATAACAGTATGGCTTCTGCAGATTCTATGGAAAGTCACAGTATTATGGAAGAAATAGGGTTTGTACAATGCTTCAAAGCTAAAGAAAAGAGTCACCTAGAGAAAGGTGAGTGCAAGTTTGTATAACTGGAAACAGTCAATTGATATTCTTGAATAATGGTTTTTCATTTCGTACTACATGGAGGAAGCTCTGAATAGAGATGTCTCTTGTTGCAATGTTTTTATGTTTCCAAGTTTTTCCACGCATAAGATAGCCTATCCGTGTATCTTTTAGTAGCAAAAATACTAACCTGATAAGGTTGATTAAGGCTGGATGGATAGCAGAGCAGGGAAGTTGAACGTGATGGATACAGAACTTCAGTTCCTGATGTGTAAGCATATTTCAAGGCCTTGCAAAACACTGTATTGATTTGTAAGCATCAGACAACTCTGTATTAACAAGTTTTTCACCTTATAATATATCTTCTGGGCTAAGCAGTGTTGCTGTGTGATGTCAGTTGTTATCTGACTGATGAGTTCTGTGTCACTTTTCTGTGCATTTAAGTAGCTTGCTTGTTTTCAGTAGATGAACTGCTTGATGAAACTCTCACAGAACACAGCCAGCTGTCTCCAGTGACCGAAGAGCAGTATGATGAGTTGAGCCAATACTTATATGAAAGTGTTTTTGCAAAGCCTGAAATGGCATATGAAAATGAAGAGATGATACTGAAAATTTGTGATCGTTTGCGCACTGCAGTGGAAAGACTTCTGGAACTGGTTACAGAATCAACTAAGCAAGTAAGATAATGTCTTCCTCTGTATAAAGGCATAATTACTCTAAAAATGTGAACTCTGACTTGAGGCTTGTATATGTCAGCACCTTGTAGGACTGGCTGCCCTGAGGAAAAATATCATGCCATATCTTCAAGCAAAGTAATACAAGGGATGTGCGTCTCCTGCTTCTTGCAGTGGATAATTTGTCCTTTATTTGAATAATTCTTATAACTGAGGCTTAACGTTTTTTTTTCTTTTTACAGCAAATCCTGTGTGAAGGAGATGACCTTACGAAAATTTAAACTAAAATTTTTAAGTGTTTCCTGACTTCTGGAGTACAGAATTAGCCTGTGATAAAACCTCTCATAAATAAGAAAAATGACATCAGTGCTTCTTCAACATTTGATAAACAAATTGAAGAAAATTCAGTCCCATATTAATATGTGTTAGGAATGTGTAGAGTGCAGAATCATTAAGGTTGGAAAAGACCTGTAAGATCTAGTCCAGCTGTCCACCTACCACCAATGTTGCCCACTAAACATATAGTAATACCGCATCTATACAGCCTCCTCCCTGGGCAGCCCACTTTTGCGCCTGACCACTCTTTCAGAGTTGTTCTTCCTAGTACCCAACCTGGACCTCCCCTGGTGCAACTTAGGCCCCTCACCACATCCTCATGTCAGGTAGTTGTAAGGGGCAATAAGGTCTCTCCTGAGATTCCTCCAGATTGAACAATCCCAGTTCTGTAAGGCACTCCTCATAAGCTTTGTATTTGTCTCATCACCCTTCTCTGACTATGCTCCAGAGCCTTAATGTCTTTCTTGTACTGAGGGGCATAAGACTGAACACAATACAGATTGAGGCCTCACCAGAGCAGGAGGATGATTGCCTCCTTGCTCCTACTGGCAGCACTATTTCTGATACAAACACAGTGCCATTTGCCTTAGTCACTTGGGCACACTGCTGGTTCACATTCAGCTGAGTGTTGACCAACACCTCCAGATCCTTCTGTTCCACACAGTCTTCCAGCCACTCTGCACCAGGCTTGTTGTATTGCTTAATAACCGAAGTGCAGGACTTGGCACTTGATCTTGTTGAACATCACCCTATTGGCTTCAGCCCAGCAATCCAACTTGTCCAGATCCTGACAAGTATCCTACCTTCAGGCATATTGACACTTCCTGCCAACTTGTCATCTGCAAACTTACTGAGAGTGGTCTCAATCCCTTTATCCAGATCATCAGTAAAGATATTAAACAGGATAGACTCCAATACCAGCCCTGGGGAATACCACTTGTGACTGAACTTGCTGAATTTAACTCCATTCACTACAACGCTCTGGGCCTGGCCATCCAAGTTAGTTCTTTACCCAGCAAAGAGTGTGTGTGTAGAAGCCATGGGCTACCAGCTTCCCCAAGAGAATACTGTGAGAGACAGAGTCAAAGGCTTTGCTGAAGTGTAGGTAGACTTCATTAACAGCCTTTCCCTTATCCACCAGTTGAGTCTCCTGCTCATGGGAGGAGATGGACTTGATCGAGAAGGATCTGCCCTGCATAAACCCATGCTGGCCAGGCATCATTCCCCAGGTGTCTGGCACATGCATAATTGCACTCAGAATGATCTGTTCCATAACTTTTCCTGGCACTGAGGTCAAGCTGGCAGGCCCATAGTTCCTCAGATCCTCCTTATGACCCTTCTTGTAGATGGGAGTCACAATGGCAAGTCTCCAATCTTCTCAGACCCCTCTGGTTGACTAGTAATGCTTATAGATGGTGGAAACTGGCTTGACGATCACCTCTGCCAGCTCCCTCAGCATACTTAGGTGGATCCCATCCAGCCCCCAAGGATTTGTGGCAGTCTAGATGGAGTAGTAGGTCTCTGTTTCCACCTGAATTGTGAGGGATTTATTCTGTTCCCCATCTAGATTTCCAGGTTTCCCAAGTGCAGCAGGCACAGCCCCAAGCTTCTGCAGCTCAAGAAGCCCTTGGACAATGCTCTCAGACATAGGGTTTGAGTTTTGGGTGGTACTGTGTCAAGCCAGGGTTTGGATTCAGTGATTCTTGCAGGTTTCTTTCAACTTGGGGTATTCTGTGATTATTGAATTTAAGTGCAAGGATGCCTTAAATTGCAAGATTCAGGTCAGGCAACTTGGCCAACAGAAAGTTATTTCTCTTTATGCACAGTAAAGAAGCTTTTGTAGCTAAGGATTTTTTGTGAGGAAACTACAGACAAGTGCATACAGGGAGTCAATAAAATGTCTAGTGCAAAGGAAAGCTAATACTACCAAGAAACTTAAAAACCTGGACCTTAATTTTTGATAACACTTACCCAGTAAGAGAAGGATCTGGGTTTAAATACACGCGGTTATTTTTACAATGCATCTGCATCCACAATCTAATCTTAGGGAAAACTGTTTATTTTTAGCTGGAAAAAACACATGAAATCCATGCACAACTTGAAGAAGAATTCGCTTGTCGAAATCAGGAGACTGCTCAAGTGGTTAGTCAGCATCAAGAACTAATGGAGTGCCTCAGTGAGGAAAGTGAGGCTAAGAATCAGCTGGCACTAGAGCTTCATAAAGCAGAAGGTAAGAAAGGAAAAAAACTGAGCTTATAACTGATTCTTCTAAGCATCTATGGTATCTTTTTGTGCTTTTTGTTGTACTTGATTTGTTTTGCCTATCTATAATATATATATTTTTTGCATTTCAAATTAAGTTACTTGAAGTTACATGGGTCATTTCTTGCAAATCTAGTACTTACTCTTTAATCCTCTGAATCAGAATTACATTTCCCTTGGACAGGTGTGATAGTCCTATACTTACACCATTGTCTGTGTGTGAAAAGCACCATAATTTTAAAAACAAGCTTGCATGTCTGTATGTCTAAACATGGGAACCTGGATTATTGAAAAGAAAATAATCCCATTATAAATCAACCCACATGTCTGACCACCGAAGGGTTCACCATGAACTAAAGCAATATTTGACAGCAGTACAGGCATAAAGAGATTCTAGAAGAAACAGACTGAGGTTGTTGATCTTAGTGCTATCATAGACAGCATATCATCGTCCTTATTCCTGCTTATGAAGGTTAAGATTGGAGGTATGCTGATTTGGTATTCTTTACGTTTTTGCAAGGAAATCTTTGGCTTCCATATTCTGGGATTTAAGTCCTTCAAGTTGAGCTTCTCTCCCTAATCTTGGTATCTGCTTTCTATTCATGGAATCATAGAATGGCCTGGGTTGAAAAAAACCACAACGATCATCAAGTTTCAACCCTGCCGCTGTGTTCAGGGTCACCGATCACTAGCCACATCCAGCCTGGCCTTGGATGCCCCACAGCCTCCTTAGGCAACCTGTTCCAGTGCATCACCACCCTCTGTGTGACAAACTTCTTCCTGATATCCAACCTAAACCTCCCTGTCTCAGTTTAAAACCATTCCCCCTTGTCCTATCACTATCCACCCTCATAAACAGTTGTTCCCCCTCCTGTTTATATGCTCCTTTCAAATATTGGAAGGCTGCAGTGATGTCTCCCTGGAGCCTTCTCTTCTGCAAGCTAAATAATCCCAGTTCCCTCAACCTTTTTTCATAGGAGAAGTGCTCAGCCCTATGATCATCTTAGTGGCCCTTCTCTGGACCCGTTCCAAGTGCTCCGCATCTTTCTTGTACTGGAGGCCCCAGGCCTGGACACAGTACTGCAGATGGGTTCTCACAAGAGATGAGTAGAGAGGGACAATCACCTCCCTCTCCCTGCTGGCCACCCCTTTTTTAATGCAGCCTGGGATATAGTTGGTCTTCCAGGCTGCAAGTGCACACTGCTGGTTCGCATCCAGCTTCTCGTCCACCAGGACCCCAATGTCCTTCTCCACAGGGCTGCTTTCAAGGTGTTCGTAGCCCGGTCTGTACCTGGGATTGCTCCAACCTGAGTGTAACACCTTGCACTTAGCCTTGTTGAACCTCATTAGGGGCCCACTTCCCTAGTCTGTCCAGGTCCCCTGGATGGTTTTCCTTCCCTCCAATTTTTTAGCAGCTGCACTGCTCAGCTTGGTGTCATCAGCATACTTGCTGAGGGTGCACTTGATGTCATTGATGTTGAAGAACACTGGTCCCAAGACTGACCCCTGATGGACACCACTTGTGTCAAGGCAGAGGCCAGTCACAAAATCACTGATCACAAACCTTTGGCTGCATCCAGCCAGTTCCTAATCCATCAAACTGTCCATCCTTCAAATCCACACCTCCAGTTTTGAGAGAAGGATGTGGTGAGGGTCCATGTCAGAGGCCTTGCAGAAGTCCAGGTAGATGACATCCACCACCCTTCCCCTGTCCACTGATATTGTCATTCCATTATAGAAGCCCACCAGATTGGTCAGGCAAGATATGCCCCTGGTGAAGCCAGGGTTCTGGCTGTGTTGAATCACCTCTTTTTCTCTTACATGCTTTAACAAAGCTTCTGGGAAGATCTGCTCCATGATCTTTCCAGGCACAGAGGTGAGGCTCTTCAGCCTGTATTTCCAGGCCTTCCTTTCTCCCTTTTTTACAAACGGGAGTAACATTTCCCTTTTTCCATTCACCAGGGACTTCACCAGACAGCCATGATTTTTCAAATACAATGGAGAGTGGCTCAGCAACCTCATTCAGAACCCTGAGATGAATATCATCTGGCCCCATAGATTATATAAACTCAGTTTCAGGAAGAGGTCTCAGACTTGTTCCGCTATTACAGTGGGACAGAATCTGCTCCCCACACCCTCACCTGGAGGTTCAGCATCCTAGCAAACATGGGAAGCCTGAACACCAGTGAAGACTGAGACAAAGCACTTACTGAGCACCTCAGCTTATTCCTCTTTAAACATATTCCTTTAGGCTTACTTGGTCTCTCCAGCATCATGTTTCCTTCCTTTCTATGAATAATTGGTGGATTTCTTGGGCTCTGAATGTAGCACTTGATCTTTCTGGAAAAATTCCTTTTCTTTTATCCTCTGAGCCCAGCAGAGGATTTGTCAAGCTGTCCTATGTTCTGAGTTTATTCCAAGCCATCAAGGCTTAACTAAACCCCATATATATTTCGCTTCTTTTGAGGCAATTTGTGATATGGTAGCCTTATAAAATGTATTGGAAAACACTGCTTTATTCCTTAGAATGTTCCAAAAAAGTCTAGCTACAGTGTAAGTTTAAGTAATCTTGAAATTCCCCCTTTTTCTATGATTTTATTGTTTGCATTAAACCATTTATTTGTGTTTTCAAGTTTTATTTTTCCAGTAGATGCATTTGTCTGCTGCTTTATATACATTCTAACTTGGCATTTTAGGCATTATTGAAGGCTATGTTGCAGAAAAAGCTGCACTGGAGGAGGCCTTGAATCTGAAAGAAGAATCTGAGCGTCGCCTTGTTGTGGAGTTGGAGAATATGCGTGAACGCTTCCAGGAACTAACCCAGGAGCAGGCAATTCTTGGTAAGGAGCGGGTGTGACACAGTGGTGAAAAAGAAAATGGCAGTGCATTGTGACTGGAAACTCTTGATGCAGTTCATCAAGACTGGAGAAGGCAGCATTCTTCTGTTGGGTGACTTAGTGATCGGCTCCATCTAGTACAGAATTTGGCAGGGTCATCCTGTTTTTAAAAAAAAAAAAAAAAAAAAAAAAAAAAAAAAAGGGCAGCTTTTTATATTTTGCCTTTTGAGAAGAGAGTACTGTTAATGAGTAGTACTATTTGTAGCAGAAATGCTAAGACATGGCCTGAATCAATGATTGAGCACCTGGTGGGAAGGCAGGGCCAACCAAGGGGATCTCAAGTGCATACAGTGCAATGCATCTGAGTGACTGGAAAGGCTGGAGCCAGGATCCACCCCTTCCCAGACCTCATTTTAGGGTTGGCACTGGAGGCAAGGGTATTTCTCTGGAGATCCCTGTATACCTGAGGCCTTCTGAAGGTAAGCGGCTTTCTTCCTTCATTTCTATGTCAGTGGTTGCTGCATTTGGGCTTGTCCTCATTTGCTGCAGCCAAAGCACCACCCCTATTATTGCTGTGCTTTCCATCACATTTGTAGTGTTACATAGAAATGGAAAGTATCTGAGAGGGGGGTGGTGGGAGGAAAAAGCTGTCTGGACTTGGTCCTAAGCAATTGGCTCTAGGTGGCCCTGCTCAAGACAGAGTATTAGACCAGATGTCCTTCACACACTGCAACCAATTTGTGAAAATAACTGCAGTGAATTTATCAAATCAGAAGAGAGACGAATTGCAGATTCAAAGCTTTTGGCTGCTTTCAGGGTGAAGTTAGCTTGATAATGATAGAAGAAATAACGTACTCTAGGAAGAATATTTGAGTTATTAAAACAACAACAACAAAAAAAAATTGATAATATTAACAGTATAAAAGTAAGTATTAAACTTTTGCTCTGTTCTTTGGCCTTATCCTGTCAGAATATGATACACATTGTCAGTATTGGGGACTGGAAAGATTTGAGAGATCAAGCTTGTGTAGGTAGGTTTCTAAAAGAAAGAGCACACTTTGAAGAACTGAATGAGATGCTTCCCTCGCCGTGGTCTCTCCAACAAAGTTATCTTTCACATTTCTGTAGAGGGTTGACTCACCAAAGAGCCAGTGAGAGTCACCAGAATGGCAAATCAATGTAGTCTACATAACCTAACTCCTCCTGTCCTTGCTCCATCACTGCCTTAGCCCCACAGAGTATGTGATAGCACTTAAGCAGGCTATAGAGAGCTTACATAGGGAACTGGAGTTGAATAAAGGTGAACTCTTCAACATACTGGATGGACTCTAATAACACTCAGTGAGTGGTGGTTGGTGCTATTCTGCTTTACAAATTAGGAATACACATCTTTACAGTGACAGCAGTGATTTAGCAACTATACGAGGAATCTTAATGCTATGTACATATAATACAGTGTGAATTTTTTTTGGTTCGCAGAGGAAAATTCAAATATGTGAATTGCACTATGCAGGAACTCAAGACTAGGTTATGTTGGTGCTTAGTCATTTAAATAGCATTATGTAGTTTGACTGTTTGAGTTTGTACCCTTGATATTGTTTTAATACTTCTGTGAATGAATTTCTGTGAATCATCTCCCAGTAGAGATTTTATTATTTGAGATCACTGCCTTTCCGTTATTAGTGATGCCAAGATGAGCCTTTGGATACATTCATAGATCTGTACTGTCTGAGCCAGCTATATAACAGATAGTTCTGCTCCTTTGGTCAGGAATAAAGGCATAAGGAAACAAATTGCTAGTGATTTTTTTTTTTCTGCTGTTGGCAGTAGAAGATTGTAAACTTCTCCACTTTTGATTTTGGGTCCATGACCAATAGTAGTCTGAAAGACAGGTAGAATTCTATGACAGCCTTATTGTATCGCTTCTGTGCAATTCTTGTCTGCCTCTCATCTCTTCCCTACCTCATCTTCCCTTGTTCCTCTTGCTGCTCTTCACCTTTTTTCCTACTGGATTCCACCACTGTACTGATCTTGTGGGTTACCATCCTTCCCTGTTCTGCTATTTGACTCTGCCCTCGATATTTCAAATATAATGCAGTCAAAATACTCGTGTTGTTCATGTGTCATTATTAAAAGATGTTTGTCTGAGCTCTCATTCGACATCTTAATGGTAGCTTACTATTACATAAGGATGAAATTGATTAGTGATATCACACACAGGTTGTCCTGGCTTAAAAAAATCTACCATTCTTTGCCACAATAAACAGAGGAAGAAGTAGGGGAAGAACTATCATTCTTGGTGGAAAGATAAAAGAATATTAGCAGATTCAGGGGTATGATACTGAAGGCAAGTCATACTTGATTTATGAAGGTGATTACGGCATGAAAGGTTATGTCCCAAAGGAAACACAAAAGATTATTTTCAGATATTATTGAACACAAGTACTTCTGGCTGTCATGGAACTGTATGACAGATTTTGAAGACTGTAAATCTATGCCAGCTCTTTGAGTCCAAGTGGACTGAAACCTGCTTTGGGTACATTGATAGAAACTAAAATGGGGGTTAAGGCATTAAATTTTCCATCTCAGTCTGGGAGAAACTGAAAAGCTTACTAATTCTTTTATAAAATGTGTGACTAACCAAGCATGTTGCAACAAACTTGCACGATTAAAATATGAAAGGATTTTTGTGGTAGCTGCAATCCAATTATAGGCGTGGATTAACATACAAGATAACATATAGGATGTGTCCTAATTAAGAAGTATTTTTTTGTTGAATAAAAGGTAGGCACTATCTGTATTATACATGAGTTTCTCATGGTGACTGAGAAATCTAATTTAATGGATAGGTAGATCAGAAAAAAGAAAGGGAGGGCAGAATGATGAAAGCTAGTCATGGGAGCAGAAAACAAGCAAGAGATTTACCAAATTTTACCCTGATTTCTAATGGTAATGTAAAATTTGCAGACGCCAAATTCAACGGGGCATCTTTTTTTCTAAATGAAAATGTATGTACCTAGCTCCTGAGAAGCAAACACTGTTAATCTGATAAATCCATAGCTGCCATGATTTGGTTATTATAACAAGCTTTTTAAATTAAATTTATTCATATGTATGTGCTCATGTATTTGCTAGTTTTGTTTCCCAGGTTTCTTTTTCCCCAAAGAATGTGAGCTAGATAAATGTTTCAGGTGAATAAGGAAGAATAATCCAATTTAATTCCATTTAGAGCTGCAATGCTGCACTGGGCTGTCTTGGCAGTTACGATATCTTTATTCCTTCTAACCATTCAGTTCTCCCTCAATTTTCATTCAACATATTTTTGGTAACCACCTCAGTGTCCAAAAATGAGTTGCTGTTGACTGTAGGAGAGAGAAACTCTAACTTGACTGGTTAGAGTGTCTGGGGATTGCTGTTCTTCTGGTAGTTCCAGGCCTTGTCGTTCGTTAGAACTCATACAGTTATTTTTAATGAGTTGTGAGCACTAAAATTCATCACCTTTCCCTTGCTTCATCCATCTATGGTACTCTTCCTCTAGTTTGGAGTTTTTTTAGTATGTGGAAAGAATAAATAGGAGTAATATTGTGTGAAGTTGTTTGGCGTGGCTTATTCCTTGGAAAATGGATCCCTTATTTTTTGTTCAGTAGTACTAATGCGAATAGAATGGTCTTGCTGATAACAAACAGTTAGAGCTTGGCATTTGCTACTTGCTAATGATGTGGGGGGAGAAGTGTGCTGGGGCATTGCCAAAATGAAATTGTGTGATTTGAATTAGTGTAAATAAAATAACATGTTTTTCCCATGAAAATACAAATCTCTGATCTGATGACCCAAGCCTGTTGATTGAAAATGTATTTGTATACCAGAGGAATGCACAGTTTAAAAAAAACAAACAAACAAACAAAAAAACCCAAAAAACAGCCTGAAGAAATTGTTCAGGCAGACTGCACTTACTCTACAGATTGAGTAGAAGGCAGTCACCAATTTCGGATGTCTTTTCACTTCCAAGTGAAAGCTGTTATTTTTTTCTTAATTTGCATTTCTGTTTGAGGAGGTGGCTGTGACTATTTCAGTTTTATCTAATCAGCATTTTGTTGCTCAAAAAGCAATAGTTCTGCTTTTGAAGTTTAAAAGAAGCCATCAGCCCATTAAATACCACATTACTTATATGGGAGAAAAAATTCGTATGCTTGCTTTCAGAAGAGTCAGCTCTTCACTTGAGCCGGTCCACACGTCCTTGCTGTCTGCATACATCAGTATCTGCTTTACCCTCTGCTGAGCATTAGGTGTTAGTGGATACAGGGGGATGCTATTCTATTCCAATCCTCTACCTAGCAAAGCAAAACAGCTTATAGAAGATAATCTCTATTGTGCAGATAGGGCATATATTACTTCTGCAGTTGCTATTTCTAATTCTGTTAGAATTCAGACTGTCCTTGGGACTCTCTGGACCTTCTGTTTCAGCCTGAGATAACTTGCTTGGGTGTATTTCTTGGTGACTGGAATCTGTAACAGCTTGCTGACCTCCATTCTTCCTTTGTCCAAAAGGTCTGTGGGGAAATCGCTGTGGTGGAGGCCCTTCAGCTGCATGACTCTTCTACTGCTATGTTCAGTCAGAGCTCCAGTTACAGCCACAGCTCCATGAATGCTTGATTTGGAAGTGCTGGATCTTAGTTAATGTGATTGTTCAACTATGATACAGTGCATTCAAAAAAGGTTAAGGAGTGTATAGCACAATGGTTGCATAGTTGATGTTAGGCATTGGAGACAGCATGGTAGATTGCTGTGAGTCTGTAAAAGCAGTTTTTAGTTGTAATGTACTTGTGGGCTATCGGTCAAAGACAGAAATCACATAGCTGCAGTACAGCTTTTGAAGGTGTACTGCATACATGTATATCTCTCTCATCAGCGGTTCCTCAAAGTCCTTCATTTATTTTGTGATTTGTTAGCTGAATAAACCTAAAATGGTAGGTGTAGCCTGGAGCCAGTGTATCTGAGTGTGAGGGAGGGAAGGGCACTTAATGTATTGTCTCAAATGACTGCAAAAAAAAAAATTTTTTTTTTTTTTCTTCCAACTGGTGTGTTGTGCCCATTGACAGTGCACATGAACAAGAAATAACTGGTAAGCAATCTTGTCACTGGGAAGTTCTGTGTTTCAGTTGGTTTTGGAAGCTACCAAGGGCACTTAGCAAATCTGGCAAGTGGTTAAAGAATCAGGTACATTTCAGTTTCTCTTATTTAATTAATTTTTAGTTTTACCGTGTGTATTTTGGTATCCTTTTAATGCAGAGGAAGAAGAGCTGCTATAGTGAGAGACTATGATGACTGAGAACCTACTTGTCTCATTATTGAACCTCTTAATTCCCAGGGACGAAAACTTCACAGTTTTTGTTCAGTCTATTCAAGTGTTCAAGTGCTGCTTACCATTACTACTGGGACAGTTTCCTCAGTTCTCTCCCTAAGGTGTTTGTTTGTTTGCAGAGGTTTATAATAGGAACTTAAGAAGGAATTGAGCAAAAGTCACGTGAATTGATTTGATTATGCTTGGAAAAGGGAATTCTCCCATCCAGGGGTCTGGTCTAGATGATCAGTTAAGGTCCTTACTGGAATCGCAGCCATGTTTTTCCTCGGTGGCTGACAACATTTAAGATGAAAAATGGAGCATTTGAAAAGTGAAATAAAGAGTTCTTGCATGACTTTTCTTTAAGTACTGGATAGCTACACTTCTATTTTTGTATTCAGGTAACTTTTAACTACAGTTGCTTACAGATAGCTTTTCTCTGTATGCGGAGTCTTGGTTTGGGTCTCCAGAACAGTGTGTCCAGTGCATCCAGCAGGCTGACAGAGCAGTTCTTAGGCGTAAATCAGTTTGTGGTAACTTAACTGGTATTGAGCTTTGCACATTTTCATGTTTATGGTATTTCTTTTGCAGTCTCCATAGCATAAATATGTACCATTTTTTTCCCCAGGTTTGAGAGAGTGGCTGGCTGAAATCAGTGTGTGGATCTTAAACTTGTGTATAGAGAACATCTGAAATGGAGTGAATTGGAAGGAGTGAGGATCCTGTGTGCATGGAAAAGAACCTCTGGGGCAGGAGGGGTGTTGAACTGGGGCTGAGGGGGGGAGAGACTGAGAGAGGGAGTTTGAATGGATCCTGGTTATGTAAGGCAGTTTTAATGGAAATGGTTTCTAAAGATACAGTGGCAGTCAGGTGTCTGACACTTTGTTTTGAGTCTTTAAACAAACGGAAATCCTCATCTCCTGAGATGGCCAGTTTGGTTTTATTGCTGTCTAAAGTACCTGAATTTAGTCTTAGAAACTCAGGTTCATCGTTGTACCCTATGCTGATAACACTGCAGTTTTTTTATTCTTGTTCAGGTCTTCTCAAGGAAGTAGAACTTTTAGCAAAGGAGAAATTGGAACTTGAGTGCCAGGCAGAAAAGGACCATTCCAACTTACGCTCTCAAATGAAAGTTCTTGAGATGGAACTGGAAGAACAGCTGCACAGTAATCACGACCTGACTAAACAATTGGTGGAGGCTGCTGAGTTAAAGCAGCAAATTGAAGTCCTTGAAAAACAGCTTAAAAACCAGCGACAATTCATGGATGTAAGCAGGCTATATTCTCATGGCTTTTAGGTGATAAATACTATTCCTAGTTTGTGATTGCAGTCGTCCTTACAATACAATGCATGTTGTTTTCTTCAAAAGATAAGTCCGTTGTATTCTAGTCTTGAAAAAGATTAGAATTAAAAAAGGAGGATTGAAAACAAGATTGTTTTTCAGTAGTACTAGATATATATGTATATATTTTCTTTTTATTAATTGCTGATGGTAACTTGTATGTACATTGGAGTTAAGTTGTTTTTCTTTGTCTTTCCCTGTAACTTTATCTAAGCTTTCAGGGCTACAATAAGTTTTTTGTTACTTGTAAGTAAGCATGGCTTCTTCACAGCATTTAAAAAAAAAAAAAAAAAAAAAATCCTATCAATGAATCAACAAAAAAATTTCTTTTACTCAATAATTTAATGAAATTAAAAGTTTCTAAAAAGTATTTTACTTATTTTACTTATTTCTGGGTTGATAGGAACAAGCTATAGAAAGAGAACATGAACGTGATGATTTTCAGCAAGAAATTAAAAAGCTGGAAGAACAGTTAAAACTTTCAGCTAAGTTACAGACTTTGGGAAAGCCCAGGGAGCATGGGGTGAGTAAAAGCATGTTTAATGGCCAAAGGAATTAAATACCAAAAACTGTATTCTCTTTGGTGACTTTAAGGGACTTGAGTGTGAGAGTATTTGCATTACTTAGAAGTGTTTTATTTGAACACATGAACTACAGTGAAGCTTCACAGTTCATGCATCTGATTTAAATTAACTCTGGAGAACACAGGTATTTCTCTACAAAGGACAACTGAGGAAAGGCTTCTGGGTTCCAGACTTGTTGTATTTATGCAACTACACTAGTTGTCATAAAAGATATTCTTCGTCCCTCTGGCTTGTCCTATTTTAAGTTTATAAATCAATCCTTTTGTTTGTATACTCATTGATTTGATACTTGGTTTCAAAAATTAACTTTTTTTTTCTTCCTTTTTTCATAAATGAACATTATACAGAACTATGACTTGATTCTACAGGTATGGAAAACAGCATGAATATCTCTTTAACCTATCTTTCCTCTTCTTTCAAACCCTTCTACTTAATTAGATACGCTTTTGCTTTTATCTCTTCTTCATATGTCAAGCCTGCTTCAGTTTGACTCAGAGATACATGTTTTAGAATGAAATGATTTTTTCAGGGGTAGGAAACTGCTTTCATTTTAATTTCTTGTCTATAAGTACTTTTTTTTTTTTTTTTTTTTTTTTTTTGGATGAGTGCTGTATCTAGCTCTAGGGCCTCCTGCACAAGAAAGAAGTGAACCTATTAGAGCAGGTTCAGAGAAGAGCAACAAAAATGATCAACAACCACTTATGAACATGGGCTGAGGGAGCTGGGCTTGTTTTGCATGGAAAAAACTGGGGACTTTCAGTACTTAAAAGGAGAGAGTGTGATTTAATGTGATAAGACAAGTGGGAATGATTTTTAACTGATGGGAGATTTGTGTCAGACGTTAGGAGGAAAATCTTCACTCAGAGAGCAGTGAGGCCCTGGCACTGCCATCCAGGGTGCTGTGGGTGCCCCGTTCCTACAGGTGCATGAGGGCAGGTTGAATGGGCCCTGGGCAGCCTGACCCTGTGGTAGGGACAGCCAGTCCATGGCAGGGGGTTGGAACTAGATGATCTTTGAGGTCCCTTTCAACCAAAGCCTTTTTGTGATTCACAGAATTCAAAGTCTGTCAGACTGTTAAGTGGCTTAGTAAAGGGGAAGTAAAGGAAAGTTTAATATTATTTGGTGTAACATTTACAACTTCTTTCGAAAAGGAATAAAATCTTAAATGGAAAAAGGCACAAGGGAAGTGACTAAGCAAGTGAAAGTAAAGTGTATATATCTGTACAGTATGTGCATCAGGATTTAGACAGTTCCTACACAGCCATTTAACAAAGCTGTAATAGCAATAATTACTTATTGCATTGAAGCAGTTCATTTGAGCTTTTAATTTCTGCATGTAGCAATAAGAACAAATTCATGGTTATTCTGTTTGCTATTCTATGCACTCAAGGTATATGTGAGTGGAATTATTTGGGGAATGAAGTGCTGACAAGATAGCTTGGAGCTATCATGTGATTGTTTGCCGTGGGGTTGAAGACTGTGAAAGTATTTTCTGATCTACAGAATTGTAGCACTAGCTTTCTAGTGGGGTGGTATTTGAAAATATAAATTTCATATGTTAAAGTGTTGTGGTGTCTGGGATTCTGATGACTTCTGGCAAAATCTTACAGCAGTAGAATGTATTGGACATTTCAAAGTCTTTTCTATACCTAAACACTTTTCTGCATGGCCTATTTTGTGTTTGACACTTGTTGATTTACTGATAGCACAGGGAGGGCTTGAGATGGAGGTATGGATATCTACATCTATCCAGATTCTTCTGTATGGACACATATGTAATTAAAGGTCTATAAGCAAGTGAAAATGTAACAATAATCACTTTTGGTATTAACTAGTCTATGATGCTCTGTTTATTGACTAAATTGTGTTCCTCTGTATTTTACTAGAGAGTGTTCTGCTTTAGTACAATCTGTGCAACAGAGATACGAAGTTCTATATTACTATGAAGTATTTTTATTTTATAATACAGTAATGAAACTTCTATAAATTCAGTCACTTCTTGAACAAAGCTTTTATTTTATAAAGGTGTTGACCAAAAAATTCTCTTTTGGTAGATCTTCCATTGCTTTCGCTTCTGGGCATGCTTTCCGTGTCCTTGATGACTTTATCAGATATGATATAGTCTGTCACACTCAGTTCTTTTCTACCTGTCACCCACCAATGCTTCTAGCCCTGCCTTCGCATTAGTTATGGGGATGAATGAGTTTTCCTGAGACTCTGTGCATGATTGGATCTTACTGAGCGCAAGTGCAAGTTGTCATCCTTTGTATATTTAAGCACCTTTTAGTAAAGGAGTGCTAGTTCTCTATTGACTATGGTGAATGTCTCTGCATGGGAGACATTGATGAAGTTACATATTTATTTTTCAATTCTTGGTATTTTCCTTTAAACTGGAATTCACTGAAGTAATAAAAATTAGTTCTGAGGTTACAGAAATACATCCAATATTATTGGTAATAGTCCATGTAATACTGAGGTTTTTTTAATCTTAATCCATAAATACAGCAAATAAGGTCCTTGTTGATGACCACTGGGCCTTCAGAGCATACTTCTATGCAACATTTGTTAGACTACTATAAATGCTAAATGAGAGTAATCAAATTTGTATTTAAGAGCCCCTCCATTCAGAAAGCAAAATATCAGGAAGTTACTTTTTCATCCTTTTTCCATCTCTGATTTATCTATTGTCTAATTACTAGTTTAATCCATAGCAATATTCTGCCTGCTTAGCATTAAAATCCTTCTGGTTCCAACTGGAAGCTTCTTATGTTACCTGAGTGTCAGTATAATGTGATTTCTGTATAGGTAGAATCTTTACAAGCAGAAGTAAAACAGAAGGTGGATGATTACAATAAGCTGTTATTAGAAAAGGAACAAAAACATCAAGAAATTACAGCTCGTGATAAAGAGATTGAAAAACTGGTGGCACAAGTACAAGAACTGGAGCACAGCAGTACTGAAGTCTCAAAGACTGTAAACTACTTGCAACAACAACTTCAAAAAATGAAGAAAGTAGAAACTGAATTAAAACAGGTAATTTTTAAATACTTAACTATGATAGGCATTATTCAGACATTGTCTTCATGGGAGCTGTCAATAACTTTGTCAGTGTTCTTGGAGGCTATCTCTTGCATCAAGGAGTGAGAGACTATTGTGTTAAAGGCAGCTATTACAGCCACAATTTTAAACAAACTGTGGCTTTATGGTCTTTATGACATTATTATATTGTCAACTGTCATGTTCGCACGGATCAAAACTCTTGTTTCTCTGGAAGATCCTTAGTGATAGTATTACTGACTGCAAAGTATGGTGGGTATTTAGTAAGTAACCATGCTAAAATTATATATGCTTAATCAGTAGCTCTCCTTGCTCTGTCTCTGGAGCCAGATCAATTTGCCCTGCTCCCAAAACTGTTGTGTTTTATATTGCTACCTCAGATTTAATCACAGCTTAAGTAATTGAATTATATTCAATTTATCAAAACTCTTGCTTTTCCGCTAAGCATCTGAGTAACCTTTCCTGTCTTATTATAATAAATATATTTTTCCTTCCAGCAATTTTCCTTGGTTAAGTATTGTTCATGTGTATGTCATGTTTGAAGATTTCAGAGTAGCATGATCTAAACTAAATTCACTTTTTCATTGATTATTCTTTAAATATTGCTTCCATTATTTATTTCAAAAATAGTGAACAAAGTATTTTTATTATAACTTCAGTTACATATGATATAGACTGGTTGGTCTCAGTTCAGTAAGTACTACTGTTGCAATCTCACTATTGCCAAATAGATGGTATCTGGAGAACTGTTTTAGATTTCTCTGTACAACAAAGGCATCAACAGAGTGGAGCATGTTCAATAGAGTACCATCAAGATAACGTGGTTAAAGGGCTGGAGCACATGATTTATGAGGGAAAGCTGAACAGGATGTGTTTAGCTTTGTGAAGGTCATATAGATCCCTGCAACCATACTATGAGGTTATAGAAAGTATAGGCAGGCTTGGAGGTGCGCTTGAAAGGAGGAAGAAATGCAGGGGAAATTCCAACTAAACAATGGAGGAAAACTGGGGGCAGTCTGTGCTGAAAGAGGAATTCAGAGTGGCAGTGGTTTCTCTGACTTTCATATATCTAGAATTTGGCTGGCCAAGTATCTGACCAGAGACAAGTTTGTTCTGCTTTGAGCTAGGGTTCAGAGCAGAAAGCTCTAGAGACCTTTCCCAACCTCAACTGTTCTGTGATTTTATACAAACGTGCAAAAGCTTTGTCTCTTAGCTTTCCGTATACTTTGCCTTGAAGTAAATGGGGACTACAATGCCGCTGTTTCAAGTTGCTCTTGTGTCTGAACCCCTGGCACTTTGTCGAATAGGTTTTCCTTATTCATGTGAATTAAAGCCATCTTTTAGATCTCTGAATAACCCAGTAAACTGGTCATTCTCTAAAAATCCTAAACAAGCCAAATTTAAATTTTTCAAGAAATCATTTCTTTAATTTTAAACAAAGTTACACCACTGGATTTACCAAATGTACTTATTGTGATACCTCATCACTAAGCAGTTTATACATCACGTAAGTGACAAATAAGCTCTAAGTGTGATTGTATGTCACAAGATTTTTTGGTAAAAATACACTCAATATGAATGGCAGCTATGGATTTTCACTGCCTCCACAATGCCAACATACAAAAATATACGCAGTGTAGATAATAGAGACTAGTGCTACTGAGAAATAGGCCTGGAAAGACCAATTTCTAATATGGGGCAGTATATTTTTTATGAAGAATGGTGACTTAACTCACATTTATTGGAACTATCTGTCCTGTCATCATGTGCATAGTTACATATTCCTTGTTCTTTCCTTGTCCAGTTCCTTTCTGTTGTTCAAGTCGTTGATATGTAACAGTGATGCTTTTTCTTAGGATTGTGCTTTGAGAGGTTGGGCCATAGGAGGTTGTAAGCTCTTCCTTTTGCTCCCTTAAGGAGCCTACTAGCCTATGTGTTTTGGTATCAGGCAAAGAAGATACCTTGTTAGACCCTTTATCTATATGGGCACCCAGAAGCATCTCTTATAATGATGGTGAAGCACGTAAAGCTATGATTTTTGCCTGGATTGCTGCTTGCTGTTGCTGGTTCACTATCAAGACCTTGGAACATAGCAACGGGAGAACGTTCATGTCTCCTGTGTGCAGAGCTCTGGGAATAGTATGGCACACACATAGCTCTGCTGTGTACTAAATGCAGGAACATCTGAGAGGAAGCGGCCTGGTTCTGTTGTAATCCATCTGGATTTTCATGTTGTCACTGGGGGCTTTTATTCAGCGATCAGAAGCTTTGGAATGGTGTGGATAATATCTTGCTTGTGGTTGATGTGAAAGCTAAAAGATGGGCACCAGTGTTACTCAGATTTTGCTGTGGTCTGTTTAGTCATGTCTGTCAGCAGGATTCCTCAGACACTGCTGAATACCATAAGCTCCACATGATGATAAGAGAAGTTTTTGTTTTACCCTTCCGGGCAAACAAATATTTCTCTGGTAGGTGCTTTCCTACTCAAAAGTGTAGGTGATAACTTTGTAATTTCTTGCTTTATCCTGCAAGAGAAATTAAGTGAGGATGACACAGCATTGCACTCCAGCTGGCTGTCTCCCTGTAGTTTCCCTTTTTTTTCCTGTGTGCTTTGTGGATGGGGGAGATGTCTCCATTGATACCAGTCCAGAATGGCTTTCTACTAAAGGGCTGCTGACTGGAGACTGGATGACATCAATAATTTCCTTCTTGAACTGACCCAGATCCTGAGAAGGATTGTGAGAGCCACAGAGGGAACTAAAGGAAAAGTTTTAAAAATAAAGAAAAAAGCAAAAACATGATAGCTTGAGAATCTGACAGAAATGTACAATCTGACAGAAATGTAGTGCTGGTGCTTCATATCCTGATGTTATGTGATATATTTGTAGGTGGTGTTTGATCTACCCTCTACCACTTGATTTTAATTAAATCTTCACCTCTTAGGCTTAGCTTAGTAACGTATGGTAACATAGTCAAATTGGATATGGCTAAAGAAGATGTTTAGAGTATTAACCATACGCAACAGTGTATGATTGAAAAAGTATACCATTATGACTGTGTGCTAAATTTTCAGAGGCCTAACTTAGATTTGAATGTTTTTAGCACACTTGTTATAGTTTTGCATTCCTATACCTTTGTAGAACATTGGAATTACGTATTTTTGTTCTTGCATTGGAGCTTTTCAGGCATGAAGACGTATTCTGGCAGGATTATTCTGTTTGATTAGGTCTGTATATTGACTACAATCAACACTAACATAAAAGTTACTTTGCAGGATAAAGAAGCATTGCAACAGCAGCAGTACAACAATTTGATTCAGATCTCTGCCCTGCAATCTAAATTGGATGAAGTCAGGCATGGAGTACCTATGGAAGGCACTTCTGACCAAGGGCTGAAGGAACAGCTACAGGCAGAACACGAATCACTTGAGAGGAAAGAAGGAGAGGTAATCTGTTCAGTTTCAGTATTGTCCTGTAGACTTTGGATCACTCATGTAGTTCTAGAATCATTTTCTGCAAACTTGTAACTGAGAGTTTAAGCCTTGGATTAAATTCTTGAATGCACACATGAAGGTGCATACACACCCACCTACTCACCCCCGCATACTTATGCTGTGTATTCAGATAATATCAGGTAATATTCACCCTCACAATTTTGCAGAAAACACCAGTCTGAGTGGTGCAGTTGGTATGATAGAATGTAGGGATGCCATGCAAAGGGACCTTGACAGACTTGAAAGGTGAGCCAGTACGAACCTAATGAGGTTCAACAAGGCCAACTGCAAGGTGTTCTGTTTGGGTTGGGGCAATCCTAGATATGTGTACAGACCTGGAGAAGAACTCACAGAGAGCCCTGTTGAGGAAAGACTTAGGAGTTCTGGTGAATGAAAAACTTAACATAAATAAGGAGCATACATTTTCAGCCCTGAAGGCTAACTTGGTCCTGGGCTGCTTCAAAAGAGGAGTGGCCAGCAGGGCAAGGGAGGTGATTGCTTGTCTCTACTCAGCCTTTGTGAGCCCAACCTGGAGTTTGAGGCCCCCAGCACAAGAAAGATATGGAGCTGTTGGAATGGGTCCAGATGAGGGCCTCTAAGATGATCAGAGGGCTGAAGCACCTCTCCTGTGATGAGAGGCTGCGTAAGTATTCAATGCTTAGATGTTTTTTTGATAGCTGTGTACTGGGATTAGTGCTGTGGTGTTTCTTTCTGCCTCTTAATAGAAGAATACTGTTTGTAACTGCTTGTGATAACATTAAACATCAAATGCTAACACTTAATTTTTTTATTAAGCATTTTATCTCAAACTAACATCAATGGTCAAGCCTGGATTGTTCAGAACATATATTAACACATCTTTCATGAGCAGTTTTATTTTTAATTTTTTTTTAAAGAAAATAAAATCACCATTGAAGGAATTTGCTACCCAGATGAGGAGCTGGAGTACTAGTTTCTTATTCTTTGTGTGTCTCAGATATTTTATTAATGTCAGCTGATTAGGGAAAATTCAAACTGTGTCTACTGAAACAACTTTCAGTAAGTATAGCAAAGAGTGAAACTTTGTTTTATGCTTAAATTTCAGAAATTATTAAAACTATCCATTTTCTTCACTTCTAGATTGCAAGCTTGTTAGACCACCTAGAACAACATAAGGATAAATTGACCAGTAAAAATGAGGAGATATTACAGCTGAAATTGCAGCTAGAGGTGCAAAAAAATCTTAGCACTTTCACCATCAACCAGCTTCAGCTAGAGAACGCGCAATTGAAGGTAGGCTTTCTTAGTGTTAGTGTTCACCAGCTAAAACGTGAGAGACATGTTTTTGTAAGTATTGTGGTCTTCAGCTCATATTGTGATAAACACACATTTTGTTTGTTTCTGTTGCAACACAAATGCAATACTCTCTTGACAAAAGATATCCTAGAACGACTCAAACGCTGTAGATTCATGCTTTGCTTATGACAATATCTTCTGTATTAATTTGACTTAGGAAGCTTAGCTTTTTCTCTGACCCTAATAAATTATGATCTGTGCTGTTTTGTGTGCATACCTGACATCTATGGCCATAGCAAATATTTTAAGATGTAAAACTGGTTGATTGTCAGTCATTAGTTTTTGTTTCACCTTGTAAGTTAAGAACCAGTGTGGCAATTTAATCCAGCGATACAAACCCAAATAAACTAGTTGTCCTTGTTTTCTTAAATTAACAATACAGTAAGGAGGAGAACATTTAAATACAGCCTATAATTTTCTTCTGCCACTAGGCTGGGAGATAAACAGACTTTTCTGATGAGGTTAATGTTTTTCTCATTAGGATCTAACAAATCTTCATGTAAAGCAAAATCAGGTCTTGGATGTAAATGATTCGTCAGCTCTGTCCTTCCCACAAGCTCTACTTAAAGAAAAGAATCAAGAAATAGATCACCTTAATGAACAGCTGAGAAGACTGAAATTTGAGCTAGTGAATACCCTCGAGAATAAAGTAAGAATATTTACTAGTTCATTGCTTGATCATGCTTGAGGAGATCATAGAATCATAGTATCATTTGAGTTGGAAGGGATCCTTGGAGGTCATCTAGTCCAACTCCCCTGCAATGAACAGTGTTGTCGTATTGCAAATGAAGCCTCTTGGTAATTCTCTTCAGAAAGTAGAGAGTATTCTGCATAGCTATCCACCTGAAATCTATAAATTCTTCCTGCTGTTACATTTATTATTTAATGCCTATGCAATTTAAAGAAAGAAATAATAGTTTTGAATTCTACGTGCAATAGTAATTCTGCCTACATACTTTAATATTTCAACCTTATCCTTTTGTTCAGGTTGTTGAAGACCAAAAATCTGAAATTGAAGAACTCAGGTCTGTTATCGAGCACCTTCGTGGGGACCAGGAACGGCTGAGTAAAGACAAAGATGAAGAGGTAGAGCAACTTCACGGAGTAATTGAGAAGCTCCAAAAGGAGCTGGCACAATTTGGACCAGTATGTCATGAAGTTAGTGACAACCAAGGTGATATTTTTCAATTTGGATTGGAAAAGTCAGTGGAAAACCTGCAGAAGGAGTTGAAGAAGGGATTGATAGATTGTCAGGGTGACACTGATCTAGGTGGAAGAAAGGCATTGCTACTTTCCAAGGTGAAGGAACTTGAGGAAGAGCTAGAGTTTGCCTCGGCTGCTAGAAAAGACCTGCAGCAGCAGCTGGAAGAGAAAGAAACACAGTTCAAAGTGGAAGTGGAAATTTTAGAGAAAAAATGCCAAAACTTACAGGAATCATCAAGGCAGCACTTTGCAGAGCTAAACACTCTGAGATTACAGTACAGTGCACTTCAGGAAGAGTACAGCCTTCTCCAAACACATATTTCTCAGAGAGAATTTGAAGCAAGGATTGCTGCTTCTTGTGTTCAGGAACTCGAAGATAGTGTGAAAGAGAGGGAACTGAGTATTCTTGAAAAAGATAAGCAGGTAAAGACAGCAGTGGCAGATCAAAGAGAAGCTGATGAGGGTGCACTGCAATACTTAACAAAACAGACATCAGAACTTGAAACTGAGTTGAAAAAGAAAGATGTGAGTCAGGCTCAAGATGTTTGTAGTCGTGAGTTTGAAGTTTCTAGACTTGATTTACATGTGCAAGCAATGAATCAGAAAGAAGTATGTAATCAGAGAGAAACTGATGAATTAGAAGGTAACATGACAAAATTGAAAGATCAAATCAAGATATACACAAAAGAGCTTGAAGCCTTACGTTTGGAAAGAGATGAACTTATTTCACAGTTGGAATTGTACAAGCCAAAGGAAGTCCTTAAGAAGGGAATGGAGGAATTGGAAGCACTGGAAATACATATTGATCAGTCATTTGCTTCCCCACCTGATAATCTGGTATGTGATTTTTTTATTTTATAGTGTCCTGACTTTGTTTTCAGTAAGCTAATTTTATGTGTTTCATAAAGCCTTATAGTTTGTCTTTTTCAGTGCTGTAGTAGTAGAAATAAAAAAGCTGATTCAATGGCCTGTACTACAAAAGATTCTAAGAAAGAGTGAAGATGAATAATGTGGTATAAAAATGGCTATATTGAGTCAGTTTAAGAGTCTGTTTTTGCAGTTTCTCTGGCAGTGACTAGAGAGAGATAATGTTATTAGGAACCTTTATTTACTCTGAACCATGCTGTTTGTTCACTGTAGCCACAACCATTAGCTATGCATTTTCACTAGTGATGAACAAGAGTCTGCATGCCACACTCATAAAAATATGCACCAGCGGCGGTGACCCACTGTCATCACTGCTGAAACACCACCATCGCTGCCTCACCGTGTTTGCATCCGCAGTTTGGTCTTCACAAACATTCAGCAAGTGTCAATGAATGTCAGTACGTGCCATTTTTTCCTCATGGAGGAATTATTTCCACCCCTTTGCTTCATCCGTAATTCCATGTCAGATGCCATTTTGTCAGAGGGCTGCTTTGCAACCATCTGTCAGCAACAGCGTGGAATGGACTACTGGTGGGAAGCTCAACCTCTACTGCCATGCCACCACCATCTGCCTCTTTTATTGTGTGCCAACATCATGAAATAGGAGGCGTTACTTTCAAAGCAGCCCTCATAACATTTATACTATAGTTCATGTAGATAGGTAACAAAATTAATTTTAATGTCCAGTATTTTTTTATTAAAACAAAAACACCAAACTGGTGTGATATTTGACCCTCTTTTTATGAAAGCAATGCATCAATCTCTGGTTTGATGGCAGTGTCTACAGTTCTTACTGAGCTCTCAAGGTTAGATATTAGGAGGAAGTTTTTCACCCAGAAGGTGGTGAGGCACTGGAACAGGTTGCCCAAGGAGGCTGTGGATGCCCCATCCCTGCAGGCAGGCATTCAAGGCCAGGCTGCATGTGGCTCTGGGCAGCCTGGTCTGCTGGTTGGTGACTCTGCACATAGCAGGGGATTGAAACTAGATGAGCACTGTGGTCCTTTTCAACCCAGGCCATTCTATGATTACTCTCTTTCAAGTTGCAATAGCTACATAGTAGAAGCTGATAACTGACCTTCATGAGCTACTGCTTTCTAGTGGAAATCACTTGTAGCAATACTGCCTTTTTTCTGTGCACAGTAGGAGTACAATTGCTTGATCTCATGTTAGTAATGATTACTTCCTACAAATTTGTATTGCTAGAATACCTTATTCAAGTTTAAACAGTCTTCATTTGTTTTGTTTGTGATGCAGTGTGAGGTGCATGCACAACTTTAAAATCATGGTGTAAATACAATTTGAATGTAGGAAAGATACGTATTATGAGTATGGAAACTGCTCAAGGTGGTCTTTTTTCTTTTGGATTCAATGCAGGGAGCATTAAAGTCTGCAAATAATTCACAGAACAAAGAGGATTTAATTGTAAAGATTGCACTTCCTCAGTAAGAGCTTAGTTCTGAATTAGGAATCTGTTAGGATTCAGTGAAGGGAGAACTGGTAGAACTGTAGAAGATATAAAAGTATGCTGGAACTCTGAGGGAAATTAAATAATTTAAAGTAGATTTGAGGTAGAAACTTGGTTTCTCAAATGTTGAAATTCTTGTATGTATGCCAGCATGTATATTTCCATGTTTAAGTGCTACTAGTAATAGGGTAGGTTGAAGAGAGGTGGTCATTGAAGTTGGAGAATACATTGAATGAAAGTAAGCAAATGAGTTGTCTTCAAGCATGTGTTATCATAGACCTGTTCATGTGGACCTGGATCATCCTAGAATAAGGAAAATTACAGTGCTTAATTTATTCTATCAACTATTCAGGCTAGATAGCTGAGAGCTGGAGAAGTGGGAAAACAACAGTATTTAGGTGGTGCTTTTGTTCTAATATGAATTAAGTAAATATCATTTGGGATGTGATGCTGAACCACTTAAGAGAAAATGAAATGATCATTGCTTAATCAGAAAGCCTGTGTGGAATTAAGCCATTCTTTACTTACTCCTGAACAGTGAATTAAAGCTAGTTCAAGATGTTAACGCTGAAGAGCCTTTGTGTAGCAGTAGATGTGACACAAAGAAATGCAGTGTCCTTAGAGGAGCAAAGAAACACCTTACAGTTAATCTTAGGTTCAAAAGTAGAAGCAGTGAAAATTAAGAAATACATTAACATGAAAAGTAGAAGAGTAGCAGAAAGGAGAAAGTTGCTAGTTTCTTCTGAATTGATATGGCAAGTACAGGAGCCATCCATAGAACTACTCTTCCCAACTTTTTTTCCGGTGTCTGGTGTCAGAAATTAAGTCTTAAGATAATTCAAGAGATTTTTCTAGTTAGAAATCAAAACGTGTTATTTTTCTATTTTTTTTTAAAGTAGGAAGATTATCTACACAGCTACAAAGAACATCCTTTTTCTTGTGTGATGCAAAAGTCAGCTCTGCTGAAATAGGTACATTTCTTTCTGTATAGAATTTTTTTACTCCACTAATAATTTGCCTGTTTAAAAAAGCCAGGTTAGCTGGTATGTAAACTGAAGTTTGGGATTATTCTTATATAAAATCTAGAAATCATCATAGATTTGATTAATAGAGAGGAATTTTTAAGTGGATGTTTTACATTTCTGAAGTCGTATTTAAATTCCATTGAACAATTAACATGTTATCTCATTGCAGGAAAATGTTGCTTTGGTTGACTGTACTGCTCATGATACAAATAAACAATCTCAGGTTAAGCAATCAGAAGAAAATATCTCAATGCAAAAATTGGACATGATCAACAGCTTTGAAGAGCAAACTTTGAAAAAGCCTCCCCATCAAACTCCCAATTCTCCAAAAAACAGTGTGAATGAAGGCTGTACTGAAGGTACTCTTAAAAACTTCCAGGATTTCATTGTGGATGTGACTTCATGGGATTCGCCTGAGATTATGAGAAAGCAAGATATAAGCATGGACCTTCAACCAGTGCTTAATCTGACACCCTTTTCAGAAGCTGAAAGTACAGGTCTTGAAATGGTGCACAGTAGGTCATCCCTGCAGGGTGATAATTCTGTTTTGTTGGGATTTCCCTACCTTTATGAAAACGGCAGTGAGGAAGCAGCAGACAGAGCAGATGTAAAATCTCCAGTTTCCAGTGGAAGTACCTACTCTGTTGATGACCAAGACATGGAGAAGATTTTGGTAAGTAGTATTTTGTGTCTGATTTCCTTCTAATTACACAAGGCTGCTCAGTTTTGTCCTCCTAAATCAGTGCTGAGCCATTGGCTCTAAAGAGTAGAAATCTATACATTGAGACACTGCACAGTCTTGCTCTGGATGTACTGTTATTAGCTTCTTTCTCACTGTCAGACACCAGAGCAAATTCTGGACTGTACTTAAACAATTGTCTACCACAGCTCATAGTAAGTGGAAATAGTGTTCCAAAATCTAAAATTGAGCAATAAGATGCTCACAGCATGCTGGGTGTCTTATAATCTTTGTGCTGTTGATACGATAGCAGTAAAAATACAAATATTGGTCCTGTGTTCTTAGAAGGCTTGTTGAGAGGCCCCTGCGGACCTTGGTATTTTCTGGTGAGGCTTTGTGGAAGTAACTGATAAAACTGTGACAGTGCTTCATGTGTAAGCAGGTAATTGAGCTGAATACTGTACAACTTTCTGACAGTAAATTGAGTACTATGGTAATAGTTCTACATTGGCGGGTAACTTTGTTGCAGAGTTCAGAGGGTTTTAAAATGAGGGAATAAGTGTATCTGCACAGAAGAGCTCTTCTCAGAGATAGACAACTTACATTCAGCTCTGGAGATCAGAGAAACATTTTTCTGATAGAGGACTGAACGTTTGGGCTGGTTTGGGCTTGTTGGCTATGTGGACGTTAGCATGGCTCTTGGTGTGGTAGTGCAAAGGGCCATTCAGTCAGAGGAGCTGGGAACCTGGTTTTCAAAAATTCCCCTTCAGTGTTCAAAAAAAAAAAAAAAAAAAAAAAAAACAAACCTGAAAAAAACCCAAACAGGTTGGACGGAAGCTGACTGTACTGTGATTACAATAATATATTGAAGATAAGCTTAAGCCTGTTTTATTGGAAAAGGATGAATCTTTTGGATGCTGACAGAATAAGAGATGTTGTGTCACATTTGGCATTTTGGGAACCTCATCATGAGGTATTCTTAATCTTAAGGCCACTGCTGTACCCCTGCAGACAAACTGAATGTGTTTCAGTAGAGCTCTATCATCTTTCCTTGATTTGCATATTTCATCATGTACTGTGCAGTTTAAAGTATCTTTTTGTGCTGAAAAAGTTGTGTTCTTGCAAATTGTAAAATGTATTTCTACTTGCGTTCTGCTACAGCTAAAGCATATCTAGAAAGAAATTATTACTGTGTTTCTCTTTAAATTACAAATCAGCTGAGACTAAATAAAAAATGCTTCTCTTTCAAAGGCCATTCCATTTGTTAAGAGTACTGAAAAGGAGAAAAATTCAGGTAAAAAAGCTTTTGAGGAGTACCAGAGGTGATTTGCTGTTCATATTTGCTGTAACTAACTTTGAAATCAAGTAGGCATTTGCTAAATTCAATATCAATAATAAAGTTACTGTAAATGTAGAAAAAGTGACTGATTTCAGAAAAAGTAAATTAATTGAAAAACTAATTCCAAGCAGATGAGAGAAACAGATAATCTAACTCCATCTGATTTGCAAGATGACATAAGATCGGGAGCATCTGCCATAGACGTGATGAGCAATGGATGTGACAGCAGTGAGTTTAACTTTTGTTTATTCCTTTTACCTTCTGATAACTGGTATAGAAGTATACCATGTCCTCTATCCCCAATTTTCTTTTACTGTGCATCTTTCATTTGAAAGCTATCCTTTTCTTAGTTGGTTCGGAGGTGTTGTATATTCAAGCTGGTAGAATCCTCCTTTACTTGTACTTGCTTTTATTTGTACATGCTAGAAATGAGATATGGGAGTTTAGTGAGTCCTGACTTAACAACATCACTGTGGCCAAAGGCTGCTTGTGACCTTTTAGCTTGTTTAAGTGGCTGTCTTGAGCAGTTATGCTGGTTTCAAATTCTCTTTCTATTTGTAATCCCTGGGGTGGGGGAACTGTCTTTTTCTCTAGGTACCGGATCAAATTTGGCCGCTAAACAAACATCAGACCACTCAAATGCTAATTTCATGGCTTATCTGCGGTACTGTGGCATGTTTCCAGATACAGAATCAGTGAGAGAAAAGGAAACACTTTCACCACAATTGAAGGTAATATGTAAATAATGTAAGCATATTAGGGAATTAAAATAGAAACATCAGAAATGAAATGCTGATATAAAATAGTGTTAGCTGCTACATTTGCACTGTAAACTTTCTGTAATGGCTTTAACTTAAAATTGAGGTAGGCTACAGGGAGTTCAAATGCAATAGTACTTGAAGGAATGTGAGTGATATTAAAGGAGAAGTAGTACACTTTTAACACAGTAGTAAGTGCTGCTTCCCCAGATGTCTAACAGACACCTTCAGCTTACTCAGTGTATAAAGGAAGATCTGAAAAACAGAGTTTTGATCCATGAAAGCAACTGAAACCCTTTAAATTATTATTGGAAAATCTGAGTGCACAGTCCAGTACTGAATGTTTAGTATGAACAATTTGGTGTGTTTCCATTGTTAGTGCTTACTAAAGGGTTGTATGTGAAACATGACCTCTTGAAGTACTAATTATTTTGATTTCAGACACGGACAGGCAACTCAGGTTGATTAAAGTTAAGTTTTTCAAAAAAGTGCAAAGAAAATATATCAGTAGTTAAGGAAAAATACTGTGGTGGTGAAGTGAATAGCAAAAAGAAACAGCGCTGTGTTGAGACTGAGGTATTTTTGGTTACATGTAAGTAGAAAATGACTAAAATCTCTAGTGACTTTCCCTGAAATGAGACATCTGTGCATCGGATAATCACTTGTGAACAGGGAATTTATTTAAAAGAGATGATTTTGCTTGACAGATTTAGGGAAAACAGAGTTCACTGTGTACATTAAGACTGATTATTTTGGGAGATGTTATTTCTGTGTAATCTGCTAGATCAAGCAAAGGTTTTCTAAATGCATAATTTAGTTTTCTGGTATCACTGGCATATAGTGTGACATGACTTGATAGAACATGGGTAATTTTTCTATGAGTAAGTACTTGAGAAAGAACCAAGATCAAGTACAGTCCTTTGGCTTAGTTATGTGTTTGCATGGTGGCACACACTGCAATAGATACACTGGTCTATGCTGTTTGTGCTTCAGCATTTGTACTTTAACAACACTGATCTCAGTTACTAGGAGTTAGTCAGCAGTTACCAGAGGATGTTACGTAAGTGTGTGTAAGTGTATTCTGATTTTACTAGGCACATCAAGTAGTGGAACAGAACTGCGTGCCTTTACTGATACTACAACCTAGGACAACCTTCTTACTTTTGTTGCTTATTTCTACTGCACCCTACTCATGTGCTGTCAAGATGATGATGCCTATTTCCTAATATGTAGTATTGTCGTCTTTCTTTCTCAGACTGTGCTGAAGTTGGTGTATGAGGAGAGTCACAAGATATTGGCTTTGTCAGAACATTCCTTTGGTTTTAGGGAACTGAAAAATGTTCATCAGACCAGAGCAGTGATGGAGGGATGGCAAAAAGAAGGCTTGGCCTTGCTGAATGCTATACAGTCTCTGAAAGATCACCTTAGCAAGGTAGCAGACAGAGGAGATAAGGTAAGACAAGAAAGATGACTTCAACCCTTTATAAACTGTTTGACTCTTTTGGTATGTATATATATGGGTATATGCATACATTGTGTATGTGTATACTATTACATTTGTGTGTAGCAGGAGCAGAGGACTCATTCTAAGGCTTGAACAGGACTCTCAAATGCCTTGGATCTCCTTAAATTAGTAGTAATGACTCAGTAATGACATCAAAGAGTAGGTTAGAGAGAGCTCATATAGGTGGTTTTGTTTTTGTTGTTGTGTTTCTTTGTTTGTTTAATAAAAACCAACACAGGAACATCCAGATTTTGCTACTGATTGGAGAGGAGAACTTCTGGAAGTACAGAGTATGTTTGAGAAGAGAGAAGCATGTTGCAAATTGGCCTGGAGTTTCACTTCTCCAATCCTGGGTTTGGTGATGAAGTTGCAGTAACTGGTATATGTAATGAAACAAGTTAAAAAAGCCTCTTAGTGTTATGCTCCTAAATCACTTCGATTCCCTCATATTGAATTTTGAGATGAGATCTGGACAAGGATACTATCATTATGTTAAAGGTTTATTAATGTTCTTGTTAAATCATGCCCTGTATGCATTAATCTAGATTGTGTGGGATCATGAGGCTTTTGTAATCTGTGTTTTGGCACCGTTTTCTCAAACACTTGTGCCTTGTGTTATAAAGCTATTGATTTTTTTTACCTAGAAGCCAGCAAAAAAGCAGTGACCAACAGGCTGGGATTGGGAAAAGGAAATGCTTGATAAAATAATTCTATCTGGAGCTTGCAAGGAGTGTATCCTGAGCTAACTCCATATCTGTTTGGGATTTTTTAATCATTATAATTAGTTTTCAGCTTCAGTACATAAACTATTATTACTGACTATTATGCTATTTGGAAGCTAGTAATGTTGGGTCTTCTGTTAGTTAACATTAAACTTATTGAATTAAAATGATGTATGAACGTGGTCATTTGCATTTGCCTCTCTGCGTAATAGTTGTACATGTGAGGGGTTCTCTGGAATTTATCTTTGTACAAGGAAATAAGAATAGACTAGTAGATTTAACAGGACTTGGTTGTTTTTTAGGAGGAGCAGAGGCAGATGGTTGTGGAGCACCTTTTCTCCTCAGACCGGAACAATTTGCTCTCTGAGATACAGGAGCTTCGAGCTCAGCTGCGCATGACGCATCTTCAGAACCAGGAGAAGCTGCAGCAGCTGCAGGAAACTCTTACTAATGTAGAAGATCATGGGAGCAAACAAGAACACCAGCTTCGAAGGAAAGGTAATAATTGTCAAGTTCTTGTCTTCTGCTTTTCTGTGTCAGTTCTTCCTTTTGTTTTTGCCTAGCAGATAAAAGGAAAAAAATACATACTGTTTTGCAAAGAAGCTGGTGGTAAACAGTTTTTCAGTTTAATTACTGCACTTATGATTCCTGCTATTTTAAGAAGCAGTCCTTTTCTTCATACTCTGAATGTAAGTGATTAAGAAAAATCTGTGAAAAACGAAAAGTTTCAAAAGAACCCAGGTAATATAAAATATGTACATACTTTTTCTTAGTGAGTTGCAGAATCTATTAGTAACGAGTGATTTGCAGTGCATCGTGGTAGCTCATTTACTCTGATACGGCTTTTATATTATTCTTCCCTTGTCCAATAGCAGCAAAGCTATAGCATATATGTACATCTTTCTGCTTATTCGTGTCATATTTGAAAATAAATGAATTCTCCAGTCCAGAATACTTTAATGCAGCTCCTTTTTCTGCAGTTGAACCAGTATGACTGGTAAACATACTGTCAAAATCTCTGTAATATGAGTAACTGTTCATGTTTTCTTATCTTAGTTGAATTATTAGAATATAAGCTTCAGCAGGAAAAATGCATTGTAAGTGACCTGCATAGCACACTGTCTGAGGAGCAGAAGAGAGCCTCTGAAACATGTGAACTCTTGAATCAAGAAAAAGCAGCAGTATCAACCCTGAAGTCAGATCTATATGAACGTAAGCAAGAGAATGAAAGGCTGCAAAAATCCCTAGAAGAGCATCAGAGGGAAATAAGCAAGCTCCGGTGAGAAGTACAGTTTGTTAATTTAAATTTATTACCAAGTCTGAAAAAGCTTTATACTCCCAGAATCCATAAATACACCTCTGTTACTTTTCATATTTATGTTAGTTTTTCATTCTTCAAATTTACGTATTTACTTTCTCTACCACTTCCTCAACCTTCTCAACAATCAAAGCATGGGCATAGTAGAGGAGATAATTGCCTCTTGACAGCCTTGTGTCTGTCCCTCCTGTACTTCTGTGGGGGTTTAACACCACTGGGTAGATCAGCTCCACCACATTACACTCTTATTCTCTGCCATCAACAGAATAGGTAGAGAAAGTACGATTAAAAAAAGCTGGTGGGTTGAGACAAGAACAGGCAGATCCCTCACCACTTACAATCTAAACAGACTCTGTGTAAGAAAGAATAATGTAGCATAGTGCCTACTGCTAACAGACTTGAGCAGTGAAAACTAAAAGTAAACTTAAAACACCTTCCCCCATCCGCATTTCTCTACCTCTTCCTCCCAAAGTATTGCAGGGGAATGGAGGCTGCAGTCAGACCCTAACACTTCTTCATCTGCTGCTTCCCTGTGGTCAGTCCCTTCCTCTGTCCCTTCCCCAGATTGATCTTCCCCTGCTGATACTGCATGGGCTTCCCTTCGTCTGCAGCTCTCCAAGCACTGCTCGAGCACTGCTCGGTACCACAGGGCCCATCCCTCAATAGCACACTGCTCCAACACGGGGCCTCACGGGCGGCAGCTCCCCCAGACCTCCTGCTGCACTTTTCTCTTTCTTGAATCTGCCCCAGAGGCACACCCAGCATCACTCATGGTTTGGGTCTGGCCAGCAGCAGGTCCCTTTTGAAGTAGCTGGAGCTGTGATCTGACATGGAATAGTGCTGGGCTTTGCTCACAGAGGGCACTCCTGCAGCCCCCACCACCAAAACCTTGACATGCAAATCTAATGCGTCTTTGCTTTCCTGCTGCTTTTGTCTTGGTCTTCTGCCTTGGCACTTTTGTCTGCCTGTCATTTTGTTGTGCTCTGTTTATAGTTTTTTCTTCCGCCTTCTTATTCCTAGCGTATGCCAGTGGTTTTCTTTCCTTTCACAGGACACACATTTTGTTTCACCAAGGTAGATTATTTATCTGTATCTCTTAATAGTTACTTGATAGGAGTACTTTTAGCTTTGCTTGCAGGGAGAGAAACTGTCTTCAGATGCTAAATATTTGTGACTTGGAACTGACCCTATAAGAGGCCCTCTTAGGGAAGTAAATCTGTAGGTCAGATCACAAAAAGTAATTCAAAGCGTCTGACTTGCATCACTAGAGAAGGATATTTTGTTCTGAACATACACAGAAGTGTCATTTTGAACTTTTCAGTTTTGAATTGGAAAGCAAAGAGAAGGATTTGACAGCTACTATGCAAGAGTTGCAGAATGAACGTCTGACAGAAACAGAGCTGCGAGTTTTGCTTGAGGAACAACAGCTTCAGCATAAGAAAACAGAAGATGAAAAGAAAAAGACCTTGGAGGTAATGCCCAACATCTTAACCTCATCCACCAAGAGAAGTGATCTAACGAGTTATTTTTGTACTATTTCATATCCAGTGTTTTTATTCAATGACGGTTTACAAAAAAAAAAAGCTTGCTTGTACCTAATGTGCATGGCATTTTTCCCCCACAGAATTAAAGCTTTCAGTTATCATTCTTAACAGCACCTATGGAAATAAGTAAAAGTTGGATGCATCTTTATGACATCTTCTTAATGTTTTCAGATCCTTATACTTTCACTTTCTCAAGGTCAGTTTTGTACTGCCTGTTGCTGTACAGAGAGACAGACTTCACAATTGTGTAACCGTACCCTTTGTTACAGAGCAAATGTGCTGTGAGGATGTGCAGCGTGTGACTGAGATTAGAGAAAACCAACTAATAATACAATGCTCGGTAGAAAGTAACTGAAACCTTTCCAATTTAACTTTTTTGAGATTGAGCAATCTTTTTTCTTTTTTCTGTTTCTGTATCCTGTTTTTTGAATAGAGGGGGAAACAAATGACTGGCTTTCCCATTGATACTGTGATAGAAATGATTCTTGTAAAAGACATTATTATCTTCTTGTTCCCGTCTTCTTAACGTATATCTTTTGTATAATTAGAAACCAAAGCTGAAGTCTTCTGACAGTTTCTTTATGGCCTGCAGTCTCATTTGTTATTCTTCTGGTAATTATTTAAGTGTGCATTTTTTTGGTTTTTTATTTTTTGGTGGTTTGGCTTTTTTCCTGCTTTTGTTGTGGAACATGTTAGCTCCATATGTATCTTGTAAAAGGGCTGCTCTTGCAGGGAACACAGGGACCATCTTAGTCAAAAGCAAAGTGAAAGTGCAGTGTCCCGGATAAAGCTGTGCAAGAGATGAAATCATTCTCAGGTGGTGCAGCTGCAGTCCTGCATTCCCAAATTCTCCCTTGGACCAGTACTACGGAAAGCTGATGGTACCAGTTTGTGCTATATGTCTGCCACTTAGCCATCTCACCTAGTTTCCTATGTAATCAGAGGTATGGTGCTGCTTGGGGACAGAGGGCAGAAACGCCTGCCAGAACTGCAGCGGGGTTTTGTTCTGAATGCTTCTGAAAGCATTGTGGGGCTGCCTCTTCATTTACTTTCTGAAAGGAGAATGATGAGAATGCACTGGCTAACAAAATTGAGCTGAGAATGGGTTATTGTCATCAATCTGTGCTGCATTCTTTAAATAGATGGGCTGTGAAACCAAAAGGATTTACAGATAGTCTTACTGCTTAGGTGACTGTTTTTTGGTGGCTTTTTTTTTTTTTTATTAATCAATTCAGGTTATTTCTGCTTCAGATACCATTTAAGATGATTGGATGATGTAAAAAAAAAAAAATAAAAAAAATCGATTTCTCACTGAGGATCTTAATGATTGAAGAAAAAATAATGTACCACAAGATATTTTCAAATTAAGACCCTCGGTTTTGTTAATTGATATAATGACTGTAAAGAGCATGCTTCTGGCACTCCTAATTAGAGAATTAAACTTTTATTTTTAAGTTATTGTTTTTTTAATACTTAAACTATTCTAGCTCAATCTTGAATTTCTTCTTGAATAAAACATAATTTTGAAAATTATTGAATGCCAGAGTACCCCACAAATGAGTGCTTATGCTAGAATATTACTACATGTTTCTCCTGTTGTGCAGGATTTACAGGCTGCCTTGGATTTGCAGACGGTGCAGAATAGCAAGCTGTCTGTATCCCTCGAGCATGAACAAATAATAAATGACAATCTCCGCAAGGAACTTCGGATCGAATATTCCCGCTGTGAAGCGTTATTGTCTCAAGAACATGACAAAGTGTTGGAGCTACAGAAAAGCTTGGATGCTGAGAGAAATCGTTCTTTGGAGCTCTTAAATTCCTTGAATCATGAACGTGTTTTGACAGAACGGTTGAGCATGCAAACTAAGGAGGATGCTTCTTGTCAGCATAGGGAGTTGTTGCTAGAACAGGCCTTTATCCGAGAGCTCCAAGCCCAGCTGGAGGAAGAGAGATCCCGAAAGGCAGAACTAGCTGCTATTATTGAGAAAACCCACCGGAAAGCCATTCGTTCCAAAAGGCAGCCAGAGGCTGAAGTACAGATGTGTTGCAAAGAAACACAGGTGGAGAAAGAGATCAGTAACAAACTCCGAGTGACGCTGGAGTCTCTTCAGAGTCAAAAGCAAGAGGTAACCCATTCCCTGGAGGCCCAGAAGGAAAGAGAGGCAAAGCTGAAAGCTAAGTGGGAACAATTGCATTTGCTCTTCAAAACAATGCAAGATAAAATTAAGAGTAGAGAGAACAAAGGCAGCAGCAACAAACAGAAATGGAGAAAGAGGGCTGGCAGAAAGATCAGGAGGACTTGCAAGAGTGTTTCCTTGGGTTGAACTAGCCATGAAGTGGGAATTAACTCAGTAGATAGTGTCCTCTAATTAAAATGTTTCCTTCCCTCTAACAAAGTGTTCTAAAAAATGCTTTAAACAAGCTGTCTGCATTTTTCAAATGTTTTCTGGGTTTAGGTCTATATTGGGGATTGCCCCTTGTTAGCAAATGGAGAAGACCTTGAGTGTGGTTTAAATATAATAGGTAACGAAACTAAGTTTCACCCTTGTCTCTCAGCTCCTTCACTTCCTTTAGAGGAACAGGCAGGTTTTGTAGACTCTCTGAAGACTTGTCAGTCACAAAGTCAGGAAATGGATGGAGAAAATGCCCACTCTATAGTTGTTAAATGGCTTCCTGGTAGCCTTGGAGTGCAGTAGTATAAGTCTTCCCCTGTAAATAGTTTATGGCTTAAGAAACACTGAGATGTCATGTGTTAGATTGGTGTGGTGCTTTTCTATCTGGTCTGCATATCTGTATCTACATACATACTGATGTGTATGTGTGTATGTACAAGTGGCAATTAATTACTACTACTTCTGTTCAAATAGCAAAACTTGGAACTGCGACACCAGAGGGATGAACAAAGAATTAAAGAGATGCAGGAAATTGTGGCAATCTTAAAGGAAACAGAAAGAAGTCCTCCATCTCAAAGCAGTCAGCGAGGACTGTTGTGTACTTCAGACAAAGATCAAAATGCCAAAGAGCCCATGACAAAAGAAACTGGAAAATGCAACTTGCAGCAGCAGCAGAAGCAACAGCTGGAGAGGATAAGACAACAGTTGCTTTTTGTAGCTGCACACCTCATTGAGTTAATGTGTAAAACTGTAGATAAGTAAGTAAAATAAATACTGTTTATAAAACAGTACTTTTCTTTCCATACAGCTTCTGAATTTGTACAGATCATAGCTGATAGCCATCAGCTGAAGAAAATGGGTCGTATATCATTTCCTTTGCTTACAAGACCTACCTGGTGTGAAACCATGATTTCATGGTGCTAGCAGACTGTGTTTAAAAGATTGTCATCACACAGCAGCCATTCCTGTAAAAACCTTTCGTGCCTGCTTGTGAACCAGATCCACGAAGTAACCTTTCAGAAAAAGAACAACTCCGAAAAGAAAAACTGGGAGTTGGAAAGAGCTTTCTAACTAATTAATTAGTTAATTTGTTAATTAACAAATTCTGATTGGAGAGTAGTCAGAAAACAGCTTAATCAAGGCAGCTGCAGGTTTGGAATTTGGGTGGGAAGGGTGGTTCATTGAGCACAAAAGGGAAAAGTTGGTCATCAGGATAATTTTTTTGTTTCTTTGGCAGCAAAGTAAAATACCAGTAAAATTTTGCTGCGACCTGAATTTGCATGGTAGAACTTCAGATTGGTATAAAATACGGATTTCTGAATAAATTCTTGTTCATCACTATTTAGAAATTCCTCTATTTAATAAAAATTACTGATTTGTGTGCATTCATCGTTGTATTTTGTGTGATAGGTAGTAAATGAGAACAGCATCAAAACTTAAGATATTTCAGTGGGGAGGAAGAATGTATGCTAACTATAATATGAGATTACTAGAAATCAACCACACTGAGCAAGTATTTCTTTTTAACAGAACAGTTAGCGACTGGTATGTATCAAATGATGAAGCTGTAGCATCTTTACTGCAGACGTTAAAGGAACTAAAATCAGATTTATCGTCTCCTCCTGCATCTCAGGTGAGGCAAATGGCATATCTTTGTTCATTATCAGGAAGTTATTCTGTGTTATTTGGGTTCTGGTACATATGTAAGTTGTGGCGGTGTTGGGGGCGTGTGTTTTGGGTTTGTTTTAACATTCTGAGGAAATTTGTTTGGTTTTTCTGTCTTGAGGCAGAAAAGTCAGGAACTTGTACTCGCACCATCTTTATACCAACATATTTAGTATATTTTTTGTACGTATGTCTCTTTCTTTGATGCACTGTTGAGTCTACTTCTGAAAGATTTTTTTTCCTATGTATGTAATAAGTATGTAACATGTCTGAGGATATCAAACTGTGGAAAGTGTTGCTTCCTCTTCTGAACATGTCCAGACACAATTATTTTTCAGCAAATTGTCAAGCATTTTTCAAAAAGCACAAGTCATTTGTCATTTCATGAGGGAAGTTTTGTCTGATAGTTGCAGTATTACAGATATTTTTACATAACTTAGCAATTGTTGAAGGCTGAACTCAGGTGTATTGTTAGAAAACATATAAAATACATAGTTCTTTCTTTTCAAATTATTCATCATATAATATAACTTTACACTAACATATATGTCCTTCTATAGTTAGGAGATCATCAAATGCATTGTAGCCCTTCTAACCTTTTTGTATTAAGCAGATTTAACAAGAGTTTTGGCTCTATTACATTCATCTTCCCTCTGTTCTCTTACTGCTTGACCTAGAAATTTGTACTAGATCCCCAGAAAAAAACCTTTGAGAAAGAATTGTGACTATTAAGAGGGTTCAATTGTTCTCATGTGTTCCATAATACAAGCTTGATCTATGGAAAGATCTAGGCATGGTGCAAGCTCTCCCTGTGTCTTAACTGCTGACAAAAGGCAATAAACAGTTTCCTTCTGCCATCTGTGTAACCACTTAGGAGGTTGCCAAGTGGATTATCTCCAGCCCTAAGGGAGGGGGTTGTAACCTTTTACAGGTGGGCATTTTTGAAGTTATTTCAACTATTTTCCTTTCAGAAAACTGGGAGTGTGGAGAAGCTGAGCCTCCTTATGACTCCACTTAAGTCTGACTTAGTAGAGCTCTCTCTGGAACTGAGCTGTTTATCTGACTCAGCTTACTATGAGTTGTTACTCTACTGGAAAAGGAAATAATTGTTTGGATTCTTTTTTGATTTCCACCCTCGCTTCATTAGGTCTTCTGCTTTAGAAACTCTACTGCAAATCTTTTCAATGTACTTAGCTTTTCCACATCAGCTTCTTTAGTTCCAAGCTTCTTAACAAGATACCAGTGAATGGCAAGCTGAATAAGCAGTTGCTCCTGTCCTTGGATCACTTGGGTCCTGGAGAAAGCTGTTGTAATAACCACAGTCATTACATACATAAAGTCTCTTCTTAACAGTAAGAAGTCTTTAGAGGAGCAGTCTAAAGACATGCTATCATTTAGCTTAGAGTACAGTGATGTCTTCCTTTTTTCTGCAGGCAAACATCCCTCTTCTCTGCCCCATTTTCAGGTTGTTCAGAACTGCCTCTTAGTTCAGGTGCTTCTCTGCGCTTCTCCTTTGATTAAGTGTCCTTGATCTCATGCTCTAGAAACAGAAGGAAATTATCTTTGTTGCACTTTAGGATTTTGATAAGTGGAGAACTATTAGAGAAACTTGCAAGATGCTGCAGAATAGAACAGACCAAAATGAGTAGATGGTAATCATGTGTCAACTGGTGCAGTAGAAATCAAGGGCGTAGATGCATATCAGCAGGATTCCTCAAACAATATGTGCTACTGCCTTCAAATTCAGCTTTTGTAGCTTTAGGTCTGCAAAAGGCCTGGGATGGAAGGACTGTATCCTTACTGGGATGGTCACTGGAGAGATCTGCTGCTTCCCTCCAGTTCAGCATAAGACATGTGGGTTTTGTTTGAACTATTTTTGATAACAGTTACCTGAAGCATTAATAAGGGACAAGAATTTAACCTGAAAAGAAAGAAATACCTAATTTTAAAACAACACAAAAAATTGTGTTAGATTCTTGGCATTTTGGTGTTTTGCTGTGTCTTAAGCTCTTTTTGTATATGCTGAGAAGTAAAAAGCCTTTGGTTTCTGCAGTTCTAAAGGAAGTTGCAAAGTCAGAAGGAAGGGAGGTGTTTTATGTGCTGCAAGCATACAGACAGTATGGGAATCCATGTTTTGTTTTTTCTCTTCCTGTTTTATAAAGAAACCATTGCAGGGATCAGTTTCTTTAATAGATCTGTTGTTGGAGAATGGGGGACCTTGGAAGCCTGTCACAAAACTGGTTGAACTGACACGATAAATAAGCAGAGCAATAAACGAGCAGCATCTTGAGAAAAGGCTAAGTGAACCACTTAGAGGAGTTGGTAATACATAGTAATACCAATCATTAATTGACTTGAGAGTTTTGCTGCTGTAGATGTTCCAGATACTGAAAGTATCTCTCTTTAATGGCTCTAGTATATTGCCCTTCATTGTACAAGGTTTTTTGTTTGTAAAATTCAGTTCCTCAGGTAAGTAAAATATAAATGTCGAATATTACTGCATTAAAATATTCTTAAGAAATAACTCTTGAAAAAGTTTGATCTCCTAGTAAGGCTGTACTGAAATAAGCTACAAGGAGAAATTGGGGTCAGCTGTGTGTACTGGCTCCTCTACTGTATAGATTTTATTTCAAAGGATAAAATGCTAACCATCTCATAAACATCTTTCCTCTTGATTCTGATGTGCTGCATCATATGCTGTAACTGCTGACAAAATTAAATTGATATGAAGAGGGTTGTGAAGGCAGAACTTCTCTAAAAATTGAATCTGGAGTTGTTGGTCTCCTGGAAGAGATGATTTACCACAGAACTGAATATTCTCAGGATTGAATACTGTTTTCTTAGAGGTTTCATTTGTGTATGCTTTACAAGGTGTTTTTGTGCATGTATGTAAACAAACACATTTCTGTGTCAGTTTCTCTGCTGGTTTTGTATGTGGAAGGAAGCCAGATGATTTGTTTCTGTTTCCACATGTTGGAGACCCTCTCTGTTATTACCATAAAGAGGTTTCTTGTAAAACTGATCAGACATATGCTTGGGGAAGGGATAACCTGATTAATTTGATACTGCTTAACTGGGGTTGCTTGTATTTTTCATTTTGTACCATTTAACACCTGAATGCTACTGGTGGCTGTTTTGGTGGTTCTTTTTGTTTAGTTTGTCCATGAAGTTAGGCTGTTACTTGACTTGAGATGTTTGGTTGTGGAAGTCATGTTCAGGAACTACAATGGCTCACTCACTTCTGGTTTCTTTTTTAGATCAGATCTACAGATGATACCAACTCTGCTCAAGAACTGGAAAGAGCTGCTTGGCAGCAAGAAAGAAGCATTCTACAGAATGCACTGAAACAGGCAGAATCTGAACTGGCTAAAGCAACTGCTGAAACTGAAAACAAAGCAATGACGGAAGCATTCAATCCTAAGGTAAAATGATAGTGATGTTTAGCAAATAGCTGTCTGGAGCTGCAGGAGCAGGCAATGCTGAAGGCATTAGCACATCATTTAAGACAGGTGTGTCCAGCCTGTGGACCACATGTGATTATGAAGAGCACTTAACGTGGTCCCACATGCCATACACATAGTCACATTTACACAAGTGACTTTTTGTGATGATTGTAATGAGTCAATCGCATGTAGCTTGAGTGTTGACTGTGTGGGTGACAATGGAAGGCTGTGGAGGGGGGGAACAGAGAGCAAGGCTCACTCCATCTCTTGTGTATGGAGTCTGTTAAAAGTCTGCATGTGTGTCACATGACGTGCTTGTGCCACTTGATGAGTAAAATGCAGTCATTGCCAATAATAATAGCCGGTACCCTGGGCTGCTGCAAAAGAGGGGTGGCCAGCAGGGTGAGGGAGGCGATTGTCCCCCTTCTGCTCTGCCCTTGTGAGGCCCATCTGCAGTGTTGTGATGAAGTGTGGGGTCCCCAGTACAGGTGGGATATGGAGCTGTCAGAGTGGGTCCAGAGGAGGGCCACTAAGATGATCAGAGGACTGGAGCCCCTCTCCTGTGAAGAAGGATTGAGAGAGCTGGGCTTGTTTAGCTTGGAGAAGAGAAGGCTCCGAGGAGACCTCATTATGGACTTGCAGTACTTGAAGGGAACTTACAAGCAGGAAGTGGACAACTTTTTACACGACCTATGGTGATTGCACAAAGGGGACTGGCTTTGAACTAAAAGAAGGGAGACGCAGGTTAGATGTTTGGAAGAAATTTTTTACTCAGAGGGTGCTGAGGTGCTGGAACAAGTTACCCTGTGAAGTTATGGATACCCCATTCCCAGAAATGTTTAAGGCCAGGCTGGATGGGGATGATGGGCAGCCTGATGTAGTAGTTAGCAACCCTGCTTGTGGCTTGGGGGGTTGGAGCTCAATGATTCGTAAGGTCCCTTGCAACCTAAGCTATTCTGTAATTCTATGAAACTAAAGGTGGCTAAGTCAGAGTAAAATGCTATAAAAGTTTTATGGTTTGTGAAATGAAATCAAGTCCTATAAATGGCCAAAACTATATGACCTTGCTTTCCATTTTGATAAAAGAATTTGAGAATGAGTTTCAATATTTCAGAAAAAATATCATTTGGGTATATTTGCAGCTCCATTTTCAATCAGTATAAATACATTACCTGTGAATTTTCAGATTTGAGTGTATAATGTTGCGATCAGACATTCAACTCAAAGAAAAGTCTGATTGTGTCTCTTTACTAAGCTTTATAAGACTTATCAGGGAAAAATATCCCTCGTTTTAAATTCAAGCCTTAGTGACTTCATCACTTTTTGGCAGTATGTACGTTTCTGAACAACTGTTTTCAAGAATGAAGCACAGAAAGAATGAAATTTCATCAAGTCTCTGAGGAGAATCTTGAGAACTCAGTAAGAATTGCATCCACTTCTACTGAGCTAGAACGATGTGTTAGTTTTACATAAACAAGATCAAACATCCCAGTAGTTTTATGTTTATGTTGCTCTCTTTTTTTTCGTTTGTTTTAATAAAAACAGAAAAGAAGTTTTGTTGCTTATATATGTGAACTATATTATGTATTTTTTTATATGCATCCCATGACTCTTTCTCTTCACTCACCATGGCCTAGGCAAGCCAAAAAATTGGACATCCCTCATTAAAACCTTTGGCACTTTTTTGCTTTCAGTACCTTACGTGATGTACAGATTTACTGTGAGAAACTTACCAACTCAAGTTGGTTTGGATTGTTCAGTTCTTTTTAGTATCATTCTTGATCATTGCTGAAGTGATTATTGTCGCATGTAGTACAAGTAACTTAGTAATTTTACTTGAGTTCTCAATTTGGCCTGCATTCTCTTTATTATGAATATGATAAAAACTTGCTGTTAGAGGGAAGCCAGGAAGCCTGCAGCTCAGTTTCAGAACAGATTCAGTTTCAGACAGAATCACAGAAACATTTTCTTTGAAAAGACCTTCAAAATCACCATCAGTACGACCTTATGGAGTCCATCACTAAACCATGTCCCTGGGTGCCACTTCCATATGTGTCCTAACTGCCTCCAGGGATGGAGATTCTACCATTTCCCTGGGCAGTCCATCTGACCCCTGACCACCCTCTCTGTGAAGGAATTCTTCCTGATGTCCAATCCAAACTTCTTCTGGCACAAGACCATTTCTTAATGTCCTATGGTTTGTCACCTGAGAACAGAGGCTGATCCCTTTCTCCCTGTGACCTCCTTTCAGGTAGTTGTAGGAAGTAACGAGGTCTCCTCTCAGCCTCATCTGGACTAAACAGCCCCAGTTCCCTCAGATGCTCCTCATGTGCCTTGGTTTCTCTATTTTTCTTACTAGCTGCATTACTCTTCTGTACACAGTGATTGACTTCATAGATTAATGTGAATTAAGAACACTCTTTCCTTGTGTGTCCCTCATCAGAAAAGGTTCTTTATAACTTTCTCTGTATTAAACAGAAACTTTCACCAAAAATCATCTATCTCTTTGGAACTGCTTTTTACTTTTAAATGTGAAGAAGGTTCAGATTTCTTGTCTAAGCATGGAATTATCAAACATCCTTTTTTATTTTTTCCTAATTTTAAATTTTCCTCTGACAGATTTGATTACTGTTATCAAGTCAGATAGACACCCACCCCAACATGCTTTCTGGTTAATATTTATTTAATACAATTGCTATCATTAAAGATTAAGAGTGTTAGAATCTCAGGTATGACAGTTCTGATGTGAAACTTTCAGGAGATTTAAAGCCATCTGATACTCTGAAGTTGGGTGCTTTTCAGCTTGGAAAGGAGGTCTTACAGCAGCCCTTGCATCAGCACTACAGACATTGCACACAAAGTCAGCCCACCAACCAGTAACCATACCAAAACTTTTTAGCCTAGCCAAGAGGTAAAGAAGTTTGGTGAAGTGGTGCAAACATCCATTTGTGGTGTTCAGAGTGTAACATCACTGGTTTGCATTAAAAATACACAAGTATTCAGTACTGAATAACTGTGATATGATACTGACAAGAGTCAGTATCATAAATACTTCCTCAAAATTTAAGGAGGAATCATAGAATTGTTTGAGATGGAAGGGGTTTTATCGGTCATTTGGTCCATTTCCCCTGCAATGAGAAGGGAAACCTACAGCTAGATCAGGTTCTCAGAGCCTGACTTTGGATGTCTGCAGGGACATGGTATTCACCATCTCTCTGAGCAACTTGTGCCAATGCCTCACTACCCTTATTGTACTATGCTTCCATAGTTCATAATTTTTAAATAGCTTTCTGTGATCTTGCAAAGCAAAATCACTTTAGGTACCCACTCACAACCAGTTTCTGTGAATCCTTGCTGGGAAATGCAATCAACTTTTCTAGACTTGCTATAGCTAGATCTTCACAGCTTTAATTTTTTGTTTTCCTTCAGTTACAGAGATTATATAGGAAGTACCTACGAGCAGAGAGCTTTAGAAAGGCTCTGGTTTATCAGAAGAAATACCTCTTGCTGCTTCTTGGTGGATTTCAAGACTGTGAACAAGCAACTCTCTCTCTAATAGCACGCATGGGAATCTACCCCTCGCCTGCAGACCTGCAGCTTCCTGCCTCCCGCTCCCGCCCTCTGACCAAGTTCAGATGTGCAGTCAGGGCAGTCGTTGCCGTGTCAAGGTAAAAGCAAAACACTTTCTTGGACATAGGTAAAATGGGTGGTTGATATGGCTTATCCTACCTGAATATTAAGCAGAAGCTTTCTCCACAGCGTGACTTGGCAGCTGTAACTTTGGCCAAATTGCCGTTTGAGAATCAGGGCTATGTTGAATGTGTACCAAAACAAAGGTTTGTAAAAGCTGATTCCATCTGTTGAGAGATGCTCAGTTGCAGCATGTTTGTACATCACTGCACAATAATTACAAGCTGATCTTTTCATTTTTTCTCTTATCTGTTTGGGACATACTGGGTAGCCTCTTGTATTGTAACGTTACCATCCCATCAGTGATGATTTTCTTCTCCTGAGCTCAGTAGCCTGTGTTTCATTGAGCTTGATTCTGTCATGTGCCATTATTTACTACAGAGTGGATTTTGATATCTATGCACTATCCCTTATTGTGTCTTGAGTTCATCTATTGGAAGAAAAAGTTTTGAATGTAATAGGAGATTACTTCTGAGCAATCTCCTTGTTCACTAGAAACTGTTATGATGACATTTAAGGCTTTGTAGACTGTTGAGAAGGATGCTATAATGATAGCAGTATGAAAGGATAGAGACCTCCAAACTAACCCTCTGAGGCCTCGCAGCTCCACGGAATTTAGGGCTGAAGTAGAAGAACATCTTTAAAACAAACTGGCAAACATTTCCAGCACCTCTGAGTGGATACAAATTAAGGGAGTTAATAGCCATCGCCCGACACAAAGCAACTGCATCCTAACTGTAAAGAGAATGTTGTGGTTAAGCTCCGATGTCTGTTCCTTTTTTGCTGTACATTGAGCCATTTTGAGCAACTGGGTTACTGTGTTTTTGTTTTTCTCTTTTTTTTTCCTGCTATATGCGTAACGTTACATGGTTATGTGGTCTCAAAATCTATTTCTTGTGTTTAGAAACTGGGGAAAATAAATCGGAGAGGGTTAAAAGCAAACAATAATAATAATAATAATAATAATAAAAAGAAATAAACGTTAATCTAAACAATCTGCTGTCACCTCAGACCCTTAAGCTTGTGTGGTCTTAGCACTGCAGAGAACTGACAAGTGATACAGTTATTGGGAAGATGCTGACAGTCTTCCTTCTCCATTCCTACAAGGATTGTGACTTAACTAAATAATAAATTTAATATGCTTTATGCCTACAAAAAGTTTGATATTAAGATTTAGTGTATTTTTTCCTGTTATTAATGACTGTACAAATTTATTCTGTTACCAAGGTTGAAGTTTTTGGTGAGAAAGTGGAACAAGCTTAACAGAAAAAATGCCCAAGGTGAAATCGTCTCCCAACATACAGGAAATAACACAGGTAAGCTTTTGGTCAAGTACATTTTTAAATGATAACTTGTCTCTAGCAGTGTTTCAGTAGACAAACAAAAAATCACCGTAAAAAGACAAAAAAGCAAAATATTTGTGTTGACACAGATCTGTTTATCTGTTTCCTTGTCATGATTATGAGTTTAAAATGACACTGTAAGAAGTTAAATATGAAAACTTACAGAATTCATAACTTCACAACAGCATCAAACTCGTCCTTTTCTCTCTTCATTAAACTTATCTGATAATTTTTTCATACTTTTTAAAGCTACCTATGATGGAAATCAATGCCATAAGTTATTAATAAGACAAAGACAAATACTACTGTAACAGTATTAAAATTGGTACATGCAGTGTAAAAAAGAAGTCTTAGAAGGGATTTGCTGTCCTGTGTTGCCAGCAATGGAAAAACAATTTTAAATGATTCCAGAGGTTTGGAAGAGGCTCAGAATCTGATGACAGGTTTTCCCTGAACTTCAGGTGCTATGGGTGATGGTCTAATAGAGTTCAGTAAAGGCTGTGTTCCTTTGGGTTACCTATGGATGTGTCAGTAAGAAATTGAACAAGTGTCTCTGTGTGGTACCCCATATTGTGCAATACATGTGTAATATTCCAATTGTGGCTTTTCAGTGCTAAACAAAAATGTGATGTGACAGTACATTTTTCATTACCTGGCATATGGACACACTACGTAATTTTCAGGATTTTAGGTTGGGAATACTTACTTTAAAAAAAAAAATTAATTTCCTATATACTACTTGTGGTGAGGGTCCTCTGAAGCCTCACTACAAAATAGCACCTGTCAGGCTCTCAGGAGAGCAAATCAAATCACTGATAGTGATTTAAAAGAGGACATACCTGAAAGAGCATTGTTATTAGGGATAACAAAACAACAAACAATCCTTTTTCTGCCACTTCTCTCACAACCAACTAAAATAGATGCATTTGTAACATACGTTTTAGACCAAAACCAAACATATATTGCTGCAATTCTTGTGGGTTTTTCTAATTGGTTAAATATAAAAAGGCTTCTGGAAGTGGTTTTTAGTGAGTGCTTTTCAACTGTTTCTTATTTAACGCAGCCTCTGGTGCCAGAATAGAAACTCTGAAACAGCAGCAGCTCCCAGCTGTTCATGTAAGCTCTCCCCCAACCCGGGACACTGGCCTGTGCCACAGAACCAGCTCTGCGAGATCTGTGAGCTGCTCCTCCAAATCCTCTCACCGGTCACACAGCAGGTCAGTCTGCAGTCTGGCTGATGTGTAACACCTCATCAGACAGACTTTGCTAAAAGTGAGACAGCTACTTGGAGGAAGTACTCCAACAAGTCTGGGTCTGGTAAATGTTTCCTTAGGTTCAGGTTGCTACAGAAGAGAATGTCTCTTGCTTTGAGCGTGTCTGATGTTCTTGCACCGAGAACACTCAGTGTTGTTCTCCAGTTCAATCTGGCTATGTGAAAGCATTCCTGATAATGTTACCTTTTAGCCTTCTTTGAAGGAGAGTTCTTGCTGTTTTTGCCTACTAAATCGGGGATTGATGTTTTAAGCATGAAGTTGATTCCTCCTCCTGCAGAAGTGGCTCTTCTACCACAGGGAAATATTGCATTAATGTTAGTTGCCTTCAGACTTGCTACCACAGACTGAGGTATGTGCTGTGTACGTTCCAGTTTTTCTGTGCATTACAACCAGTTCTGCACAGGAGTACAACCCCAGCTAATCATTGTTGGGTTGGAAGTCACTGGTGGCATTCTGCACAGCAGTATTGAGAAAATACCTCAGCTGCAAACTCAGTGCTGGACTTGGAGGAGTGCGGCCTTCAGCCATCATTGACTTTCCCAGTCTCAGGCTCTCCAAGCATGTGAAGTAACTTGGAGTATTGCAGAGCCAGGTTATTCCTCTTGTGGCTTCTTTCATATGATGCAGTTTTACAGCAATTGCTGTGCAGTCTCATCAGCTTGGAACATGTGGCTTTTTTCCACTCCTTTGCTATGAATTGGAAACTTTACCCACACAAGAAAGATTATTATTATTATTTTTTTTTAATGAAGAAAACTGAGTATTGCAGTTGAACCCAGTAGGCAGGTAAGTAGCACACGCCTGCTTGGTCACTCCCCGTCAGGGGAATGATGGAACTGGAAAAGAAAAAAATACAAAAATTTATATATTGAGATAAGGACGGTTTAATGGGAAAGGGAGATCAACAAACCAACGAAACAAACAAAAAAGCAAACCAAATCAAATCGAAACCCAGCCAACCAAAGGAAACAGGTGTTGCACTCATTGACCAAGCTAATCCCTGAGCAGCAGCAGCAGCAGCTTCTCTGGCCAACTCCCTCCAGTTTTACAGTTTTTTCTCATTATGCCCTATCCTATCAAATATCCCTTTGGAAGGTTTAGGTCAGCTGCCCTGGTCCTGCCCCCTCCCCCCAGCTCTTTGTGCCTCGCAGCCCCCCTCGCTGGAGGATAATATGAGAAACTAAGAAATTGAATCATCCCTGGCTCTGTGCAGCACTGCTCAGCAGCAACTAAAACATCACTGTTGTTAATATTATTCTCACCCTAAATCCAAAGCACAGCACCATACCAACTACTCCAAAGAAAATTAACTCTGTATCGGTCAAAATAGGACAGCCAGTAACAAGTAAACAGCTGTGGTGAATGAGTATTACCCAAAGACAACAGAAGGTGCAAATTGTTTTACATTTCATTTTATTTTGTAACCCTGCTGGCTGGTTTGGGGAACAAGACAGGGCAGTGCTCCTCGGGAAGGACAGGTAGGACTCTGTTTTGCATAGAATTTAGCGGAGAATTGGAGACCTGCAAGCATTACCATAAGCCTAAATTCCTACTCCATCCCAGCCCTCTCTCACAACATGTATGAGGATCTCATAGACAGAAGCACAGGCAGCTTACTACTGAGACATCATCTGTATTGTATGAAATATGAAACGGGAAAATAATCATTGTAGATCCTTTTCACTCTGTGTGACTGGGTTAGTGATAGCTAAAATCAAAAATGTGGATGTGAGAAGCATTTCCTGGCAGAGATGAACAGAAGGAAGGGAGTGATAGGAACTGCATTCCATTATATAAAAAAAATAAAGGGAAGACCTCCCAACTCCAGGGTAGCAGTGTGTTTGCATAGAATGTTCCCCCAGAAGTATGTTTCTATTTTTAGTTTTTTAAACTATTAATAATGTAGCAATACAGTCACAGTATGTGATTTAAGCTTTTTCAGCCTTGTCCTTCCAAGTAGACTTTAACCTGCTACACACTTGGATGCAGCACACTCATCTCCATAGAATTGGGTTTATCCAGCCATTTGCATTTACTTCTGACTGCAGCTTTCTTAGAGGAACTTTTGGTTGCTTATCAGGAGAGTGAGACTCGCAGGTACTCCAGCTCTTTCCAAAACATCCTTTCTTTTGTTTCTTCTGTAAACACGACTGCCTACTGTGTTTTTTTTCAATCTAGCTATGTGGAAGTTTTTGGTCGTGTCTGTTGATATTTGAGTTTGCTTTGCACTGAGTTACTGTCTGTATGAGTATAAATTGGAGTGTGGCGTGAGGGGAAAAAACCCAACTTTTTCTTTTTTAAGATTGCCTCCATCCACTTCAGAAAAGTCACCTGTGCCTACTCAGGATCCTGAACGATCACTTACAGAATACATCCACCGCTTGGAGATTATCCAGCAAAGACTAGGAGGGGTGCAGTCAGGTAAGAGGAGCACTGCTGCACTCAGAGTTGTGAGCAGCCTAGGGTCCTTTTTGCATGGGTTTGCATGCATATTGTCTGTAATGCTTATAGAATGTAAAAAGCATCACTTTGTTGAAAGATTTATTTTATGTGTGGGAGGAGAAAAAAATTAAGTCTCTGAAACGTCGTGCCTCAAATTAGTCCAAGTACATCATTTCTCAGAGTAACTTCAGTGAAATTCTCCTGAGATAAGAGTGAATGATTTCCGTGCCATTTTTCCCCTCCTGTAATCAAGTCAAATAAGCAAGTTCTGCAGTTTAAATGAAATGTATGGAAATAACTTGCTTTAAATTCAGTCACTGTGATGTCATTGTAATAGCTGAGTATGGCCTCCTCTGCAACATGAACTATCCTACTTCCTTCATTTATCACTTCCTGTTGTTCCGTATCAGATAAAAAATGAAAATACCAAGAAAACCCCAAGGAGGCAACCATATTTTTCTCAGGCTAAAAAACACATGAGGCTGGGTTGCCTCCTCCTGGCTCCAGTGAGCCCTATGCATTGGAGAGGCATCTGGGCAGCCATTCCTCTGGGATCTTTGGAACACCTTCCCCAAAACTTACTTTCCCCATCCAAGTTTGTTATTGAGTTTTCTGGTCTGAGCTTGTATGGGTGATCAAATCAGATAATGCCATGGATGTTTTTGTCGGACTGTTTTTCCTTTAGACTGCTGTTGCTGATTCTTTCCCTATGTTTTAGATGCTCGTCCCCAAATCTCTTGTTTACCTCCTGAGACTACTTGTGGGTCACTGCGGTCATCGATCTCTCGGCAAGAAATGTTTATTTCCTCCTACCAGCACCTTCCTTAGTTACCCATACACTCAGCCAAAAGCTGAACAGATTTTACTGTGCAGATGTCATGGCACTAGGGGTGGGCCACTTTGATCCTTCTGCAAATTGCATATGCACACCTACATGTTTCTTTCACTACTCATAACCTTTGTCAACGCTGTTTCCCAGGCATTGCCTGTATCTTATAACTGTCTTGCGGCTTTTGCACCAAGATGTTGGTTGGGCTGAGGTGAGGAAGAAAAAAACATACTTGACTGAAACTGCAGAGCTCTGTGACAGTCACTGATGCTCTTACTGCCACTTCCTTGATCTCTGTCATCAGCAGATAGATCATCTCTATGGAGATGTTTGTGGAGGGTGGGGCAGGCATTCAGTTGCTGACCCAGCAAAGGTATCAGTAATGGTTTGTATATATTTCTGCATTTGGAAAAATAACGACTTTAAAACTAACTTCTGAGGCAGATTCTTAAGATCGTGTGGTACAATCCTAACACACCCTCAGAGTTAACCTTGACAACTTAAACTTGAAAACCATGTGTGTTTCTCTTGAGAGAAGATTTTGGCTTTGCCAGAGTTCATAGGAGCATGGTACAGCTGGATAACAGCTCTGGGGAAAGTCCAAGACATTGTTTTTCTGGCTGACTTCACCAAATACTTTTTTTTGTTTTTAAGGTTTAAAAGGTTAAAAAATAATAATTTTTACAAATAATTTTACAAATCCTGATCTTTTATCCTTAAAGTCAACGGCTACACTGTGGCACTTCTATGTGGAAACTAGCACCCTTGGCAGCATTTTTCCTAGAAACCTTAACATTATGACCTTTGTTTTTTGTTTTCCGAAGTACTTTGTTTATGGCAGATGTGGATAATCAGATGTTAGAATTGAAACCTGCAGTATTTCACAGGATGAGGTGCTAAGTGTGGAGCACTTAACTGAGTACAATGCATAATGGTTGGAGGACGTTCATGGTACCAGAATGACGCTGTGGGGAGTTGCAGCACCATACATGAAGCTTCAGAACAGAGCTCTGAGTAACGTGAGGTTGCTGCACTTTACATCACCCCACAGATACAACAGCTTGAACAGCAGCAGAGTGCAGGTGGGATCATCACAACAGCAGTCAGTTGAAGAAGCAATCCATTGCTCTCTGCGTGCTCTTTGAGTGAGCGTTGGTCTTAACGTGTGAATGTTTGCTTTGACAGGGCGGTAAGCTTTCAGGTTCCTGGGTGATCATGAAGATGGTAATTGCTTTCAGTGTAGCTCATGTGAAGTATATGGAGGAAATAACATGCTGCTAACTGCACCCTGTTTAGCATAGCACAAGCACTTTTCTAATACCCATTTGTTTTATTTAAATTTAGGACAAGTTCCAGGCCTGCCTTGCCAGAGAAACATGAAAAAGTGATCAGAATGCTTCTGAAATCTGTGCTGTGAAACCGCCAAGTTATTGCTTCCTTCTGAGTTATTCCCTGGTGAATGGAGCACTTGTCATCTCCTGTGCAACTAAATAAAGGGCAGTGCTTTTGCATCAGAATTTCATGACTTTTTATTATACTTCAGTACTATAAGAGGAAATTTCTTTCCACTAAGAGCAATGTTTTACATTCTCATGCAGAATTACTGGTATGTTGACAGCTGAAGTGTGCCTGTGTCACTGTACTGTCAATTGCAAAGAGTCTGTTCGGTGTTTATTTTTCTATAGTGTATAGCTGGATTCCTTGTAAAAAAAAAAAAAAAAAGTTATTAAAATCACATTTTATTAGTGAGCTCTTACAGCATATAGTTATTTGTTTTCACCTTACAATTTTTTCTTTTTTCTTTTTTTTTCTTATTATCTGTGTTTTAGGATTTTCTGCAAGATTGTTAACTAACAGCAGCTAAAAAAACTCTCCCAAATCATCTTTAAGACACATTGCCTTCTGGGATTTCAAGATTTGCTTTTTTGGCTTTGCAATAAATAGGACTTGTTTCCCTCAGTCTTCCTCATCACATTCCATTTCAGTATCAAGCCACTCCTTGGATTCTTCTATGACTGACCTTGACCTAATAGAAATTTAGAAAAAGAAAAGAGCTAACTTTATTGCAATTACTGATCTTGTTTATATCCCTAAGATCAACAGCTGTGGTGACTTTCTCACATGGAAACTCCGACACCGTGCTCAGCAGGATTTTCCCTGGCACCCTTAACATGGTGTCTATATCCATGATACATTTGACATTGCTAGAGAACATCAGTCTTCCTCAGTTCATGCCAGGAGCTTCTGTGTCACTTGCAGGTGTGGCTTTGGAGCTCTGGTGCCAGCCCTTGGAAGATGTATTCTTGCCCAGAGTCCTGGCACTGCTGGGCTGATCCTGCCCTGACCACTTTTGTCCTTAGCCCATGCTTCTGGCTGTTGTGAGGAAGTGCTGTCCCCAACAAGGCAGTGTGTTTTTGTTCTTCACTGGTTGGAGCAGCTAGTGCTGCATTCTGGGGTCACAGGAACACAGGATGCTGCAGTTCAGGCTCACACCTACAGCTCTGAGAGGCAAAGCTGCCCTTGGGCAATGTGGCTTGCTGATGAGTGCTGATGGGTGTCATTCTGCATCTGGGTGCCCTATCCCACAGCTCTGCCATGGGCAAAGCCTTTGAGTGCCTCCCTTGTCCCTGCAGGCTGACTGCTCCAGAGGCACCTGTGCATGAACAAACAATACCTGATTTGGTGTGAAAGCCTGGAGAGTAAGGTGGCTTCTGCAAAGTTCTAACCACGTGAATTGACAGAGCAAGTTTATACAGATCCATGAGCATGGCAGATTCCTTTCGTTCTGGTTCCGGGGCCTTTAGGCAGATCTGTCAAAATATGCCCTGAATGTTAATGGTGTCCTTAACACAGCATCAGGTTGTATTCTGCTACACACAGTATGCATCTCCAGACAGGCGTTCACAGCTGACACTGAATAAAATCCATAATTTCATGTTTGCACGTGAATCGCACTTTGCATTTTTCCTTTGGGTGTAGGAGGGCCGTCAGGACCTGGCTCTGCAGCAGTTCGGTGCTGCTTTTTTTTATCTCTGCCGTGCACCACGCTCTGTAAGTTAAGCATCATGGGCTGGGCACAGACACACGTGTGAGACAGGGGCTTGGTCCACGTGTACAGAGCCATCCCTGCACACGGTGGCCGGGAGGGGCTGGTAGGCAGCGGCAGCAGCGATGCTGGAACTCCCAGTGAACGGTGAGGTCTGACGCCCAACTCTTTGGGCAGACAGCCGGCCCACCTTTACAAAGGTCAATCTGGGGGCGTGTGCTGTCTACGTGCTCTGCTGGTAGTGGGGTGGCACGACATGAGGATTGCTTCTGCTCTTTGCAATGAGTGAAGTGCCTGAGGTACGCTGGCACATCTGTCTGTGCCGTAAGCAATCCATCGTCCGGGAGATTCACTGCTCTGGAGGGGTGGACGAGACCGGAAACGGTCCGAGCGCTATTTTGCCGCGTACAGAACGCTCGGTATTTCCTTACCGGCGCTGTGTGCCATAGCGCAGAGCACTGCGGCAGGTCAGCCCCAGGGCCGCGCGCGCAGCACAGCTTGGCACAGCGGGGTCCCGATTTCAGAACCGACCGAGGCTCCTCCGCCACCCCGCAGAGCTCCCGCTCACCGAGGACGGCCAGGGGCGAACGCGCGCGGTGGGGCCGCTCCGGCTGCGCTGTGCAGCCCCGTCCCGTCCTCGCGCGGAGCCGCCCCTCGCCTTTCCGCCGCGGCGCCGCTCCGTCCGGCGCTGCCGGCCGCTGGGAGGCGCTGCCCGGGCCGGGCCCGGCGGCTGCGCGGTGAGGTCGGGCCGGGAGCTCCCCTTCCTGCCGCTCCCGCCGGAGGCGGTGCTGGGCGGCGGCCGCGGCGGGCCCGCGCTATGGCGGCCGAGCGGGGCGGCTGCTCGCTGGACGCGGTGCCGCTGCCGCCCGAGGTGCGCGAGAGCCTGGCGGAGCTGGAGCTGGAGCTGTCAGAAGGTGAGAGCGGAGCGGCGGCGGCCGAGCTTCGGGGCGGCGCGGTGCTGGGGCGCGGTGCCTCCGCCGCGGCGCCCGGAGAGGGGCGCGGGAGCGGCTCCGGCCTCGCCCCGCTTCCCGCGGCCGTGCCCGGGTCGTGCCGGGGGCTTCGGCACCGCCGCCCGGCCCCGATTGCCGCAAGGCCGTGCGCGGGGCCGTGTCTGAGTGCGGCCCTGCAGCGCCGCTCCCTTCCTCCGCCTCCGCTCGGCGCTGGGCGGCGGTTCGGCGGTTCGGTTCTTCGGTTCTGCTGGTCGGTTCGGCGGTTCTTCGGTCTGCTGGTCGGTTCGGCGGTTCGGCCGTGGCCCCGCGCTGCCGGTCTCACCGCTCCGCTGCCGCTCGGACGCCCCGCGCTGCCCGGCCCGGCGGATCGGCGCTGGGCGCTGCCTTCGCTGCCCGTCGAGGTCTGAGATCCGAAGCGAATCGTTTTTCGCCTCGGTGCGGTTCTGTGCAGAGCTCTTCAACGTGAGAAAGGACAGCCGTGGCAGTGTTCTTCCCCTGTCCGTTCCGGCTCGTCGCTGCCCGCAGGGATGGGGGAATCTCCTTCTCCGGGACGCTAGCCGTGCGACCTGCCGGTAGGCACCTGCTACGGCGCGGCTTTGGTGGGGGATCTGCAGATGCGCAGAGATCCTTTCCAGCCCCCCGGCCCCGTGCTGCCGTGTGTCGGCTCTGTGACCGCCTGCCATCCGCAGGCGCTGCTCGGACAGACGCGCTGCCCTTGGTGCGCAGCGCTCACGTGCTCGGGTGGGAAGGAGCGGCGATTCCGGGTCGTATGTTTGCGGTTTAATCTATGGAGGATGGGTACAGACTGTGATACCCTGTTTCTGGAAGAAGTAAATTAATCCGTGCAGACCGTTGGTTATTTCCCTCTTTCAAAGGCAGGTGAGTGTCCTCTTTCGAGTGGCTCCTGGGATCCTCCATGCTGCACGGCCGCGATGGGCATGCTGAGTTCAGCAGCTCCTGCTGCTGCCTGCAGTCTGCTGAAGGTGCCCATGGCTCCTTCCTGTGGAAGGAAGGAAGAGAACTTGAAACAGTTTTCATCTATAAATAAACCGGGAAGCTGGTTCAGAATTTCCCCCTTTTTTGCCGTAGGTTGTCATGGCAAAACTTGAGGGAACTAAAGGTTGGAATCCCTTTTTTTCCTGAAGTTCAGTCTGCAATGCAGATACAAATGCCCTTGTGTTGTTTCCAAGTTTGTGTCTCGTTATGACGGAGTATTGCACCTTTGTGAATAGATGAAGTATTTGTGCAGTGCTTTCCATTAATGTTTGATAATTTTCAAGAGCAGTCCTTGTTTAGACACAAATGCCACTCATGTAATTTATTCTTTCATTAAAACTCCAGTTTATTTGAGAGCTGCACCTGGAAACACATTCGTGGCTCCCTGTGGTGTGGCTTGTGCTTAGCTGTCCCCTTGTCCTTCTCAGCTTTCTCCATAGCATGTTGCTACAGGCAGGCTAATTGTGGGGTGGGGGGCTGTGCTCAAGCTCTTAGCAGAGATTCTCTCTGCTGTAGAGAGGTTTGTTTGTTTGTTTTTCCAGTTCAGGTATATTCCGCTGCCTGTCAATGCTGCTTGTCACGTTGGAAATTCATTTCTGGATGACTTCTGTCCAGTAGGATCAGCCTAAAGACAGAGGAATGCTTGCATGGAGTTTACTATCTTAATTATAGCCTTATGATGAAACAGTGCAGTGTACCGAGCACCTGGCTGTTGTGTCCGTGCTCTGATGCCTGCAGATGGGTTTAGCAGTGACTGCTGGGCAGTGCGTGACTGTGCTGACTGCACTAACTGGGGAGACCTGCTGGCACTTCAGTGTGGTTTCCTGACAGTGAAGTGCAGTATTGGACAGCAAAGGTGTTCCTGCACCTTTCTGTTAGGGAAGTTCTCAGGACATACGTCTGTAATTTGTGCGTTTGTTCATGTGATCATTTAATACCTGAAAACAAATATGATCTGCGGAACGTTAGAACTGGCGAGACAGATCCTTTGCAAGTGACCGTCAGTGGAACTTGACCTTGACCTGCAACATCTTCAGTGCTTAGTTTCAGAGCCTCTCCAACAGAAGATACTGTGTCACTGTGTGATAACATCTGAAGATTGCCTGCTGCTACTGGGAGTAAGCGAGCGTGTGGACCAGGGAGAGGCTGCTGTTGAGCATGCGGTGCCTTTCATCTGGTTTGCAGCTGGGAGAGGTCACAGCGTTTCAGTAGTGCGTCCCTACACACTGACAGCTTTGGTCGTGCTTGTGTTTCTGCTGTTTGGTGCATGTGTTATAGGGATGTCGTTAGGAGAGATTCCGTTACCTCAAGGAGATGCTTGACTGGGAGGCAGGGAAAAGGGGGCTTTGCTCAGCTGGGTGGAGGATTTCCTTTGCTATCAGTGAGGTGAAGACAGTGTGCACTTGGAACTGCAGTCATAGCTGCCTATAAACGTGTCCTCCAGGAGGAAAGCTGCACCTTCACAGTGGCAGACCTTTGTTCCCAGGCTTATTTTCGTACCCAAGCAGTGGCCTGCCTGCTCTAAAAGCCTTATTTCAGTATTCTGGGGCTGGGTTCTGGTTACTGCTAGACTTCCTACTACAAGAGCAGGAAATGAGATTGCTGGAAAAAAGGGGGCTTTAAGGGCTTTAAGGGGCTTTCTTGTTATGATAGAGAACACAAACAGATTTGTTTAATAATGTGGCGGTTGGAATGAAGATTTTTCCTTCCTGGACAGTTAGTTATGATGTCTTTAATGATACTATTGCTCTTAAACTACGGAGAGGAAGTAGTATCTTTACTTTGTATGGTCTGGAGTGGACTTTTCTTCCTGGAATCATTGGGGTTGGAAGAGACCTCTAGAGATCCCTGTCTCCAACTTCCTGCTAAATCAGGTTCCATAGAGTAAGTTGCACAAGAAAGCATCCAGGTAAGTTTTGAATATTTCCAAAGATGGAGACCACACAACCTATCTGAGCAGCCTGTTGTATTGTTCCAACGCCTTCAAAGTAAAGAATTTCTTTCTCAAGGTTATATGGAACTTTGTTCTGCTTTGTGCCTATTGCTCTTTATCATGTCTGTGGGAACCACCAGGAAGAGCCTGGCCCCATCCATTTGACACTCACACTTAAATATTTATGAACAGTGATGAAATCATTGCTGGTTCATGGCCAACCTGCTGTCCACAAGGGCACCCGGGGTCTTCTCCACAGAGCTCCTTTCCAGCAGGTCAGCCCCTAACCTGTACTGATGGGTGCTGTTATTCCAGAAAATGAGCTCAGATTGACCAAAGTGCCAAGTGTCTGCCGGGATTGATGCCATTCAGCACATTTCCCTGGTGGATAGGTGTCCTGCCCATAGGGTTCTGTTTGTTGCCTGGAGAAGAGGCCAAACCCCTCCTCATCACAACCTCCTTCAGGAAGTTGTACAGTGCAGTGAGGTCTCCTCTGAGCCTCCTCTTCTCCAGACTGAACAGTCCCAGCTCCTTCAGCCACTCCTCCTCCAATAACATTTGTGCTCCAGACCCCTCACCAGTTTTGTTGCTGGCTGTGCCTGATGCCCTGGATGCCACGCACGTGCCTTGTGATCTCACCCAAGATGATTTGCTCCGTAACTTTCCCTGGTAACCGAGGTCAGGCTGACAGGCCTGTAGTTCCCTGGATCCTCCTTACAGCCCTTCTTGTAGACGGGAGTCACATCGGCAAGCCTCCGATCCTCTGGGACCTCTCCAGACAACCAGAAGCGCTGGTGGATGGCCGAGAGCAGCTCAGCAGTCACCCCTGCCAGCTCCCTCTGCACCCTGGGATGGAACCCGCCCGGTCCCATGGACTTGTGACAGAGGAGACAGAGGAGGAGTTCTGTGTCTCCATCTGAATCACTGGGGGTATGTTGTGCCTTCCATTCCAGACTTCCAGATCAGGGTGTAAAGTGCCCTGATGATAACTGATCTGCTTATTAAAGGCAGATGTAAAGAAGGTGCTGAGGACCTCAACCTTCTCCTTATCCTCAGTGGTCACATTCCTTGCTGCATCAAGCAAAGGATGGAAATTCTCCTTGGTTCTTCTCTTACCATTGATATATTTATAAAAGGATTTCTTATTCTCCTTTACTGCAGTGGCGAATCTGAGTTCAAGTTGGGCTTTTGCCCTCCTAACTTCTTCCCTGCATACCTTAGCAACTTCTCATAGTCTCCCCAAGCAGCCTGTCCCTTATTCATGGACTCTCTCTTTTTCTTCTGGAGTCTCAGCAGTAGTTTTTGGCTCATCCACACTGGTCTTCTTCCCCTACAGCTTGCCTTACGGCACTCAGGAACAGCCTGTTCCTGTGCACCGCTTGTTGAGTTTGGTGGGAGAACTTTGGTTTGGTTGTGCTGCCAGCCCTTGGGTGCCAGTATTTGTCCCACAGGACATTCTCCTTCTCTTTGCTCTGCTTCCCAACCTTGTTAAGTTTTTTGCCAGTCTGTGAGGGCACGGCTGGGCTCAGTGGTCCTGTCCAGAACATGATGAATGTGGTTTTGTAAAGTGAGATGCCATCACTGGAGCTGTCCCCAGTGCTTCACAGTTATCCCAGCACATTAATGTAATTGCAGCACTGATAAACAGGAGGCTGGTAGCTGCGTTGGCTGTATT